ATCTCGCCAGCGACGATGCGCCTCGTGACGCCGCACCTGCCCGCGCTGACGTCGCCGTCGATCGCGACGCGCGTGCTGCGCAGCGGCTCGCACGTGCTGCACACGCCGCGCTGGGGCGACGCCGTCTTTGGCGTGCGCCTGCTGCGGCTGCTGCGTGCACAGCACGCCGCCGAACGCGACGCCGAGGCGGCAGCGAGCACCGCGACCGCCAGCTCCGGATACGGCGAGGGCCTGAGCAGCGCGCAGCTGGCGGCGCGCGAGCGCGCGCCGCTCGGCCTCGTCGCAGAGCTCGTCGAGACGGCAGAGGCACGCGGCCTCGTGGTGCGCGACGAGAGCGAGCAGGGCACGCGCTGGTACGAAAACGCCATCGTGGCGTTCGAGTGGGAGCAGCCTGAGGCGCCACGGTAGGGCGCCTGAGGGAGGCACATGCAAAGCAAGATAGACACATGCCCAGACGTCGCGGCGACGAGATGAGGATTGGCTAGTGTACAGGGTGACGCGGCCAGAGTGCCATGGGGTTGGACCGAGCGGGAACGGTGTGTATGTGTGTGTGTGCGAGATGGACACGGGCGAGGCGGTGATGGAGGTGGCAGACGAATCGAAGGATGTTGTGTGTGTGAGGCGCAGAAAGAAGTCGCGAGACGCAGAGCTCGCGTGACGTGGCATGGAGCTGCTACTTCACTCCTCTTCCTCCGAGTCGTAGTAAGGGCGATGCGACGGGGCGCGGCCGCGCGCCTCGTTGCGATGGTGGTGCGCTTCGGAGCCGTTGGCGCGGGAGCTCGAGCCTGCGCGAGCGGGCGGCGGAGGCGGAGAGAGCAAAGGAGGGAGCAGAGGGCGGGGATGAGGGGACGGTGCGTAAGAAGAGAAAGGAGGGAAGCAAGACGCGCGCGGGGCCACACTCGGAACGGGCCACACATCCCGCGAGCTTCCAGGCAAAGCGCTCAGAGAGAGCTAGTGCCGCGCCTCCAGCGCCCGCATCTCGGCGTCGCGCGCCAGAGCCGCCTCCTGCTCCTCGTCCTCGTCTATCGCCGCCGCCACGGCGGCGTGGATCTCGGCGCGGTCGCGGGCGCGCTGCGCCTCGCGCTCGCGCTCCTTGTCCGCCGCCTCTTGCGAGGCGACGCGCTGGCTCTGCTGCTGTTGCGCCAGCTGGTACTCGCGCTGTGCGCCCTCGGCACTGCGCCAGCCCGAGCCCGGTGCCGCAGGCGGGGCCGCAACCCGGCGCCAGGCACTGCCGGCATCGCCGCCATCGCCGCGCCAGTGCGCAAAGCCGTGCTGCCCATCCGCAGCTCCGCCATGCGTCGCCGAAACATGGCGGCGCATGCCTTGCGGCGCCGGCGCTCCGCTGCCGCTGCCGCTGCCGCCCTCCCCGGCGTCGCTCGTGCGTGCGCGCACCACCGCGTGCTCAATGCGGCCGCCGCTCCGAGACGCACCGTGGCCGTCCGAGGGGCGTGGCGCGGCGCCATTGCCGCCGCCGCCACTGCCCGTGCCGTTGCGCTGGTACAGCGCCGCCAGCGGCGTGTCGTCCGAGAAGTCGCCGTCGTCGGGGAACTCGTCGTCGTTTTGCTGCAGCTGCAGGCGCTGGCGCTTGTACGGCCGGCGCGGGCCTTCGCTCTCCTCGCTCGAGTGTCCGGCTTCCGCGGCAGCGATGGCGGACGGACGTCGCGCGTAGCCGTTTGCGGCACCACTGCCGTTGGCCTGTGCAGCGCTCGAGCTGCCAAAGGCATTCTGCGCCGCCGCAGCCGCCGCGCCGAAGCGCACGGCACTGGCTGAGCGCGCTCCTGCCTGTGCGCTTTCGCTGCGCGCAGGCGGCGCGATGCGAGGCGGCGGCGGCGGCGGCGGCTCGTCGTCCTCGTCGCTCGAGTCGAGCGTCAGGTCGATGACGGCCGGGCCGGGCTGCGCGCTGGGACGCGGCGCTGGAGCGGCAGCGGCGGGAGCAGGCGCCGCACGGGCCATGGCTGCACGAGGCGGAGCGGCGGCGCTCTCGAGGCGCACGGCAGGAGCAGCCGGCGCTGCCCGTGCCGGACCGCCCGGCGAGGGCGTGTCTTCGAGGACGAGCACGGGTGCAGCTGCCTTGCTTGCGCGGCTGGGCCCTGCATCACCCGAGCCGCCAGCCTCTGCCTCTTCCGCACTGGCATTGCGGCTGCTCGCATGACTGGCACCTGCCGCGCCGGCCTCGGCCGCAGCGGCCAGGCGCGCCGCCTCCTCGTTGGTGGACTTGAAGCGGTCGTCCTCGGTGTGCCACACGCCATCAGGCTCGACCAGCACACGCTCCTTGGCCGACGGCACACGCCGCAGGATGTCCTGCGCATAGCTGGGATGCAAAGGTCAGCCGACATGCCTCTGGTTGCGCGCGCGTTCGCATCGCGCACCCGTCCACGAAGAGGTTCTCCGGCTTGAAGTTCTGCGAGCACACGGGGCACTCCCACGTCGGCGTGACGGAGTTCATCGAGTAGAAGGCGAGCGCGTCGAAGCACTGCGCGTGCGGGCAGATCGTCGAGCGCACGGGCGTCGAGATGGGCACGTACGACAGCGGACACGTGAAGCGGAACGTCTGTGCGCCGGCCTCGATGTCGTCGTCCTCGGCCGCAGAGCGCACTGCCACAGGAGATGAGATTGCGCTGAACGGCTTGCAGCGGCTGACTTACTGCCGAGCACCACTTGCTCCTTGGACTTGGTGTGCGTGGCCTTGAGCGTCTCGACGAGCTCTTCGGGCGTGGCGATCTTGCACAGTGCAATTGCCATGACGTATTTCTGCCGAGGCGCGTGAGCACTTGTGCGCGCTTCAGCGCCGCACACGCCGACTCACGCCCACGTAGCTGCCGCCATTCTTGTCGCTCGCGTAGTTGAGCATGACGCTGTTCCACTGGCCCTCGCGCGTCGAGAGACTCTTGCGCGCATTGAGATCCGGCGGCGGCACACGGCCCGGGTGCTTCTTGTTACCCTTGAATGTCGCCGGGTGGCGGATGTTGTTGATAAGCAGCTCGGACGACGCGGGAAAGTCGATCAGACACGGACTGCCGTGCGAGATCGACGCGGCGTCCCACGCCGGCTTGGGCGCGATGAAGAGACGGTAGCTGTAGTGCGTGCTGCTCCAAGTGTTAGTGCAAGAGCCGAGAACCGCCGCACGAGGCACGCACGGGTCGGCAGCCAGCAGGGCGCGCTGCGTTGCTGTAGTCTGGAAGCGGATCGTTGCAGCGCGACGCTCATTGCCAAAGGCCTCTGCAGGACGCGGTCAGTGCACGGTCGCGGCAACGTCAAGCTCGCGCTGCGCCTCACCAACGAGCTGTGTGTTCGGGCTGGCCCATTCTGCGACGTGGTAGAACGGCGAGGGGCGGAAACGCGGGCGCGACACTGCAGGATGCGGTGTGAGATTCGAGTGTGCAGCGCGACGGCGCCCCGCTGCACTCACCAGGCGCGCTCGCATTGCGAGCCAGGGCTGCGTGGCCGGCGTGCGCCGCCGCGGAGGAGCCGGCGCCCGAGCCAGACGCCACCGCCGAGCCGCCGAGCTTGGCGGCCGGCACGCCGCCGTAGCTCTTCTTCGGCGGAGGCGCCGCAGCGACACTGGGCGCGCCAGGAAAGAGCCTCAGCACACGCAACAGCTCTGCGACCACTCTCGGCCGCCGCCGCCAGCACTCACCCCGCGGCCCAGTCCGGCAGCGCGGCCTGGCCCCAGTGCAGCGCCATGATGCGGCGGAACTCGTTGAACTTTTCGACGTTGCGCGTCTCGTGCGCCGCCTCGAAGAACTCGCGCAGCCGGTCGAGCAGCTGCGGCTTGTTGCCCGAGATCTTGATGCGCGAGTCGGACGCCGACGACGAGGAGAGATCCTTGAGCACCGCCTTGAGCTGCGCCACGGTCAGGTAGTCGATGGCGCTGCTGAGGCGCTGGGGGCGCGCACATGGGAGAGACTCAGCCGCCAGGTACGCAGAACGACACGCGGACACACTCACGACGTAGTGCGAGAAGACATTGTTGGGCGCACCGTTGCTGCTGCCCGCCGCCGCTGCCGCACTGCCGCCTGCCGCACTCGAGCCGGCCGCTGCACTCATGCTGCACGCAAGCTGCGGGTGCACCGACGCACGCAGCTGGCACACTCACGCGCGCAGAGGCCCGGCCGAGCAGAGCAGCTGCCTGCGGACGGAAGAGTCCGAGCGCGGGCGCGGGGAGCAGGGCAGCGGCGCAGAAGAGCAAGCGCACGGCGCCGCGGAGTGTGTGGAGCGGCGAGGCGGTCGGGCAGGGCAGGGTGCGGCGTTGCAGCCACGGACGATGGGGTTGCCTGGTGCGTCGGCGAGCGAGAGGGCGGGCGGTGCGGCGCTGGCACAGCGGCGTGCGTGGCGGGCGCTTGCTGCGTGAGGGCGGCGCGGCGACGATCTTCTGGCGCACGCGGCGGTGGAGGCCCAGCCAGACAGGCAGCGGCGGCCGCGGCACGGCGTCGCGCAGAGCCGGGTGCGGGCAGCGCGAGTGGGCCGGCGGAGAGACGGGCGCGCCGGAAGCGAGAGCGTGCAGACGGAGCGAGTGGAGCGGAGGCAAGGCACAGCGGCGCTGGCCCTGAGGGTCGAGAGCTGCGGCTGCTGCTTCGGCGCCGGTGATGATGACGAGAAAGCGGCGCGGCGCGGCGCGGCGCGCGTGCGCCGCGGCGGCGGCACTTTAGGGCGCGCGGCACGGCTCGCAGCGCTGCCACGCCGGGCGCTGAGAGAGACGGCGCACATGGGACACGCTGCGTCGTCACCAACGTCGCATCTGCGTCGTCTCTGCGTCCCCTGGGAGCCTCTGGTCACGACTCACATGCAACTCTAGGTGCGCCGGCCAGTCATGAGAGCAGACCAGCTCACTTCGGTGGCCCGATGAGCCGCCGCTGTCGATTGCCTGCATCGCCAAATCACGTGCGCACGCCTGCCACCCGTCGAGCCGTTGGTGCTGATCCGCATCGGGCCTCATCAGTTGATCCGCTGACTCGGGGCGCCGCAGGCGCTTCTCCTTTCACCATCATCTCCACCCGCACCCATACCTGCGCTTTCTCTGCACACTTCCAGCTGCACTGCGCCTCTTGCACCCTGCCCCTCTCGTCTCAGCCCGCCCCTGCTCGCTTCCCGCGTCCCACCTCCGGCACGACATTGCGGTGCGTTGTATGCCGACCTCTAGTTCCGTCGATGAAGCTGCCAGCGATGACTCGCTGCACGCTTCAGCTGCAGGCTCCGACGACTTGTCGCAGCCTGCCGAAGCGCCGCCCCTTCTCACGGCCGAACAGATTGCGGAGACGCATCGGCGCAACAACCCGGCTCATCCGGCAGACGCGGCAAAAGTCGCAGGACAAAAGGTGTGCAGCATCAGCAACGAGATTGACAACTGTGTGCAACGAGTGCACTTTGTGCCGCACTCGGAGCTGTCCAGGCCGTCACTTATCCGTGTGCTGCGCGCCATCGGGGCGATCTCGCCGCACGACGATCCCTTGGCGAAGACGGGCTGGAAGAACGTCCTCGTCTTGGGCATCAGACCTCGCCTCTGGATGAGCCCCGCGACGCCGGACTTCTTGCTATCTCCTACCGAGGAGGTGGTTACGCAGGCGATCTACACCGTCGAGGCGCACCTGAGCAGCCTCGAGTCGTCGCACCCCAGCTCGCAGCTCTGGACCTTCACCGTCGAGGACGTCACTGACTCGCGCCCCTTCGCCGAGTCCTTCCGGGACTACCAGCCCACCTACTTCCGGGCAGGCGAATTTTTCGCTCACTTCGAGTATCACGGTGATGACATCAGATTATGGCGCTCGTCGCGCCAGAACACGCTGCCCTCGCAGTTCATCGAAGGGGCGTTGCCGCTCAAGACGTTTCCGCTCGCCCTCGCGCCGCTTGCGTGCATCTTCTACATGCAGGTCTGGCGCATGATGGAGCAGCAGCCCGGCGTGCAGGTCACAGCCCAGCTTGCACGCCTCATGAAGCTGATCGACTATCTGTTTGGCCTGTTCGAGACCGACAGCCTCTGTGCGTGGCGCAATGCGCGCATGACGGAGCTGCGCGCCTCGCTCAACCTCGCTCAGCAGGCGGTCCCGCCGCAGCTGGCCGTCAACACTGCGCCCCGGGAGTTTGTCGCGTGGGCCCTTCCGGTAACGCCAACGTGGCAGTCCGTGTCTACGGGAACTCGGGGCGCTGCAGCGCATTCTTCGGTGCGCAGCGAGGGGCGCGACGCCGGCGATGGCCCCGATGAGTCATCGTCTTCGTCGAGCGAGCGTCTCGCGCGGTCAAGCACGCCGAAAGGCAGCTCCCCCGCAAGTTGCGCCTCCGACGCTGGCTTCGACGAGGACGGCGCCTCAGCCTCGCAGGGCATTCATCCCGACGCCGACTTTTCGCCGCACGAGCGTGTCCGCCTGCAGCAGCTGAACCGAGCATTCGCGGCCGAGTGCGAGCGCGAGCGTGTCACGCTGCGCGAACTGCGCCAGGGCCGGCAGCTGCGCGCACACATCGACATGGCGCAGCTGCTCGCCGACGTCGAGCAGCGCCGCAGCGACGAGGCCGAGGCTAGGTACCATGACCGCCTGCAGCAGCTGGAGCGAGCGTTCGCCGCCGAGTGCGAGCGCGAGCATGTGACGCTGCGCGAGCTGCGCCAGGGGCGACAGCTGCGCGTGTACGGCGACATGGCGCAGCTGCTCGCCGACTGTCGAGCAGCGCCGCAGTGACGAGGCCGAGGCTAGGTACCGAGCCTGGGCGCCCGGTACGCTTGCGGCACTGAACACCGGCCTGGCTGGAGTTCCCGTGTTGTGGTAGCAAGCATACCTCTATGTCAAAGCACTCAGTGTGGAGGAGGGCTGCTTCAAGGGGTATCATTGACTCTAGATGTGCTCCGGACGCGCTGCGGCTATGCCAGTGCAGGCGCCTCTCCCCTGCCGTCGGCCTCGCCATCGCCGCCAAAGCGTCGCGGCCGCTCGGCGCCGTTGTCGGCTGCCGCACGCTTGGCTGCGCGAGCGCCAGCGCCCGCACCGGCAGGCGTGCCGGCCAGGCGCGTGCGCAGGGCCGCATAGCGTGCGCGCTGTGCGCTGCTGACGCTCGGCGCCACCTTTGCCAGCGCGGCGGCAAAGTGTGTCTGCGACACCTCGACGCCGTCGACGGCGCTGCTGCGGCTCTCGCTGCCGAGACCTGTGCCTGCAGCAGCAGAAGGCGCGGCAGGAGCACGCCGCAGCGCCTCGCGCAGCGCCAGCACGGCCGCCTCGCGCGTCAGCGCGGCCAAGTCGGCGCCCGAGTAGCCGTCGGCGCACCCGTCGAGCGCCACGGCCTCGAGGTCCACGTCGGCCGCGAGCGGCGTGCGGGTGGTGAGGGTGCGCAGAATCTCGAGGCGCTCGTCGGCGCGCGGCAGGTCGACGTAGAGCAGCTTGTCGAGGCGCCCGGGCCGGCACATGGCCGGGTCGATCATGTCCGGCCGATTCGTCGCGCCGATTACGTAGGTCTGCACGCGCGCCTCGAGGCCGTCGAGCTCCGTCAGCAGCGTGTTGACGACACGCGACGACGACTCGGACTGCAGAAGTGCGGTCAGTAAGGACGCACGAGCCAGGAGAGATGGGCAGCAACTCACCAGCGCATCGTCGCGCCGCGGCACCAGCGCGTCGAGCTCGTCGAAGAAGATGACGCACGGCGACGACGTGCGGGCACGCGCAAAGACTTGGCGCACCGCGCGCTCGCTCTCGCCGACGTACTTGTTCAGCAGCTCCGGGCCCTTGACGCTGATGAAGTTTGCGCCGCTCTCGTTTGCCACGGCCTTTGCCAGGAGCGTCTTGCCGCAGCCCGGCGGGCCCCAGAGCAGCACGCCCGAGCTGGCACTGACGCCGACGGCGCGGAAGAGCTCGGGCCGCCGGATGGGCTCGACGATGGCCATGCACAGCTCGTCGCGCGTCTCGTGCAGCGCTCCCACGTCCGCCCACGTCACGTCGGGCACGGTGGCAAAGCCCTCGCGCTGCGACGACGGCTGCACCGACGGCAGCGCCGCGGCAAAGTCGGCGCCCGTGATGCTAAGCGGCGCGAGCTCGCTGGCGCTCAGGGCGCTGGGGTGCGTGCGCAGAAAGGTGGCAATCGACGAGTTGGCCAGCGCCGCGGGCATGGCCTCGAAGAAGGAGGCCGTGGCGCGGGCCACTGCCGAAGGAGCCGCCGGTGTCGGCGCAGGCACAGGCTCCACGGCGGCGGCGGCGGTGCCCACGGCGTCCGTCTCCTTCTGCTCAGCCATCTCCACGTCGCCTTGGCTTGTCCTTGCCTCGAGCTGCAGCGGGCCGCCGTTGCCCATGTCGCTGAAGATGCGCTTGACGGCCAGGATGCCGGCGGCAGCGGTGAGCGCGACGAGATCGGCGCCGACGTAGCCGGGCGTCGCCTTGGCCAGCGCTCTAAAGTCAAAGTCGCCCTCGAGGCGCAGCGACGCGGAGAGGACACGCAGGATCCTGCAGCCATGCATCGTCAGCGTCCAGCGTCCATTCGGTGCAGAAGCGCCGGCAAGGAAGAAGCAGAGAGAGAGCGCGCACACGGGCTCGGGTCAGGGACTTGAATGGGGCCCGAAGGCTGCGCGCAGCGGCACCGAGGCACCTCGCGGAAACGGTTTGCAGACCTAGTTTTCTTTCATCATACGAGCGCGCTGTGCTGCGCTCTCTCTCCCTCTGCTGCTGTGTGCCACTCACTGTTCTCTGCCTGCCTCGTCAGGCACGCCAAGCGCAATCTCGTGGTCGAAGCGCCCGGCGCGGCGCAGGGCCGGGTCGAGCGAGTCGGGCCGGTTCGTCGCGCCAATGACCATGACGGGCTTGCCGGCCGTCTTGTCCCACGAGAGGTCGTCGAGGCAGGTGAGGAGCTGCGCGACGATGCGGCGCTCCATCTCACGCTGCGCCGTCTCGCGCTTGGGCGTGATGGCGTCGATCTCGTCGATGAAGAGAATGCACGGCGCCAGCTTGGCGGCGTCGTCGAAGAGCTGCCGCAGCGTCGCCTCGGACTCGCCCGACGTGCCCGAGACGATCGAGGGCGCCGAAACGGAGAGGAACGGAATGGAGAGGTCCTGTGGCGGCGGCGTCAGCGCGTCAAGGATGGCGAAGCCTGCAGGCGCTACTCACGCCCGCAATGGCTCCGGCGAGCATCGTCTTGCCGCAGCCGGGCGGGCCGTGCAGCAGCACGCCGCGCGGCGGCTTGACGCCCGTGTGCGCGTAGATCTCCGGATGGCAGAGCGGCATGGCGATGAGCTCGAGCACCTTTTCGATGGCGCCGCCGACGCCGCCGAGGTCGCGCAGGCGCGTGCTCGGCGGGGTGTGTCGCTCGGCCGCCGATGCAGCGGCGGCGGCACGCGAGCGTTTGCTGCTGCTGCCGCTGGCACCGGCGGCGCTGCTGCTGCCTGCGCCGGCCGCACTGCTGCGCAGCTTGCGCTTGCCCGGCGTCGCGGCGCCGTCTGCGCTGGCATCAGGCATGGGCGAGGCCTCGCGCGTGGACGGGCCGTCGGCCGCATCGCCCTGCTGCGCCGCGATGGCCGCCGCGGCAGCAAGCGCCGCCGCGGCCGCCGAGCCAGCGGGCGGCGGCGGTGCGGCCGACGACGAGGGCGCGGGTGCGGCAGCGTTGAGGTTGAGGTTGCTGCGTGCGCGCGCCGGCGCCCATGCGCCCGTGATGGCGCGGTTCATGCGGGCGGCAGGGGCGTGCGGCAGCTTGCGCGGCGCATGCGACGCAGACGCGGGGCGCACAGACGGGCGCAGACGAGGCACTTGCGGCGAGTTGGTGTGCGGAGGAGGGCAAGGTGCGCAGTGTGCAGCGCGAGAAGGAAGCTCGCTCGGCGCGCCTAGCCTCGGCCGGCCGTGCTCAAAAAAGCGCTGCGTGCGCACGTGATGCGGTAATACAACAAGGCTCGGGCGCTCTATTCGGTGACTTGTAGTCGCCGTGCGCTGGGCTGTGATTCGCTGTATTCGGAGCGCAGCTCCACCTCGCTTGCTCAGACGCCTCCAGAGCAGGCCAGCCTCCCGACCCTCGCCTCCCCCCGCGCACCCGCCGCTGTCCGCCATGCAGACGCGCACCATCCTCTCCCTCACCGGCGCCACGGCGCTCGCCGCCCTCGTCGGCTATGCGCTGTGAGGGCCCCGCCGCGCGCGCTCGCCGCACGTCGCACCGCCGCACGTCGCACTCACGCCTCGCCTTTTCGCACACAGCTACTTCGACCACCGCCGCCAGACGGACGCCTCCTTCCGCAAGGCGCTCAAGCGCGAGCGCCGCCGCGCCGCGCGCCAGAACGACGCCGCCGCCGGCGCGCGCGAAAAGGACACGGCGCGCGCCGTCGAGCAGGCCGTGCGCGACGTGCTGGCGCCCGGCGCACTGCCGGCGGGCACCGAGGCACGCGAGGCCTTGTGAGTTGGCGCAGCGGTGCGAGCGGGCAGCGGCGAGGCGGACGTCGAGGTGCAGCTGGGGCGATGACGGCGAGGAGCGCGCCACACTAGCGCTCACGCAGGTCAGCGACGCCGTGTGTCGATCACTGAGTGTCGCAGCGCGTTTGGCGTGGCCTTCAGCTAGGACAGAGGGCAGCGTCCGACGCAGTGATGGCGGACAGAGTCGAGCCATTGCCTTGTCGTGGCATTCTGCGCTCTCTTGCGGCTGCACAGACGGTGCAGAGGGCAGGGGCGCACAGATACGCCGGCATCGAACGGGCTGTGGCTGTCACGCTGCGCCAGTGCGCAGTCGTCTTGCGCCTCCGCAGCAAAGCTGCGCACGGATCCGGCGGGCCAGGCTGGCTCGATCGTGCTTTGATCCTGCCCGTCGCGTCCCTTCGCTGCAAGAACCTGCGTCCACGCGTCGTCTGCGCTGCGATGGCCGGTCGAAACCTCCTCATGCGCTCGCAGCACGATCGTTCGGCGAGGCAGCCTACATGCGCCACTCCCTACTGACGCTCCGCGCACCTGCCCAGCTTCATGCAGTGCGTCAGCGAAGGCGAGACGCTCTTCGCGCAGGGTCCCGAGCACACGTTTGCCGCGGCGGTGGCCTTCTTCAAGGCCCTCAAGGTGTACCCGGCGCCCATGGAGCTCGTCATGATCTACCAGAAGGCCGTGCCGCCGCACGTCTTTGCCCTCATCATGGAGATGATCGGCGCAGAGGTGCGTTCCCTGTCGCTGCGCACGCTGAAGTGCTGTCCTCTGATGCCCTCGTCGTACAGGCCAAGATCGGCGGCGCCAACTCCTCGGACCCGCTGGCTGCGCTCGCTCGCGCCGCGGCTGGTGCACCGACGGCAGGTAGTGCGCAGTCCAACATCGACGAGATCGACGACGATGACGCCACACCGGCGCCTCTTGCGAGCGGCGCGACCGCTGCGGCGTCGCCTGTCTCAGCTCCGACGTCCTCGTCTGCCTCCGGCAACGGCTCCAGCGCCGCCGATGCCGACGGCTACGCGTACGCCTCGTCGCAGGAGGACGGCCACGGCAGTGCGACGGGCAGCGGCAACGGCATTGCGTCGGGCTACAGCTCGCAGCCCGAGGGCGGCGCGGCGGGCACCGGCAGCGCCAGCGCCTACTCAAGCCAGGAGTGGGAGAAGGTGTCGACGACGTCGGCTGCCGGCGCCGTTCCCGCGCCTTCTGCCGCGGAGCAGGCGCAGGCGCAGGCTGAGCTCAGCGCCGCAGAGTCCGTGGCCGCCTTCGTCTCGGGAGAGGAGCAGACACCTGGCAGCCCGCTTGCCAGCGACGTCACTGCCACGCCCGCCGCGTCGGCTGCCGCGCCGCCGGCCGACATCGCCGCCGTGCCGAGTGCGCAGGAGCAGAGCGCCGCGGCCGCCGAGGCGGCGCTGGCCGAGGCCGTGGCGGAGCAGGCATCGCACTCCGCCTGAGCACTCCTTCAGTCTCTTCACGCTCGATAGCCTCCTCCGACTTGGGCCTGCGCAGACCTCTGCTTGGCTCGTCGCGCCGCGGGCCCTGCCTCACCCTAGACGTCTCGCCATCTCTGTTGCATGTACAGCACCCTCATCTCGACTCGCTCGGGCCGTGCTCACCCAGCCGCGCCGTGGGCATGACACAAAACACACACACACACCGCGCCGTGCGCGCATGACCAATGCATCCTTGTCCCACGCCACACACCACGAACACCCTGAGCATGCGGTAAGATTGCGCGGGTACGTCGTATAGCGAAGAGCAGCCAGAGCCCAGGCTGGTCCCCCTCATGGCACCGGCGGCGCATGCTCCTGCAGCGGAGTGCGCACGTCTGCGTCTGCGAAACCGAGGCCCAGACTGAGGCGCGCCGCCTCGAGCTTGGGGCGCACCCACGCGCTGCCGCTGAGCTCGATGGCGACGTGCACGGCGCGCTCGCCCTGCGCCAGGGCGCTGTGCTCGCCCAGCTCGTCGCGCTCGCGCTCAAAGTCGCGCACCAGGGCCAGGCCCTCGGCCTCGGCGTCGGCGCCGCGCTCCTCGGGCAGTTCGGAGAGACAGCGCGCCAGGACATAGGCGCAGAGACTGGGTGCCTGGCGCGCAAAGGCCTCGAGCAGCCGTGCGGGCGACGGCCCGGCAGCAGGCGACTCGTGCGGCGCGGCGGCGCCATTGCCGCTGCTGCCGACGGGCCACTCGGGTGCGTCGCGCTCCAGCTCGGCATCGGCCGCCTCGAAGATGGCCGAGAGATCGATGTCGCTGGCACGCGGCGGCGGCGGGCGACGTGGACTCGGCGACGGAGCGGCGCTGCTGTCCGTGCGTGGAGCAGCGCCAGACGGCGAGGCCATGCTGCGGCGCCGCAGTAACTGCCGCCGGCGGAAGGCGAGAAACGACGTCTGCCCCTTGCCGAGCAGCGCCTCGCGCACCTGCAGGTCGTCGATGCCGTCGCGCAGCGCAAACGCACGCACCAGATTCGCTCCGAGCGCCCACAGGTCGGCGCCGGGACCGGCCAGGCGGCCCTGCGGGCCCGGAATGGCCTCCGGTGGGATCCAGTCGTATGACACGAGCGCCACGCGACCGTCGCGGCCGGCACCGGGCGCGCCGCGGAACGGATTGGCGTTTTCGTAGTCGATGACGACGAGCTCGCCGCGCTCGTCGAACATGAGGTTCTCCAGCTTGATGTCGCCGTGCATCCAGCCGGCGGCATGGAAGCGCGAGATGGCGCGCAGCGCGCCGCAGAAGACGAGCGCCACGACGCCCGCCACCTCGGCGGGCTCGCAGCCGGCAATGACGAAGAAGGCCTCTTCGGGATAGTCCTCCTCGAGGCGCACATACTTGCCGTCGGCGGTGCGCAGCACCTTGGCCACCGTGCCGGCGCGCTCCGGATTGAGCGTCTCGGCCTTCTGCACCTCGTCGAGCAGGTCCTGCACGTAGCGCTCGCGTAGGCCGCGCATCACGGCGCGAGAGACGCCGCTGCCGACGCTGCCGTCGGCGTTGCGCATCTTGCGCTCGACGCTCATCAGCTCCATGGCGGCGTAGAAGTTGCCGGCGCCGTCCATGGCCCAGCGCCGCAGCTTGGCCGCCGAGGAGACGCGATTGTCGGGCGTGGTGATGAGGTAGGTCATCGGCTCGGCCTCCTCGTCCAGCAGCGCACTGTCCTCGGCGGCTCGTGCCAGCGCTGCGGCCGCCGAGGCGTAGCCGCCGTGCGTCAGACGGGCGATGGCCTGCTGGCGCTCCTCGTCGTCCTGGTAGCCCACGTCGGCGCTCGAGTCTGAGGCCGAGAACAGGCGCACTGACAGGCCGTCCGTCACGGCGCCCTCGCGGAACGGTCCGCTGCGGTCGTACAGCGTGCCTTCGACGCGCACGGGGCGCCGCCGGCGTGCCAGCTGCAGCGACGCACGCACAGGACTGGCGCTGCGCCGCGCCGAGACGCCGGCGCCGAGGGCCAGGAGCGACGTGTAGGACGTCTTGCGTGCCATGTCGTGCCCGTGCGACACGGCCAGCAGCGACGAGAGGCTGCTGTCCGAGGCACGCGCACACAACTCGTGTGCCGAGACGGCCGGATTCTCGGCCACGGCCGACGCCTCGTCGTCGGCCGCCTGTGCCGCCGCAGCTGCAGCGGCGGCGAGCACGTCGCTGGAGAGCATGCGCCGGTGCGGCGGCTTCTGCGGCGCCGTCGACTTCTTCTTCTTGCGCTCTCTTGCTGCGTCCACCTCCGGCGTCTCGTCGGCCGGCGCCGTCTCGCTCGCCTGGCCCGACGGTGGCGGCTTGATCTGCGAGAGTGGCGCGAGGGCAATGCGCTCGAGGAAGCCACTGCCGTTGAGCGGCGTGCCGCGGCCACTGCTGCCCGCCGACTCGCTCTCGCGGCGCGGCGTGTGGATGCCAATGACGGTCTCGTGGCGCAGAAAGGCGGCCTCGGGCCCGTTGGATGAGAAGCGCCGCGGCCGCGACCAGACGCTGCCGTGCTCCGGCGTGCCGGTCGACGAGGTCATCGATGCCGTCTCGTCGCCCGAGCCGATGCTGCCGCGCCCCGTGCTCGACGCAGCGCTGCTGCCCGGCCCGTAGGGACGCATGCACCACGAGCCCGAGCGGCTACGGCTGGCGCGCGAGCTGCGCCGGCTGCCGCGGCGCGTCGGCGGGCCGGTCGAGGAGCCGCTGACAGAGGTGCCCTCGGTCTCTTCGTCCTCCAGCTCGCTGCTCTCGTCGGTCGTCTCGTCGCCGCGCTCGTGCGACGGCGCCGCCGTGGCGCTGGCCGTGCCGCGCTTCCACGCCAGGTGCAGGCCGACCTCGCCGTCGAGCGAGGCGCGCGCATGCTGCTGCCAGCGCTCGTGGTCCTTGCCGAGAAAGATGGTGGCGGCCCGCAGCGCGCGCCCGCCCGAGGCCGACGGCGGCAGCGTCCACTGCGGCGGCGGGCGGTCGGCGTTGTGTGCCTCGGCATCGCGTGCCTCGAACATGGTGCTCGTGCGCAGGCCCGAGCCCGGCCGGCTGGGGCGCGGCGACGGCGCTGCGCTGGCGGCAAGCGTGCTGGGCAGGCTCGTGGCCGCCGTCGGCACGCCCGACGACTCGCTCGCCGTGCTGCTGCTGCGGCTGCTGCTGGGCGCCGCGGACGTGCGCACGGGCGAGGCGCCGGCCGCCGGCGAGGCGCGGCGGAAGCCGAGATTGGGCATGCCGGCGCTGCCGCTGCCGCCGCTGGAGCGCCGGCGGCCCGAGAAGGCCGGCAGCGCCTCGTCGGGCGACGTGAGCGAGTGGCGGCGGCCGCGCGGCGATGTCGGCGACGGCGGGCGCGGCGAGAGGGTGCGTGACGCAGGCGCCGTCGCTGCCGCACGCCCGGGGCTCCGGCTGCTGCTGCTCACGGCACCGCTGCTGCTGCCGCCGGCGCTGAAGCCAGGCGGAAAGACGGCGCTGCGCGGAGTGACAGGCGCATCGGTGGGAAAGGGCGTGCTGCTGGAGGAAGCGCCGGTATCGCTGCTGCCCGGGGCGCGCGAGTCGCGGCTGTGCTCGCGGCTGGTGCCGCGTGGCGGCGCCTCGCTGCTCTCTGCCGAGGGCGCCATGCGAGTGGCCTGTCGCGCTTGGGATGGAGTGGTGAGGTGAAGCAGAAGGTGCAGGTCGCGGCAGAGGGCAAGATCGGGGCCGGGCGGGAAGGAGGTGCGCTGCTGGCTGCGCTGGCCGCGGCAGCAGCAGGCCGCGAGTGAGGTGGAGGCGGGCGCTGCACGGCGGCTGCGCGCCACTTTCGGGTTGGCGCTCCGCTCGGCTTGGCCGTGCGTCGTTGGGACGAGGGCGTGTGCGCGTGTCGGCTGGGGTCGCGAAGGCGGTGCGATGGAGGATGCGTGGAGGAGAAGGAGCAGGCGACGACGGTGAGCCGTGCGTCGTCCCTGATGCTGTTGCGCTGCAAGCCGTTGGGCCTGCTGGCGGCTGGCCTAGCGCGCCCTTGGCCGCGCGGCGGCGGCGCGCGTGACCTCGGCGCCGCCGCGGCGGATGGAGAGGAGGCACTTCAAGGCTGATTTGCAGCCGCGGCCCGCCAATGAAGTCGCTCAATACAGCTCGGATGAGGGCGAATACAACTGCGCCCTGCAGGCCCGCTGCATCTCGTCTGCGCCTGCACGCCGAAGACGCGCGCTGCGCCTCAGACAGCTCATCGAGCAGAGCCTCGCAGCGCCTCGCTTCTGCTGCCGCTGCGCCCCGTCGAGCTCCGCCGACGGACGAACGCACGCCCGATGGATGCTGCCGCTGCCCTGCATTCTGCAGGACATGCCCGGAGAACGAGGGCTGAGGAGGCGCCCGCAGTGCCGCAGCAGGCACACAGGGAAGACGAGATGGAGGAGCAGCACGCAGAGGGGCTGAGCCGCTGCTCAGGGTCTCTTCTGCGCTTCCTTCGAGGCTTAGAGTGGCACTGCGCGCGCCACACGAGCGGCACTTTTCGGGCAAGAAAGCGCGCTCCACGGCCCCTGCGCTTGGCCGTGTTGCCGCAGGAGGGATGGGAGAGCGGCGATCAGGCTCGGCTGCGGCGCACCTTCCAGAGTCAAGTGGCTGCTCATCCCGCATCTGTGATGCTGGGTGCGGCGTCGATGTGGAGACCACGGCTGGTCTGGTCCTCGAGCGAGGGGCTCGGCAACCACGAGCGGTATGCAGCACCCAGCGCGCATGGCGCAGCGCTGCCGGTTGCGAGCTTCTGTGAGGGGCGCAGAGATAGTTCGACTGACCCTGCGTCGAGGCCTCTTCAGGTACACCGAAGCGCTTCAAGCAAGCAACCATCACGCGTCCGCGGCTGCACCTGAATGAGAGGCACGTGGCCGAGATCAAAGAGACAGCCATGAAGCCCTTTGAGCGACCGCCGAGGTGCTCAGCGGCGGCCACTTGGAACCCAGAGAGGCTCCAGCAGTTGCAGGTGATGAGAGAGGAATGATTGCAAAGGAAGCGCAAGCGACGCGCACCGCTGCAGCAAGACCTCATGACCAAGGCGCCTGCCGCCGCAGCAGCGCAGCCTTCGCGAGTGCTCCCTTGCGTGAGGAGCGCCCCTGCGCGGCGGCAGCAGCGCCCCACGAGTCCAAAGGGACGTGCACGTGACTTGCTGATCGCTGCCGCGCGGCCGTGCCCATGCAAGATGCGAGATGCGCTGCGCGCCAAGCCAGGCGGGCGCTCTGCAGCGGCACACAGGCGGCGTGCTGCCACCAGGCATCCGAGCAGCGTCGAGAGAGCGCATGCTCCGCGACGCACTCCACACGCCGGCCCGATGCCCCTCTCCCTCGCGCCCCTCAGCGCCACTGCATGCTGCGAGGCGACGCCGCTGCCGTCACTGCTCAGCTGCAGCATGCAGCGCATGCGAGACAGCGGCGCTATGCAGCGATACGAGCAGAAGCGCAGCGCGAGAGCATGTGCCCCTGCGGCACGAGGCGAAGGCGCCGGGCGGAGCGGCGAGATCGCCATGCCGCGTGCGTGCGTCGGCCGCCGGCCGCATCATGCTACCGCTGCATGCGACGCTGCGGTCGCAGGCGGCCTGCCTGCCGCTGGCCTGACCCTGCCCCAGCCGGCGGGTCAGCGAGCCGGCAGGCGGCGACACACCGAGGCGCAATCTCCCCTCCACCTTCCTCACCCTCACCTCTCCCGCTTCAAGCCAGACCATGCGTTTCCTCCCGCTCCTCTCCGCCCTCCTGCTGTCCAGCGTCGGCCTCGCAGCCGCGCAGGAGAGCGGCTCGAGCAGCAGTGCCAGCGCGAGCAGCGAGGGCGGCAGCAGCAGTGCGGCGCCGAGCTCCACGGCGGGCGCATCGTCCAGCTCGTCGGGCGCAAGCTCCAGCATGCCCACGTCGGCGCCCAGCTCGTCGGGCGGCGGCGGCGGCGGCGACAGGGTCTGCTCCATCCTCGTCGGCGACCCGAACGGTGAGTTGTCGGTGAGGAGGACGAGAGCGGCGAGGTAAAGGCGTCATCGTAGCGGTGAGGAGGAGACAAGGGACTCGCGAGCAAACATCGCTTTGCTACCCTCTGGGCGAGGGAGCATCAGGACAGGGCGTCGTCAGCTCTCGCTGCTGCTAGCCAGCTCCGCGCTTCGACTGTCGCTTTCTCTTGCGCAAAATCTCTGCCCCTTGTCTGCGCACTCATCTGACGCTCCTCAACCTGCGTCTCGCTCCTCGCCAGTGCGTCAAGCCGACTGCACCTACTCGTCGACCTTCACGCCGCCGTACGACCAGTCCTCCATGGCGTCGTACCTCATCGGCGGCTACCAGGCGGGCCAGGGCGAGGAGATTGACGCCGTGGCGACGCAGTTCGCCGAGGGTGCGTGCTGCCTGCCTGCTTGAGCCTGTTCCGAGAAACAACGCTGATGTACATGCTGGCGCGAGCAGAGGTGCTGCAGTACTACCCGACCATGACGTCCTCCGTCTCGCAGCTCGCTCCCGAGTTTGGTGCGTCTGTCCTCCTTCTCAGGTCCCTTCCCGTCACTCAGCTGACGCCTCCTGCGCACGACACAGCCTCGGCCATCCGCGCCTCCATCGCAGCGACCAAGCCCGACGGCGCTGCGGGCCTGCACGTCCCTCGTGGCCTTGGCGCCGTCGCTGCTGCCGGCGCCGCCATCGTCGCTGGTGCCGTGTTCGTGCTCTAAGCGGAGCCCGGCCCTCGACGTCTGCTTGCAACCCCCTCTGCGACGCGCTGCGACGCTCTGTCGCACCGCACCGCTGCGAGCTTCTCACTCTTCTCCCTCTCTAGCGCCTCCTCAGTCCCGCGTTGTCTCCATGTCCCTGTCGCTGTACTCCTTGCCTCCACTTGCTTCTTGCTAAGTCCAAATCGATGCCCTTGGGCCTTTGCACTGATCCCTTCGTTGTAGCGAAACGTCTCGAACGCTCGAGCTGCTCGGCGCTGAGCGGTGCAGCTTAGCGCTTGCGTGGGCTTCATGCGAAGCGGCATCGCTGCATGGCCGCGGTCGTGCGCTTTGGAGGTGAGGCGAGACGGCATGGCATTATGCGGCGCCCACGCTTGCTCTCAGCATCTTCGAGGCCGTGAGACGGCTGCGTCGTCGGTCCCAGACGGACACGTCAGCTGCCACGCACACCTAAGGGCGGCGCGACACCCGGGACGAGAACGGTCGTCGCAGGGACTCGCGCTTGCTTGGGCTGCACGGAAATGCCCCTCGACGCTGAGTGACTGATGAGGACTGCCAGCACCGTTACCGCCGCCTGCGAGGGCCGGATTGGGTCGCCGCCGCCGCCTGCTGTCATTCCGCTCCTATCTCATCTCGAGCTGCTTTCTGCTCCATCACCACTCATCGCTCTCCCCAGACTCCATCACCGCGTACCGCGCCGCTCGAGCTCCATCGCCTCTCGCTCCGCCCATCCTCAGCCGCGCTGAAGAGCGCACTGAACCCTAGCCTACTCCGGCGCCCGACGCCGCTCCGCCTCTCACCTCGTCGCCTTTCACCTCGCCGCCTCGCTTGGCTCTCCGATCACACGACGCGCCGCACAGCCTCTCCATCGCTGCAGAGCGATTCCAAAGACCCGTCTTACACCATCGCTCGTCGTCGTTGGGCTCAGACGTTCCCTCGCCCACCTGCTTCGCTCTACGACTGCTCCGCGCTTCGTCTGCATCTGAGAGGCACGCTACAGGGCGCCCGAACGTCATCTTCGCACGCCGCTCGCCGCACAGCCCGTCATGCTCGAGCCGGCTTCCCATGTGCCAGGCACTCCCCTCTCCGCGGACATGCATCTTCTGGCGTGGATGCCGCTCGAGATCCTGGCGTGCGTCGCGTCGCACCTGAGCGCCTCCGCCTATATCAATCTCTCAATGACGAGCCGCGAGATGCGCACCCTGCTGCGACAGCCGCACTTTCTGCGTCGCGTGGTCGCCTGTCCCCAGAGCGACAGGGCCCGGCGCTGGGAAGAGCGAGAGGCAGACCCACTTTGGGAGCAGCTTATCATCCAGAGATGCTTGATGGAGGGTCTGAACCGGACTCTGCCGCCCGAATGCGATGCCGAATACGCGGACATCAACTGTCCCATCGTCAGCTTGGACGGTCGTTACGTCGCCTGGGTCCTCCCGAGCACCTTGGACGACGGGACCAGGAACGAGGACAAAGGCATCTGGCTCTTTGATGTCTTTCAAGCGTATTCAATCCGTCTTCCTCGCCTGAGAGGTCAATCATTTGCCAGAGAAGTCAGGCTGCACGTCGAGAGCGACTTGATGATCCTCGCTGGCCCGGACCGGCAGACGTTGTGGGACCTCAACGATCTTTCCTCTCCAATCTTCAGCAACAAGAGGAAGGACAACGAGCGGGCTCGGGACGTGTTTGCACCCATTGACGGCGGCAGCCACCTCATTGTTCGTGTGAACAATTGCATCAAGCTCCTACGCACCGACCTGCTCAAGGCACGCAAGAAGTCCTCGGCCACGGTGCACGTCTGGACAAACGTTTCTGCCTTGGCCTTCTCTGCCGCCTCGCCCGTCTTGCTCATGGCCGGAGAAGAGACAAGGAGCGAGAGCGGACTAAGAGCCGGGGCAGAGGCCAGCCACGAGACCAGAGTCCCGCAGGGTTCCATCCAGCAGTGGAATGCTGCGACAGTGACGCTACAGAGTGAGGTCAACTTCAGTCTCTTCTATGACTGCCTTGCAGTGTCAGACAACGGGACTCGCGCTTTAGCAATCGGCGATCTTCCAGATGAATCCGGCCGGCGCCGCTACCAAGCACACGTGTGGACGCTTGGCAATCCCCTACAGACAAGAAGCACTTTTGACCTCATCGGTCACTTCAGGCGCTTTTCTCTGTCGCCGGACGGCCGCTATCTGGTGTACACCGCGTGCAAGAAGAACAGTGCGCGTGGCGTCCCAGAGTGGCCCTATCCAGAGTGGCGACTGCTGATTCAGGATCTCGACAACGTCAAGCGTATGCCTCTGACTTTTGTCACCAACGCCTACTACCCAGACGTTCCTCGATACTACTTGACTCGTCTTGGCTTGGCAGCTCGAGAGATCGTGCTGCACTGCGAGGAAGTGCTTGTAAGTGACGCGCTGACTGGGCAAAGGCGGACAGCAGAGCTGACCCGACCCTCAATCTGCAGCCGTCGTCGCAGCTTTGCTACCCAGAAGAGAACCGCCTGCAAATTAAAGGCTCTTTTGATAACTTCTGGGTGGTGACTGCGGACATCACCTACTTCGAGGACGATACCGAAGACGGGGAGCTGGATCTTCGCGTTGTTTATCCCACAGCCATCCGTGCTCTGGCCTCATATGGCTGAGACCTTACTACTTGCTGAGCTGTACTGAGAGCCCACAGGGCCACGCCTCTTCATGTAATCCTGATCATCTTGTCGTTCGGCGCGTCGTGCGCACGCTGTTGTCCATCGAGCGGGTTGGGAACGCTTCGCCTGCGAGCTGTGGCAAGCAAGTGGCCAGAACCAAGCTTGGCGAGCGTGTTGCTGCGACAAGCGCTCTCGACATCGTCCTCTTGCATGCTATCGACTCGGCCGAGGTTGCGGCGTGACCCCTGAGTGTGACGCAGGTACGTGATCGAGACGCGCGTCGGGTGGAGGAGCGGCGTCGACGTTGGCAAGCTCAGAAGGGCATTATGCCGCGCCCCGAGCTTGCTTCATGACCGCCACACCCACTCAGCAACCATTGCTGCTGCTGTCACGACCACCTCTTCTCTCCGCTCTACGTTCTACGCCAGGGCGTCCGCATCGGCACGTCTGCGGGCCTAGCCACGCACGGCTGCGAGCTCGCCGCAACGCACCGGCCCTGCGTTGCGTCTTGTCTTCGCCATGACGGACTCAAGCCCAAACGCAGAGCCGGCCGCGCCGAACCCCTTCGTCGCTGCGGCAGCGAGCCTTTCTGGTGCAAGCGACGCTGCTCCCAGCTCCGCGGCCGCTACTTCAAGCTCCCACCATGCCGCAGCGACGAGCGACGCCTCGTCGAGCGCCGAACGCGCTGATTCGACGGCAACCGCTGCCTCAAGCCGTCACGAAGCTGCCGAGATGACTCCTCCTTCGCACTCTCTCGCCACTCCGCCTGCGGGCCTTTCTGCTGCCGCAAGCACGGCCGGCGCTGCCTCGAGCCTTCCTGCGACGACTCTTGGAGCGCCTCGCACGGAGTCCAGCGGGCCGCTGGCCCGTCTTCCGCCCGAGCTGCTGCTGCTGCTCGTCGACTCGCTCGATGCGGACTCCTACCTCGCGCTAGCGCAGACGTGTGGTCACCTGCGCCGCGCCTTCCGCAAGCCGATCTTCCTCAAGCACATCGTCGCGTGCCCGAGCAGCGACAAGCCGCGTCCGTGGGAGCGGCGTGTGTCGGACCCGCTGGTGAGTCTGCCTTACCTCGGGCACGCAATGCACAGGCGCTCACGTACTGTTCTAGTGGGAGCAGCTCATCCTCGAGACGAAGCTCGTCAAGCGCGCCACCTCCACCCCGCTCCGCTGCTCGGGCCTCGAGCAAGACTCTGAGATTGCGCAGACAATGAGTCTAAGCACAGACGGGCGCTACATCGTGTACCAAGTGTCTTGCCTCTTCGCCGGCTTCCACATTTCGCCGCGGGCGCCTGCACCGTCGCGCCATTACACGGTGTGGCTGTGGGACATCTTTGCCGACTCTCACTTCGAATTGGCGGACTTGGCTCCTCAGGCTTGCCATAATGGCTTCAGCTTGCATGTAGAGCACGATCTCCTGCTCGTCTACCACAGGGGCGAGACGACTTTGTGGCACCTCAACGATCTGTCTGCGCCGCTGTTCTCTCAGACTCTGGACTACAACGCAACCTCGCCTCGGGTGCGGCCCGTGCAGGATAGCTCATCCTGCGGGCTCGCAGACTCGGGCAGATATCTCGTCGTACGCGTTGCCAACAGCAACGAAGTTTCAGTGCTGCAGGTCGACGCGCTCAAGAGACAGGGCTTGCCCGCAGCTCGCGTGCTTAGCTGGAAGGAGGTCGACGCCTTTGCCTTCTCAAGCGCCTCGTCGGACGTTCTCATTGCCGCTGATCAGCGCGTTCAACACTGGAACGTCGACACCCGTCAAATGCTGCACGAGGAAGACTACGCGCACTTTCCAGCACCTCCAGGGCTGCTCGCGATGAGTCAAGACGGGAAACGAGCTGTCGCTTGTCCATGGGGCAGCGGAAAGTGGGGAGCTGTTCAAGAGTCGTGCGCATGGGCACTGAGGGAGCCTTCATGGCCTCTTACGCGCTTTCCGTCGCTCGACGTCTGTCGCGCTCGTTACGCCGAGTACGACTATGGCCGCCCACACGTGCTGTCTTCCGACGGGCGCTTCTGGGCTTACTCAGTCTCCTTCTACCCCGACGTAGACGACGAGGGAGGTCAGATCGACGACGACGACTTCGCACACCACTTTACGATCCTGCACGACCTGATCAATCCTGCAGCGCCGCCTCTTGCTGTGAGGGACTGGGGCGACTACGACGAGAGAGATACCGACGAGGCTTTCCGATCCGAGATGGTCGCCAAGCTGCTCTTCATCGAGCTGGCCGGAAGCCAGTCGGCAATCGAATCGTCGCGCCCAGTGGAGCTCGCCGAATGCTCAGATTCGCAGACGGCCGAAGAGGCGTCTTGGGCTCTGGAGAGGGTAAATGCCCAGTATGTCGAGATCGAACGAGCTTCCGACGCTGCCGGCAAGGATGCGACATCGCCCGCGCCACCAGCCTCACTGCTGCGCGACCAGATGGGATGGACGGAGCTTTTTGCCGCAGAGCTGTCGCGGGACAAGCGCTGGGTTGCCTTGTCCGGCGGCGAACTTATGAAGATCGTGCTTGTGCCGCTCACGGCGCCGCACGACCTCTACGACGATGCGTTCGACAGGCGTCCGTACGAGCCATCTTTGCACGACGAAGCCGGCGTCGACTGAGCCGCACGCCGGCACACGCACAAGCAGACGGATTCGCGGCGCCGGCGCCGGCGCCAGGATCGCAAGCTCCGGCCGCACTCGGCTCTTCTTCGTCCAACACACCACGGCACACTCCGTCACTTCCCGCCTCTGCTCTCTTCCTCTCGCGGCGCTGCTGCGCTCTGTCCCCTCTCGACCCTCTCGACCCTCTCGACCCTCTCGACCCTCTCGACCGCCTCGACCGCCATGAATGATCATCACTTTGCCGTGTGCCTCTGTCTGACGCAGCACCGAAGGTAGCGGTAGCGCGTCGAAGGCAGAACGGCGCGGCGTGCTTGCGGCCCTACAGCTCCGTCCACGTCACGCCCGCAGGAGCCGCGCTGTCGATGCACAGCAGAAGGGCTCTGCGAGCCGCTGCTCAGAATACGCCGCGATGCTGAAAATGTCAAAGCGCAGCGAAAGTGTTCGGGACTGTAGCTGATTGCTAGCGGCCACGTCGTCGAAGAAGGAGCCGAGCGGAGGAGGATTGACGGCGATGCAGCGCGTCTCGACGGCGACACAGCGCGTCTCTCCTGCACGCCTTGTGCCTCACCGCTGCCTCGTTGTCGTGCCATGCAGCCTCAGAGACGCACACCCATGGGGCAGACACGTCGCAGCCACGTTGCGTACACATTGCACCGCTGCCAGAACGTGCGAGACGCAGGACGTCATGCGCTGTGCTGTGCGACGTTGAGTCGGCCTGCCGGCGGCACGGGAGCGGACCGGCGCCGGCTCGACGTGCGCTCGACCCGGATGGCCGCAGAGCCGCAGCAGCTGCCCATCTGATGCCTGATGGCGCTTCGTTCCAGCGTGCAGCCACGGTCCCTTCCCGGCTCGGAGCCGGCAGCTGCAGCTTGAGTTGGCCGCCGGCGTGCCAGGGGCAGCAGCTTTGGGCGCAAGCGTGAGACGGGCCGCCGCTCCCGCTGCGGCGAAGGCGGTCGAGTCATACGCGCATGAGCCCGCGGCGCCGTGCAGCGGCAAGCCGGAAGGATCAAGGCACGCACCGCGTGGCTGCAGCGGCGGCGGCGGGCGGGGCGGGCAGAGCGGCCGCAGCACGCCAAGCGCGCAAGGCGGGAGAACTGCAGCCGGGCAGCGGGCAGTCGCTCGCTGCACCGCACACAGGCGCCGTGCCCGGCGTCGCTGCCGTGTGCAGGCGCCTCATAAGGGCGGCGCGTGCCTGGCGCACTGTTGCCGGCCCCATCTTTCGCTCCTCCAAGCACCTCCCTCCTCGCGTCGCCCTCTCCAGCCTCTGGCACACCCCGCGCTCGACCAGCGCACCATCTCCTTCTGGCACACCCTACAGCACCACATCGCCACTCTCCCACAATGCTCTGCCTTGCCTAAGCGCCTCTGCTCGTCGTCCGACGAACACCCCACCCCCAACCCACCCAGACACAACGCCGCGACTCGCCCACCATGGTGCGCCCAACATGCCTCTTCCTCGGCACTGCCTCGACACAACAACAACAACAGCAACAACAAGCCAGTCAGAATGAGCAACAGTCTTGCACAGCTGGCGGGCCAGGAGTGTGAGTTTGTCGCCGTCTCACATGCCGCATCACACTCGTCCTGACACACCTCACCAGTCACTTCTGAGCCCGTCGACTTTTCCTTTCCCGTGCACTCTTCGCCCTTTGAGGCGCTCAGCGCCGACGACTTCTTCTCCTCTCCGGAGTGGAGCACGAGCGACAGCAGCACGGACCCGTCGCCGGCGCTCTCCGCGGCCTTCGACTTCTCCTCGTGCGATGCCACGCCGCTGCTCGAGCACGACGACATGCCGCTCGACGAGTCGTACGACGCATACGCCGCACTGCCGCTCTTTGGCGGCGCCGGCCTCGACGGCTTCGCCGACAGCAAGAGCCTCGCCAGCCTGCCGCTCGGCGGCACGACACAGGCCGAGGGCATGAAGCTGCCGCTCCTCACCGACGCCGCGGCACTGCTCAACGCCTTTGGCGGTGCTGCACTGCACGATGCACAGGCCGAGGCGCCCACCACCGTGTCCGGCGCCGAGCTTCTCGCCGTCGAGGCTGCCTCTACCGTCGTCGAGCCCGCCGTCGAGGCTCCGGCACCGACGTCGGCACTCGACCTACCGGCACTGCACGGCATCAAGCGTCGCGCGACGGCCGACGAGCTCCTGCCGCTCGACGCGCCCATCCAAGCTCGTCACTACGCTTCGCCGTCGAGCACCAGCCGCAAGGCCATCAAGGCTCTCCCGGCTCGCAAGCGTCGTGCTGCCGCTGCCGCTGCCGCTTCTGGCGCATCGACGCCCGTCGCCGAAGCTACGCCGGCTTCGCCCGAAGGCGACTGCGAAGCCTCCTTTGCGCTCGCCGAGGCCAAGATCGCGGCGACGCGCGACCCGGTCGCTGCCAAGCGTCTGAGCAACACGCTCGCCGCCCGTCGCAGCCGTCACCGCAAGGCCGAGGAGCTCAAGACGCTGCACGACACCATCGCGGCGCTCAAGGAGGAGTGCGAGGGCTGGAAGCGCCGGTGTCTTGCGCTTGAGGCCGAGCAGTGACGAGCAGCGCTCTTCGTCGTCTCGCTCCACGTCCGTTCGTTCCCGCACGCTCACCGATCAAAAATCTTTCGCATCCTTGCGTCGCATACCCAAGACGACGCACCTACTGCTCGCCTCTTTCTCGCTCGCTCTTTCGCATCTCTCCCGCTCCCTTCGCTTGACCCACTGTCTCGGTCCGTGCCTCGACCCACTGTAGTCTTCTGAGCTGTGCTCTCGTGATGAAATTGTATCGCTGCTCGCCTTCATTCTGCCTGAGTGCCTGAGATTTGCTTGCACGCTGAGATGTGAAATGCAGCGAGGGAGCGGACTCAGAGCGCATCGATCGGGCAGAGGATGGCCCGAGCGGCAGCGGAGTGCCGACTTCGAGCGGCGAGGCGGCGGTTCAGAGCCGCGCGTCAGGGGGTGCCGCTCTTCTCTTCCCACCACGACGACCTAATCAAGCCGCCTCGTGTTCGCCCAGCATGTACGCCGTAGCGTGCGTGCGCTCCGTCTCCTCAAGCCGCCACGCGCTGACTTCGTGGCGCGCACGCACAGCGACTTCTGTCTCATCCCGATGAACACGCCGACGCCGAGCGTCGGCGCTTACATCGCGGCGTGCCAGCGCGTGCTGGAGCGGTATGCGAAGCAGGACGGCTTCAAGTACGAGGTGCGTCCGCTATGGCTTGCATGCGCTACGTAGCTGACGCCGTGAGGCTCACAGATGCAGTACGTCGCTAGCTGAGAACAGCTGAGCACGCAGACGACAGACTGATCTCTGCGGCGCAGCGGGTACGGCACGAACCTCGAGGGCTCATTCAGCGTCGTCTGCCGCGCGATCGAGGAGTGCCACGAGGCCGTGCACGCCATGGGAGTGCGTGCCTCTCTGCACACTCTGATCTCTACATCGCTCGCTGATGCCCACCACAGTGCCCACGCATCGCGACGGACATTCGCATCGGCACGCGCACCGACAAGCCAGCGCCCGGTGCGGCGGCCAGCGAGGGAGAGACACAGGGAGAGGAGTGGGAGAAGGGCCTGGGCGAGAATGAGCGCAAGCGCGAGAGCGTCAGACGACGGCTCGCACAGGAGTGAGGGAGGAATGGTCATTGATGAGTCTTCGAGAGAGATACGAGAGGGACGAGATAATCGAGAGTAAACAGGAGAGCACGACGAGCTGGCGGACAGAAAGTTAGGCCGTCGACCGACGTGAGGCGAACCGAAGGGAGAAATCGAGCCACGGCGGACGAGAGGCGGGTGGAAAGAGCTTGAGGTCATGGTGGATCAAGCAAAAAGACGGAAAGGAGAGCGGCTTGCAGCTGGCGGTCGAAGACACATCTGCGCACGTCGAGGAGCCTTTTGCGGGCCGTCATGGAAGAGGACGGAAGAGATGGGACGTGTACACTATGGTGCGGCGAAGCTGAAGCGACCAGGCGTAGCGAACGGCGCTGCGCACTACAGCAGAAGCGATAGAGCGTCTGACGATGAGTGGCGCAAGACTGTCTTTCCGAATGACGAGCGCGAGAGTAGAGGAGCAAAGACGAGGCAGTGTGCTGCTGTCGGCGGCTCACTCATTGGCCCATCCGCGCACTCGCTGGCCAGGTTCACCGTTGAAGCAGCAATTCGCATCTCGAAGCAGATTGCGGTGCAGCACCTCCGAGGCGCGGATAGGGAAGATCAAGTTGGAGACCGGCGATGATTCTCGAAGCGGCATGACCATCCACTGTTTGTCAGGCGACAAGCACGAGGGCTGCTGCTGAAGAAAGTCGCAGGGCCATCCGTGGCGAGACAGCAGCGAGAGGTTCTCAGAATCCTTGACAGTCGCAGCGGAGGTCCAAGCCGGTGAGATCTCCCGGACTTTGAGGCTGCGCAGGCTTTCCGGCACCATTGCGAATTGCTCCTGCGTGTCCTCGTCATTCTGGCCGCCGGAGAAGTCCCAGAAAGGCAAGGTGTATGTTGCCGAACTTGCGCGCGTGTGTAGATCTGCAAACAGACCTGGCCAAGCGCTCAGTTCGGCGAACATCAGTGCCATCGCCTCGCGAATGTCTGTGCCGTCGTAATCGCATCCGGCATCCCATGACAGAGGCTCTGTGCGCGTGTCCGGCGAGTCAAGATCATAGATCAGAGTGGCGCAGGTGTGTTCGTGCCTGTGGGGCAGCTGACCCTCCGGACTATATGCCCAGAAACGCCCATCCGGTGACAGAACGCTTGAATAGTCACATGCATAGCCGAGTGTTGGGATCGGAGCGCATTGAGCAGAGTCGCTGAAGTCCCATGTACAGGCAGCAGCGTACTGGGTGCTCTTGCCAGCAAGCTGAGTGTGCTCTTCAGGACGTGAGAGACTGACAACACGTTGGCCGTTCTCCGAGAGCTCGAGCCGTCCCGGAAGCGCTGGAAAGTCAGAGAACAATCTTGATGTCAGCAGGATGGGGACGCCAGACTCGTTGGTAGCCCAGTGCTGCACAGTATTTGCAGGGACGTGATAGCAAGCTGCTTCCGGCGGCGGTAACTTTGAGAGCGCAGGGATGTCGAGAGCCGGAGCCGGACCGTGCAGCGTGCCGAGATCAAATGCCCCTGCGAGTACAATGTTTGGCGAGCCGTTGGAGCACGCAGCTGCGTACACGCCCGTCCAGGTGAAGGCAGCAGCCGATGAAGTGCTGTTGCGCTCTTTCAGCACCTCGACTCGATGTAGCAGCACTCTCTGCTCCTCGTGTACCATGAGATACGTGGCCTTCTGCAGCAGAGCAACCATTGGCCGGCGTTCGTAGGTGACTGTGCCTTGCAACGTCTCTTTTGTTGAGTAGAGGACGCGGCTGAGGTGAGCGTCTAGGTGCCACAGCGTTGCTCTCTGTACGAGGTCGCGAGCGAGGAGCAAGTCGTGCTGCACATGCAGGCTGATCCTGAAGCCGTAGTGGCAAGACAGCTCCATGTCCAGTTTGAAGCAGCGATCTGCGTAGAGGTCCCACAGGCAGAGCCAGGTGAAGCGGCTTCGTTGCTCCGAAGGTAGTCCAATGGGCGGCGTGCGATATGGGTACTGCAGCAACCACGCAACGTACCGGCCGTCGTCGCTGATACTCGGAGCGTAATTCATGCCCGGGTAGTCGGGAGTCTGCAGAATCCGCTGACGCGCGCGGTCAACGAATGCCGTCTGGATGATGAGCTGCTCCCATAGCGGGTTGAGATTCGATGATCGACACTCCTCCCAGGCACGGGGACCCGAGCTTCTTGGGCACGCCACGACTCGCTGCAAGAGCCCCGACGTGGTCAGAGTGCGACGCAGCGTGCGGCACGTGCTGGAGAGCTGCACATGGTCTCGGGCGTCGACCAGATCGATGACGCACAGAAGCACGTCAAGCGGGAGGCGAAGGAGCGGCGCGCTCGGCGCAGAGACCGCTGCCGTGCCTGCGATGAGGAGCGGCGCGCTCAGCGCAGAGACCGCTGCCCTGCCTGCGATGAGGAGCGGCGCGCTCGACGCTGAGACCGCTGCTCTGTCTGCGGTGAGGAGTGGCGCGCTTGACGCTGATATCGCAGCGCTGACTGCGATGAGCGTGCTCGGCGCTGAGGGCTCTGCACTGGCTGTGTCGGCGAGCGGCGCGCTCGGCGCTGAGTGTCCTGCTGCGCTATCTGAGACGGCGGCCTCGACGATGTCGTGCAGCTCAGAGGGGAACGACATGATGTGTGACTCCGCTCTCGTGGTGGGTGATCGTGGTCGTGGCGAGGGGGGCCGAGCTCGTCGCCCGCCGGCCGTGATGAGCCTCATGTCGGGCATGCGCAGCGCCGCGCGGGACGCGTGCGTGTCGCCTACTTTGACTTCAGCGAAGAGGGGCCATGCCGCCCACTCGCCGCCTGCCACGACCTCCTGCACAAACATCACCCACCGGCACCCAGTAGACTTAAGCGATTAGATTCCAGCAATACGAGCTTGAAGGCAACATCGAGCGCCAGCGGCGTGCGACGCAAGTTTCGCACGGCAAATACATGCATCGCTGTGCGACGATGGTGTGGCCACGTCATGTGCTGCGTTAGAGAGTCTCGCATGCGGCTAAGTATCGATTCTGGACATTCGGGGGGCGCGAGCTACAACAGCGCAGGAGAGGCAAGATGCTGCGCAGTATAGTGCAACAGGCATAGCGGGGAGGACTTCGAAGCTGATCGAAGAGACAGGCACTGACAGAGAAAGAGAGCGAGTCGTGGGAGGCTGGGGTGAGGAAGCGGCGAACGACGAGCGGAGCGACTCGATTCTGATTGTGCTGAGCGTTGGCTGCGACACTCCTCAGCGAGCGTGAAGCCGTGGTCGCAAGAGCGGTGCGCTCTCAAAGTCGGACTTGAGTCCAGCCGAACGTCGAGCCTATCAGCGTTCGTTTGGTGTGTCGGACGGCACTTCGAGCAGCTTGCGCAGCTCGGCTTGAAGCGACTCGTCCGCCCCGCTCGGGACGATGACGCCACCGACCGGGTGACGCTTGCTCAGAGCGCAAACCCATTGACCATCGGGCGAGAGATTGGAGACGAGGCACTTCGGCAAGTCGTGAAAGACGCTGCGCAGGGACGGAGACACTGCGGGGGATGGCGTCGCCTGAGCCCCGGACTCGAGTGCTCGCAGTGCCGGCCGGTCAAACAGTCGGACTCCGGACTTGTGGAGAAGCCCGAATTGATGCCGCGACGGATGCTCAGGGCGGAATAGAGGCCCAAACTCGCGAAAGCTGCGGGCCGGTTTGATCGCGCGCAGCTCAGCGAAAAGGAGTGAAGCGAAGAGAGGAAAGAAGCCTGATCCCCACTTTCGCGGCAGTATGGTGACTAGAGGGCTCGAGTCTGGCTCGCAAGTATTATGTACCAAAGCGAGCCGGAGAACGGGATGGCGCATAAGGTAAGCAAAATAGCCACTTTCACTTGCGAGAGCAAGAGACCGGTATAGGTCTCCCTGGAGATTGCTACGAGGCTTGGAGAACGACGTCAAGCGCCAAGCACCGTTGTTCAGCTCCCAAGTGCATGCGACCTCATCTGCTGGCGGCCAGGTGAGCCCGGGCTGCGCGATCTGGTGCACAAGCGCCACGGCGCGGCTGCCGTCATCGGACAGCAGCAGCTCTTCGACCGGTGTGGGGAAGAGACACAGACTCTTTGTGGCTATCAAAGCGCGATTGCTCCAGTGCTGGACCGTGTCGCCATCGAGAGGCTGAGGCGTCCTTGGCATCTGGCAATAGTCCAAAGCAGACGCAGACTCGTCGGTCGATTGCGTTGCGCTCGAGCTAGGCGCATCTGGCGGTAGGGAGAGCAGCTTGGCTCTGCCAAGCAGTAAGAGCTGCGGCGAGCGCTTGGAGCACGCGAACTCTCTGACGCCACTCCAGGTAGCGACGGTGTCTGTAGCCGAGCAAGAGCATTCTTGATGGCACGGACGGCTGCGCAAGCACGACTTGTACTTCTTCAGCTCGTCGACGAGCAAGAGTGAGACGACGTCGCTACCGCGCTTCTTGACGATGAGATGAGCACCGTGATTTGCGAGTGCCATGTGACGCCTGTACTCCAGCTCGGGCACACTATACAGCCGTCTGGCCGAGTGATTCCGCAAGTGCCACAAAGTCGCCGCACCGTCCGAGTCGTGAAGCAGGAGTAGGTCTTGCTCGAGCTGCAGATCAAGTTCGAAGCCGCCGGAGCCGCTCGTGTCGACATCGAGTTGAAACGTGTCCCGGGCATAGAGATCCCACAGCCAGAGCCCGCCGCTGCCCTTGAAGAGCAGAGCAATGTAGCGCCCGTCGTTGCTCACCCTAGACCCGCGAAGTTTGGCCATCCAGGGAAGCAAGGCGCACTGGTGCAGACTGCGCCGCGCGTGCTGGGCGAAGTTGGCCTGTAGAATCACCTGCTCGAACAGAGGATCAGTGCTGCGACGCTCCCAGGATCGAGCGACGCAGCTGCTCGGACAGGCGACGATTCTTTTGAGATAGTCGGCCTTCTTCAGATCATCGCGTGGCGCGCGACATGTAGCGGACAGCGCGAGATAGTCCTTCGGATCGAGTTGCTCGACGATGTAGAGCATGAGCTCCGCAGGGAGCCGAGTGATCGAACAAAGTGGTGACATAGGCGGCTCTTCGGCCAACGATGCTTCGGTGCAGGAGAGACGACCTTGTCCGGCTGCAGCCGCCGCTGCGGTAGTCTGGCGCGTGCGCGAAGGACGTTTGGGCATGACGAAGAGCCGCTTGGCGTGACGGTGAGTGCGAGAAAGAAGCGTTTGGCGCGAGAGGCTGTGGTGGACGCTGTGTAGAGAGAGCTCGATGGGCGTGATGGTGTGAGCGAGAAAGCGAGAGGTGAGATGAGCACGTAGCTCATCAAGGCGGAAGTGGCGCGGCGGCATCAGCGACGCTCGGGCCGCGTTCCCGCGACGCTCGGGCCGCCGCCTCCTCCCGCTACGTCTGACCCCGGCCAGACAAGGGCAATGCCGCATGCTTGATGGTCGATGGAGCCGCGACGTGGTGTCTGGTGCTCGTGCTTCGACGGCCGAGGCGCGGTGACAGCTCGAGCTGCGCCGACGAGCTCTCGTCTCGACGCGACTCGTCTTCTGCGAGCGTGGCTCGTCCTTTCGCGAGCGCGGCTGCTTTCGCCGTGCCTGGCTCTCCTCAGCCTGTATTTCCGGTCCGCCGTGCGCCCTGTCTTGGACGCAGCTTGCTCTGACGGGCTCTCGAGTAGCGAGCACGACGCATGACAGACCCCGCTCCTTCTCAAGCACGACCCAACGTCTGATGACAAGCGTTTCCATTCCTTTTTCTACGCCTGCCGTGCCTCTCTGGCCATCTGCACTCTCTCCTCCAGGCGCGACCGCCGTCCCTCGATCGTAGCCATCCGCTTCGCCGTAGCTCTCGCCCTCCGCACTCTCCGCGCCTCATTCCGGCCCGCCACGCCCGCGCCCGCGTACGAGTTGGGCCCGACGTCGGCGATGCGCAGCGGCGCGCGCACGCGCGTGCCGACCGTCGTGGGTGCGTCGCGGACCTTGCGGGGACCGTTGGAGGGCAGTGCGGCGAGCTTGGCGCCGCGTGCGACGTTGGCGGCGTGCAGAGCGGGCTCGAGAATCGACGGCGGCTGCGAGAGACAGACACGAGTCAGCAGAGCATTCACTGTGTCGTGGAGGTGTGCAGTAGACTCACCTCGTTGCCCTCGTCGACGATCTCGCGGTACGGGCCTCGGATCTCGGCCGACGAGCCGGGCAGCGAAGGCACCGGCTCGTCCTCCTTCATGCCGCGCTGCATCTGCATCGTCTGCGCCGTGGGCGTGACACGTCCGCTTGCGCGACCATTTGAGCTCGAAGCAGCATTGGAGGAAGAGGCGTCCGAGGAGGAAGCAGCTTTCTGACGGTCGGCACGCTGCTTGTTCAGCGTGGCCTCAACGGGTGAGCCCAGGAGACGCTCCATCGAGGAGGCGAAGTGTGTTTGCAGAGGACGTCTCTGCGGCGCGAGGAAGAGGCGTGGTCAGCGAGCTGTGCCATCCGTCACTGGCGTCTTCCGCTCTCCATCTCGTGCCGCCGCCTAAGTGGCATCGTCGTGTGTGCTCAGAGTGTTCAAAGGTATGTGTAACCATGTGTGTGTCTTCAAGACTAATCGAGTTGTAACTCATCCTCGCTTGTGCTGCAGCCGCAGCCGCAGGCAACTCGGCCTCGTTGCCGCTCCATCTCCCCTCTCCCTGTCCTCTTCTCGACGCGACTCACCTCCTTGACCCACTCCTTCTCCAGCGCACACAGCCGCAGCACTGCCTCGACGCGATCGATCGGGATGTGGAAGCGCGTAGACAGAGCTCTCGGCGCGCCCGAGCCCTTCGGCTCTGCGATGTGCGCAGCCCACAGGGCCTGTCTCGTGTACGTCGGCAGCGGCGGAGACGGCTTGAAGGTCGGATTCAATGGGAACGGCTGTTTGCGCTGGCGTCAGCGAAACAAAGCAGAAGGGAAAGGGGAGCAACGCACCGTCGAGCCAATCCAGAACGGACCCCTCCCCATGGGCGGCAGCTTGTACTGCTTCGCAGCCGTCTGGATCCAGCGCTCAAACGGCGGCATGATCGCTGCCCTTGGGCCACTGCCAGAGCCACGCGGGCGCGCGGCATCGGAGGAGCGGCTGGCGCGGTCCTCGGAGATGGCCGAGCGTGCGGCGGGGGAAGGCACGGCAGAGGGCGCGGGAGTGGCGAGCCGGGATGAGGAGGTGGAGATGCTGCGCAGCGGCAGGCGCGAGCTGGAGGCGACGGGACCCCGCATGCTGAACGACGAGGAAGGGGCTGCGAGAGGGTGAAGAGGAGCGAGAGAGGCCGGTGCTCAGAGCAGAGGCAGCGCTGACCTTGCGCTTCGCGCGCGCGGCGCGCTTCTGCGCTTCTTCGGCCGGGCTCAGCCGCGGCTCACGTGCCACGTGGCCGGCGCGCGGCTCAACGCTCGGCTCCGCTCCCAGCAGCCTCGGAGCGTCATCGGTCGATCGTCCGGCGGGGCAGCAGGCAGGCCGCCAGCCTCCGGCTCAGGGCAGCGCGAGCGCATGCTCCACTCGAGGCGCAAGCCCAACATCCGTGCGCGGCCGTCACGGCCGAGCGTTTCACAGCGAGGCGGGCGCTCGAGGTCGCTCGCTCGCTCGCTCCCCACCCTTGCCTCACCACCACAACCTCACTCATCTCCCACCACCTTACACACACTTCAATCATGTCTGCTCAGTTCGACAAGGTGCGTCTCGTGTGGGCGTCGCATGGGCAGCTGGCGCAGCTGCCTGCTCCTCCGCGAGCTGGGCAGCCGCGTCACGCGCCGTCGCTGCGTCGTCTCTGCGTCCGTCGCCGTGCAATGTGCTGACTCATCTTCCTTTTAGGCCGTCGCTACCGTCGGCTCCATGCCCAAGGTGTGTAGCTGCGTCGTCGCTTGCGGACGTGGAGGAGCTGGAAAGAGCGCGCGCAGAAGACGGACGGAGAGGATGGGGAGCGCAGGAGGTGGACAGCCTGCGCCTGAGAGGGCACAGCAGCGAGGCTGCTCGTGCTCTGCGACTTTGTGTCCGAATGGCTGCGACTGGCACTGTGCACTGCAGGACAGGCGCTGCGCTGCGTGGCCTGGTCGCTGTTGCCGTTTCAGCGCGCTTCAGCTGCGCTTCTGCGCATCGTCGTTGCGTGGGCGCCAGGAGCTTCTTTCCGCTCATCGGGCGTCGTTCCGCTGCTCTCTTTTCCTCACTACACCTTCGTCCCGCATCTCTCCCGTCGTGCTGACGCTTCACGCATCACAGGACGGCCCCGTGCAGCCCACGCAGACCGACCAGCTCAAGTTCTACGGCCTCTTCAAGCAGGCCTCGATCGGCGACGTCAACACGTCGCGCCCGGGCATGATGGGTGCGTGTGTGCCTCCTTTTCGTAGGCAGGTCGCCTGTGCTGATGTTGGCATACTCGTTCAGACTTCACGGGCAAGGCCAAGTGGGACGCCTGGAAGGCCAACGAGGGCACGAGCCAGGACGACGCCAAGAAGCAGTACGTCGAGTACCTGCTCGAGGTGAGTTGCGCCGTCGGCCTGGCGAGGTTCGGAGCAGAGCGAGGGCGGGCAAGGGCCGAATGCTGCGCTCGCTGCTGGGCTAGCAAGCAGCGCCGCTCGCGAGGCGAGCGAGGCTCAGCCCGTGTGCACTCAGACAGCGCGAGCCTTGCAATTGTCCGCGCTTCTGCTCGCTCTGCGGCTCGCGTCTCTTCATCGCCCTCAAGCTAACCCTTTTCCCCGTTCGCAGCTGCTCAAGAAGCACGGCGGTGAGCTTTATCCCTCTTGCCTCGCAGTCCGTGCCTCGCACTGACTCTCCGTTCTCGTACAGACCACGAGGACGCCAAGAAGTGGATCTCGGAGATCGAGTCGGCCTAAGCGTCTCTCGTCCGAGCCGCCGCGTCGTGCGCACGCACCGCGTCTGCGGCCGCCGGACTGCTCCCTCGCTTCGTGATGAGTTCAGTCCGTTCGAATGCAAAGATTGCCATACCTCTCTTTCCTTCCTCTTCTCACGTGCGAGTCTCGAGCGACCTGCGATGACGCAGAGATGGAAGGCGTCGACGTATGCGTCTCATCAACGCCCGGACCCTCTCTGCTGCACTCCTGCTTGCGCCGCCGCATCACGCGCCCACGGCGTCGGCGGCAAGGAGGAGGCGGCCTGTGCGGGATTGCCGCGCGGCAGTGCCGCATGCCTAGCTTGGGAACAGGGCTTCGCTCCTCGCGATGTCGGATGATGAAGGAGAGCTCATCTCAGCCCTCGCTTCCGCCGTGCGCTGCCTACTGGCCCGGTGCCGCCGAGGAGGGGCCCGCTTCATCATCGGCATGCCTGGACTGCTCGGCAGGATACTCGGGTGCCGTGCTGCTGCTCATGTGCTAGGCTGAAGCGTCGTGTCCTGGCGATGCCTCTTCAAAGTCGTTGTCGCCGTCGTCGTCGAGTCTCTTGCTTCCTTCACCACCATCTCCTCCCTCTCAGGCGTAAGCGGTATGGCGACCAGCATGTCCTCCTCGCAGCCCTCCGGCGCACACGGTCTCTTCTGGAGTCTGCTCTTCGCACTGCTCCTCCTCGGCATCCTCACCGAGCGTCTCCTCGTCTTTCTCCACTCGTGTCGTTCTTCGCCTCCCCCTCTCTCGGCGCAGCAAGAGCGCATGCTGAAGTGCCACGCTGTCGCCGACGTTGCAAAGGCACAGAAGGAGGCCAGCCTGCTCCTCCCCGTCTCGTCTCCCTCCGCCTCGACCTCGACGTCCGGCGGTCAGAAGCAGAAGAGCGGCAAAGGCGGCCAGGCGTGGCTGCTGCTCTTCGTCGGCGCAGCCTGCACACTCAGCGCAGCGGCCGTGGCTCTGCTCGCGACGGCCGTGACCGGCGCGCTGTTCTACGCCTGGAACGAGGAGCACGTTGCTGATTGTACGTGGCTTTGCCCTCTCCTCTCGCCCAGAGACGATGCCCTGACAGCTCCTGCCAGATCTGCACCTGGTAACCCATCTCTGCATCATCCTCATCACGCTTAGCGAGGCGCAAACGGCCGCGCAATTCTGGATCATCCTCGAGCGTCCCTCGAGCGTCGGTCTCGTGCTTCTCGGCGCCCTCGGAGCTCAGTTCGCGACGGGCCTGGCGGGCGGCATCACAGCCTTCCGAGGGCAGCCGCACGTCGACTCGCCCGGCAATGTCGTGGTGGATATCTACCTCGGCATCACAACCGTTCTTGCGCTGTGTGAGTCGTCTGCCTCGTGCCTCTCATGCAGCATCAGGCTGAATACGCTCCACTTAGTCCTCGCAGGCATGTTGGCCGCCTATCTGCGCTCGGCGCCCAACGGCCCCTCGGCACACGGCTTCACGACGCTGGCGCGACGAGCGATGCAGAGCGGCGGGCTCAAGGGCGTGATGGCCATCGGCACACTTGGGCTTCACGTCGGTCTCTCCTCTCCCGTCTGGGTCGGAGCACTCACTGTCACAGGCGTCACGTACGCCTGCTGCATCATCGGCAACCTCAACGCCCGCCATTCGCTACGCTCGGCTCTGCAAGCCACGCTGACAGAGGTGTCGCGCACCGAGGCCTCGGCTGGCCCGACATGGGCTCAAGTCTCGGACCTCGTCAACGCAGCTCAACGCGCCTCGGCCCCTCAGACGCCAATCTCACTCTACGCTCCGAAGCTCCAGCTCGTCTGCAGCACGCCTGAGCCGGCGCAAGGCGCGGGGTCGCTGCCGCAGACGCCCCAGCCGAGTCTGCTGCACCGCCGTCGTCGCACAAGTATCGACCTCGAGCTCGAGGAGGTCGTCACGGGCGACGAGACGCAGGGCCACGGTCTCGGAGGCATGCCGCACTCGCCTCGTTTCCTGGGCTCGCTGCTGCGTCGCTGCGCAGACCCCTCGCCGCGCAGCGCCTCGTTTGCTGGAGACGCTGCAACCTCAAACGGCGGGGCCTCACCGTCGCCGAGGAACAGCACATTTGGCCTCTCGCGCTCGCGTGCAACTTCGATGGCGGGACATGGGAACGCAGAAGCGATCTCTCCGGTAAGTCGAGCAGGCGACGAAGCACGAAGCCGCCTCGCTGACGTCCAACGTAGACGAACCCCACACACCAATAGGACGCCGAGCGCTGCGCGAGTGAGTTCCATCTCCCCTCGACCTCGCACCCTTGCTGACGCCGCGCAGGTCCGACTTATGACACGGCGTCCTTCACGACGTGCGAGATGCCTTCGATGTCGCACCAGCACAGTCAGGCGAGCCGCGCTCGACGTCAAGCCTCGACACGCTCCCAGAAGCGCCGCAGTCTGCCATACGTCTCCAACGGCGAAGGCTACGGCAGCCAGCAGAGCCTCGGCCGCGAGCTCTCGATGCAGAGACGCCCCTCGGCGCCGTTGCCGGGCAGCACGCCGCCTTCGCGTCCGCAGCGCTCGCCCTCGCGCAATGCGTTCAACGCAGACGACACGAACGATGAGAACGAGCCCGCTGCCGAGGCGCAGCAGAGCAGCGACGTCGAGACTGTCGCTGGCGAGCGTCGCCGCTCTCTCCTCTGATCTGACTGTACTCCTCCACACTCTCTGACTCCTTCCCGCGCCCCTCGTCGCTGTGCCTCCTTGTCCTGCCCTCCTTCACACGCTCGAGTCGTGGGCAATGAATCGCTCGGGCGTTGCATCTGCCGCTTTTGGGGAAGCGTGGTGTACATGCGTGAGATGTGTGTGGTGTGTGTGTGTCGAGGAAGACCCAGAAAAAGTGCAGATAGGAAGGAGATGACGTGTCAAGGCATAGCATTGGCGCATCGGAACCGCGCTGGCATTCCGACGCGGGCAGCGCAGGTGCTTTAACGGTACGACTTCTGGCGACGGGCGCGGGCACCCTTGCCGCCGTACTTCTTCGGCTCCATGCGGCGCGGGTCGGCGACGAGGAGCGTGCGGTCGTAGGCGACGAACTGCTGGCGCAGCTCGAGGGCGGAGGCGGCGTCGTGCTGTGGACCGAAGTGGATGAGCATGCATGCCCTCGCTCTGCGGCTGTGTCTTCCTCTCTCGTGCTCTTCCCGCGCTCCCAGTCCGCAGGTGCATGCCTGGCGTCCGACTGCTCCTTCCTTCTGACAGGCGAGCCGTCCCACATCGCACCACTCTGCTCTCCTGCTTCCCTCATCTGCTCTCCTTCTCCTGCCAGTCATGTCCCGCTTGCCCTCTGAGTACTCACGTGCTTGGCGTAGTACGCAACGAGGCCCTTGGCAATGGCCTGGCGGATGGCGTACACCTGCGAGGTGTGGCCACCACCCGAGACGCGCACGCGGATGTCAACACCGCTGAGAGGAGTGATCGTGTGAGCGTGAGCCGGCGCTGCTGATGATACGAACGGGCGTATGCGCAATGCCTGCAAGCCTCCATCACGCAGCGGCCCGGCACTGACTGCCTGCATCTGCCAGCTGCAGTCGAGCATTGGCGCTCCCGGCCATAACAATTTCGCCCTCACTCCCCCTTCGCGTGCCGTCGCTCTGGCCCGCCCGACTCTCGCTCGAATGCATGCACTCACGCGAACTTGTCCTCGCCGACAATCAGCACGGGCTCGTAGGCCTTGAAGCGCAGGATCTCCGGCTCGACGAGCGCGATGGGCTGCGAGTTGATGCGGATGAGGCCCTTGCCCTCCTTGACGTGGGCCACGGCCGTGGCCGTCTTCTTCTTGCCGAAGCACTGCACGGATTGCGACATCTGAACGAGAATCGAGGTCAGTGGCACGTACGATGTGATGGTGGTGCGGAGCGAGAATGAAGATGGCAGAGCACTGGCAGCAGCTGCGGCATGCCTGCGCGCACGCCTCCGCTCTCGCCGGCCCGGTTCCACCCTGCGCGTCGCTTCTCGCCGCCCTCTCCCAGGCGCAGCCCAGACGCAGCCAGCGCTTCCCTAAGGGCTGCAGTCTTTCCCGCTCTTCATGCGTTGACGCTCTCGCTATCAAGGCGAGAGACATGCGCGACCGCCATCTCTGTGTCGCTCCTTGGCAGAGCCTTTCTGGCCAGGCCGAGCGATTTTGCCGCGCCAGGATGAGCGCGGCGCACCCGGCCGCCTGCTGCGTCGTGCCGATGCACATGCAGCGTGCTATGTGCGCACGTATAATGCGCCAGAGAGGTGCGAGGACGAGAGAGGGCACGGCATACGAACCTTGAGGAGTGTGGTGACGGGTGTGAAGGTGTGAGCCAGCGAGCAGCGCTCTTGCTGGGCGTGGGCCGCGCTGCCCTGCCGCTTCCGCCAGGCTGACTGCAAGACGCTGGCGGCGCGGCAGCCAAGAGAGTCGCACGCGCGGCCGCCTGACTTCCAAGGCGGCGCCAGCCACGCGTCGGTCGAAAATTGCCGACGCGTGCCGCAGCAGCACCAGCACAGCGCCGCCGGCGCCCCTGGACGTGTGTCGGGACCGCTTCGAGCGTCTGCTGCCTTGCGGAGACAGCGTCGTCAGGCGGTGCACTGCTGCCCTCGCCGAGGCTCAGAGGTCCGACAAGAACAGCGATCAAGGGACATTTGCATGCTGCTGCGAGGTCCCTGCCGCCTGCAATGACCCGCCAGGCCTTGCCGCACCGCTGGTGCTGCCCGGACTGCGGTCCCATGATGCTGGCGACGACAGGATCAGCGAGTACAGTACAGCAGAGCAGCAGCTCGTGAGCTCGGCGACGGTCAGAGGGCGACTTGGGCCAGCATGCCGGCTAGCCATTTGCCGTAGCGAACCACAGACCCATGCAGTGCAGCCACCGCACAGCCGTCTTCTCTCCCATAGAACGCTCAAACACAGACTCTGAGATGCAGACGTTATGCCATGCTAGCTTTCAGACCTCGACTGCTTCAGATGTCGCATCTGCTCGCCGGAGATGGAGGAGGAGGGCTCGGCGGCGGGAAGAACGCCAGAGCACGTGACTCGCCCCGGCGCCGCCCGACGAGGCGAGAGGTGGAGGCAGGGCGCGGCCCGGCGGTGCTTGCGTTGTCTCCCTCGCCTCGCGGCCGCGCTGCACCAGGTCGACCAACATGCTGCGTGAGGGAGACACATGCTTCAGGTCTAGGCCCTGATCCTTTTTCTCAACTGCGGCAGGCTCAACAGCGCTGGCCGTGGCGCAGAGGGCGGAGGGACAAGAGGGTCCGGTCTGCGCCGACGCAGGCACGGCCGAGTTCCGTGTGGGGTAGCTTTTTTCCTGGCACAAGCTTGAAGTGCGGCGCCGAGTTTGTATTGCCCAGGCGTTAGATAATTTGAAGTGTGCTTCTCGCCGGCCAAGGCTCTGACCGCGAAGGCGAAGCTTCGGCCGGCGTGAGCGCCCGAGGAAGCCCTAGCAGCAGTCAGCGGTCAGCAGCAGCAGCAGGACAGCAGCCTCAGCAGCATACCTCGAACGCACTACCACCACAGCAGCTGCACTCCTCGCCCCTGCGCTGCCGCAACCCTCTCTCTCCGCTGCGCCCGCGTCCGTCTGAGTCGCGCCGCTGCGTAACCCCCTCCTCCCAGCATGTCGACCGCCGCCGACGCGCCTGCCGCTCCGGCTGCGGGCCCGGCGAGCGACGTGCCCGCTGCCGAGCCCGAGCAGCAGCAGCCGGCCGCCGAGCCGCAAGCCGATGCCGAGCAGGACGCTGCTGAGGAGCTCGACCCCGGTGAGTGCCCTGCGCTGAGCCGCCATTCGCAGCTCCTGACGCTCCGCGCAGAGCTGCAGGCGTTCGAGCTGGCACTGCACCTACCCGCGCGGCCACTGCTGCCCACGGGCGACGCCGCCGCCGGGCTGCCCGAGGTGCCGTCGCCGCTGCGTGTGGCCGTGACGGCGCAGGAGACGCTCAACGACCTGCGCCTCACCATCACCGACAGCCCCGAGGGCTACTGGCTCGGCGCCTTCTGCTTCCGCCGCGCACCCGCAGCGCAGAGCGGCAGCAAGGCCAACGGCGCCGCCCGCAACGGCGCACAGGAGCTGGGAGAGCGCGTGCCCGAGTGGGTCGAGCTGCGCGAGGTGTTCAAGGACGTGCCGCGCGAGCAGCGCGAGCTCCACGTCGCCCACGGTGAGTGCTGCAACAGCAACGTCCTTGAGGGCCGCACTCACGCTGCGCAGTCCACTTCAACGAGGCCGATGCGCGTGCCCACGTGCAGCGCCTGCGCGAGCTGCTCTCGGGCGGCCAGGCGGATCCGTCGTCGCTCGGCGTCGACGGCGGCATCAGCGTGCACGACGCCGTGAAGAACCCCGAGCTGTGGCACCGCGAGGCGGCGGCCTCGGCGTCGGGCGCCGCAGCCCAGAAGGGCAAGGCGAGCAAGGCGCAGCTGGCGCAGCAGTCGGCCGCCGAGGAGGCAGCGCAGGCGCAGTACAAGACGCCCTTCCTTGACTGGAGCGGCTGGGCGGCGAGCCCCATGTCGAGCCTGATCCCTGAGCAGGCTCGGGCACCGCGCGCCTTTGCGCCATGCCTGCGCACGCTGGCCGTGGCGCCATGGAACCCGCCGCCGCACTACCTGCGCATTCAGGGCCACCTGCTCTACCTGCACGTCGCCACGCTCGAGGGCGAGCACATCTTCATCACCGCCACGACGCACGGCTTCTACATCAACCGCTCCACCTCCTTCACCTTTGACCCGTCGCCGCGCGACGAGCCGTACTACTCGTGCAGCCTGTTCGACATTCTCTGCGGCTACTCGAAGCTCTTCCTCGCCAACTTTGCGCGCCTTTTCCAGGACCCCGTCTCGCAGCGCGACTACTACGCCGTCGTGCCGATCGCCAACTGCCTGCCGGCGCACCCGTGGCTGGCGCGCGTGCATGCGCACACGCCCGATGCGCTGCGCTCGCAGGCGGCCTTCCTGCTCACCGGCGCCACGTCGCCCGACACGCTCGAGGGCACGCGCGACTGGAATGACGAGCTGCAGAGCACGCGCGAGCTGCCGCGCGCCACGCTTGCCGAGCGTCTGGTGCGCGACCGCGTGCTGAACCGCGCCTACGCCGAGTTCACGCTGGCCGCCGTGCGTGCCGTGCCGCGCGTCGCTGGCGGCGAGGTGCAGGCGATGAACCCGATGGACCGGCCCGATGCGCGCATGTACCTCTGCAACAACCTCTTCCTCAGCAAGGGCGCCGACGGCGTCGACATCTACCCGCACATGGGCGGCGACGAGGCGGCGCACGTCGCCGTCAGCAAGGACCTGCACGGCATCCGCGCGCTCAGCAACCTCGACGTCGAGGGCCTCTGCCTGCTGGGCACCGTCGTTGTCGACTGGAAGGGCGAGCGCTGGGTCGCACAGAGCGTCGTGCCCGGCCTCTTCCGGAGGCGGGACGAGGACGAGCTGGAGGAGGGCGCCGAGAGCAAGCCCAAGGCCGAGTCCGCTGCCGCTACCGAGCCGGCCGGCGCACTCGGCAAGATCGACCCCAAGGAGGACACGCAGGTAGTGTACGGCGGCGTCGAGGGTCCCGAGGTGATCCGCACCGACGCCAGCTTCCACAAGCTCTTTGGCAAGGTCGCCGAGGCGCTCCACCTGGCGCGCCACGAGGTGCCCGACGCCGAGGGCGAGAAGAAGGACCTCTGGCTCAGCGTCGACTCCAAGGGCCTGCGCGGCGCCGACGGGCGCAAGTACGCGCTTGACCTGGCGCGCCTTAACCCCGTCGACATCGAGTGGCTGGAGCGTGACATCGACGGCCCGCTCGTCACTGGCGACGCGGCTTCAGCACCCGGCGCATACCCGCACCGCATGACGCTGCTGCGCCAGGAGCTGCTTGAGGTGTACTACGACGCCGAGTTCCGCAAGTGGGCGCGCGAGCAGCTCGCGGCGCGCACCGCTGAGAACGAGGCAAAGGCAGAGGCAGAGAAGCCTGCTGCCGACGCCGAGGCGAAGGAAGGCGAGGAGAAGGCAGAGGCTGCTGCGGATGCCGGCGAGGCGGAGGCCAGCACCAAGGCGCCCGAGCCGACGATTGACCCCTCGCAGTTCAAGCTGGCGTTCAACCCCGACGCCTTTGTCGAGTTTAAGGGCGTCGCGGCCGATGCGCCGGCCAAGGCGCTCATCACCGACGAGTCGGAGCCTTCGGTGGCGGCTGTGCGCGCCGCCGCGCGCTACCTGCGCGATGCAGCCATCCCGCGCCTCGTCACCGACGTCGCCAGCGGCCTCTTCGCTGCGCAGGACGGCTCGACGCTGACGCGGCAGCTGCACGTGCGCGGCATCAACGTGCGCTACCTCGGCTACGTGGCGCAGCTCTGCGAGCCGGAGAACAAGGACAAGCTTGACCAGAACATGCTCAGCAAGGCCGGCCCCGGCTACGAGGGCTTTGTTGCCGCCTTCAAGCGCATTGCCGTGCAGGAGATGGCGCTGCGTGCCAGCAAGCGCCTGCTGCGCTCCAACCTGGCCGCCGTCGGTGCTGCAGAGGCGCCGGCGTGCGTCTCGCACTTCCTCAACTGCCTGCTCGGCTCGGCACGAGAAGCGCAGCCGACGGCCGTCTGGACGCGCTCGCCGCTGTCGACGAGCAACGAGACGCCGGCGTGGACGGCGCTGACGCCCGAGAGCGTCGTCGAGAGCGTGCGCTTCGAGGTGCGCCGCCGCTACCGCTACGAGCTGCCCGAGGCCTTCTTCAGCAGCGAGTTGCGCAAGCCGCAGCTGCTGCGTGAGCTGGCGCAGCGCTGCGGCCTGCAGCTCAAGCTGCAGGACTACAGCTTCGACGCCGCACCGGTGCAGAACGGCACCTCCGCCGACGAGTCGACGGGCGGCGAGGGCAGTGCTGCTGCCACGGTGGCGCTCTCGGCCAGCGCCGCGGCCAACGGCGTGCAGAAGAAGAAGAAGAAGGGCTCCAACAGCGCTGCGCCGCCAAAAGCTCGTCGCGTCGAGCGCAAGCCGCGCACGACGACGTTCGAGCCCGAGGACGTGCTGCACCTGCTGCCCGTCGTCAAGGACTCGACGCCAAAGAGCTCGCTTGCCGAGGAGGCCTTCGAGGCCGGCCGCATCAGTGTCGGCCGCGGCGACCGTGCCATGGGCGTCGAGCTGCTGATGGAGGGCATGGGCTTCCACGAGCAGGTTTACAGCCTCGTGCACCCCGAGGTCGCGCGCTGCTACTCGCTCTTCGCCACCATCGTGCACCACTTTGCCAGCCTGCAGGCTGTCGAGCACGACCAGCGCGTGCGCCTGGCGCAGCTCGAGGGCAAGGAGCCGCCGGCGGCGCCCGAGCCGCACGAGACGCTCAGCCTCGCCAATGCCGTGCGCTACCAGCGGCAGGCCGTGACGCTCTCGGAGCGCACGCTCGGCATCGACCACCCCGAGACGCTGACGCAGTGGCAGAACCTCTCCGTGCTCGAGCGCGCCGAGGGCAACACCGAGGCGTCGCTGCGCTGCCAGCAGCGCGTGCTGCAGCTCTACGAGCTCCTCTACGGCCCCGACCACCCGGACCTCGTCAACGTGCTCACCAACGCTGCGCTCACGCTGCAGAACGCACGCATGTTCGAGCCGAGCCTGAAGATCTACCTCTCGGCGCACGAGCTGGCACTCAAGCTGCACGGCCCCGACTCGATCCACACGGCCAACCTGGCACACGAGCTGAGCCAGGCGCACACACTCTGCGGCGACCTCAAGAGCGCCCTCACGACGGAGAAGGAGGCGTGCCGCGTCTTCGAGGCGCGCCTCGGCAAGGAGGACAGCCAGACCAAGGAGTCGGAGCAGTTCCTGCAGTCGCTCACCACGTCGGCCGTGCGCTACGCCAAGATGGAGCGCGACGCTATCGCCAACGCCAACGCCACTGCTCGCCGCGCGCCCGCCGGCCTCGGCAACATGGTCGGTGCTCAGCGCGCGCAGCAGCAGCCCGACGCCGCTGCCGCTGCTGCCGCTCCGGCGCCCGCCACGGCCTCGTCGCGCAACACGGTGCCGTCGTCGGGCAGCCTCGACGACCTTGTCGCCTTCATCCACGGCGGCGGCACCGCCACGGCCTCCAAGGGCAAGGGCAAGGCGACGCCGGGCATGAAGGGCCGGCGCAAGCACTGAGCTGGCAACATGGCCCGCTGGACGAGGATCTGTTCCGCTTCCGCTTTCCTCTGTGTAGCGACTTGCACTTTCCCAGGGCGACTTTCTTCAACCGCCCGATCACGCCTCTCGCATGCTCCCATTTGTCCTTTCCGTGCATCAAGGACCTCTTCAGGCAGCCCTGAAGAGCTCCGCTCACCCCTCCTCATCTCGCCCTTATTGCCGCGTCTACACCCCACCAACCTCACCACTCAAGCCTTCATGCTCAAAATGCGCCGCAGGGCGCACTGCAGCGCGCCTCGCAATCATACTTTGCGTCACGCCCAATTCTCTTTGCTGTGTCGTGTGGTTGATTAGTCGACATCGATGCCGAGACTGCGCAGCAGGTCGCGCTCCTGCGCCATGCGCTCGTACTCTCTGGCGCGCTGAGCATCTCTGAACGCTCTTCCTCCGTCATTGTCCTGCGCCGGCGCGCCGAGCTTCGGCGCGCCCTCGTGCGCCGCAAACTCGACGGCACCCACGAGTTCGCTGACGCGCTGCGCCAGCCGACGCAGCACTGCCACCTCGTCTGGCGAGACGCGCAGGCCGAGACGGAACAGCTCTGTCTCGCCGATGACGCGGGGACGACTGCCGCCGGAGGCGTGCGGACGCACGTAGGTCGCGCCCAGCTGATGTGCGTGCAGCGGCGATTGCTCAGAGACGCCGAGGATCAGCTCGAGTGCTGCGGCGCGATGTGCGGCGCTGGGGAGCGCATCGAGTGTCTCGAGGGCACGCCAGAGCGCCGGCGCCATGCGTTGATGCGTGCCATGCGGCGTGAGTGCCGCTTGTTCGGCCGGATAGAGCAGCGCACGGAGCGGCGCGTCCGTGGCGATGCTCAACACCTGCTCGCGCGTCAACGGCTTGACGTCTGCGGCGCGCAGCGGGTCGAGGAAGATCATCGGGTCCGGCTCGGGCGGATAGGAGAGCGAGTCGAGAGCGCGCAGCTGAGGCGAGGGCGGGCGGAAAAGTGATGCGGCACCGGGCGTGCTCGTCGAAGGCACTGTCGGCAGACCACCGTCGTGCAACGGCGCGCTTGGCATCGGCTCGTCCTCTGCCTTGACGCTCGGCTGGCCATTCTCATCGAGCATCTGCACCTTCTCTCTCCGCTTGCGCTGCTCCTCTGCTTCTCCCGGCGTGCCCTCGACGCCGCAAAGCGCATCGTTGCGGACTAGGAAGCGCACCACTTGCGCCACGTAGTTGACGTGCTGTGAAATCTCGTTGGCGAGCAGAGCGCGCAGGGCGTGTGGCGCCTGGAAAGGGTTTGGCGGCGGCGCTCGAGGCCGGGCTCGGCGCTTCTCGGCTGCAGGAGCGGCACCTCGTCGTGCAGCGGGCGCAGGCGCAGGCTCGCGATGCTGCGACTTGCACTGCGAGCCGTAGTTGCAGCGCCCTTGCAGCCAGAAGCGGCATGTGGGCGCCGAAGGGCGCGCGAGTGTCTCTTCGGGCGCACGACTGCTCGTGGAAGCAGCTGTGGGCTCGTCTGCAGGCGCCAAAGGTTCGGCCACAGCGGCCGGCTCGCTCTCCGCGTCGCTGTCTTCGGAAGAGACGCTGCTTGACGAGCTCAGCGGCGAGGCTGGCGGATCTGGTGCTGGTGCGCGGCTTGTGGCTTCCTCGGGGGGCCCATCATCGTCGCTGTCCTCGTCCTCGGAAGCGTCAGGCGCTACGACCGGCGGGGGCTGCACTAGTCCTGCTTCTGGTGCTGGCTTTGATGCCTCTCGTGGGTCAACCGGAGCAGCCACAGGCTTCCCCTGTTCCTCGATGCGAGGCCGCTTGACAGGCATGCGTCCGCGCGTCATGCCACGCGCATCCTCATCCCAAGCCTCTTCCCGCTTGCGCGCCACGACGGCCGCCGAGGGCCAGCGCTTCTTGCGCTCGCGAAGCCACATGGCCACCAGCTCGGGCGTGGAGAGGGCGATGTTGAGGCCGGCGATGACCGGACTGCGCCTGTGCGTCAGTCGCCGTTCTTGCCTGTGGCAGAGCATCTGCAATGCTTGTGCATGCCAACTCACCCATCCTCCTCGTCCTCGTCTTCACTGCCATCCCTAGCGCGTCTTCGCTCCTTCTTCATCCGCTCTTTCCGCTCCTCTTTGGCAATTGGATCGATACGCTCCAGCTCTTCTCTTCCGCCTGGCGGAAGGATCAGATGCCTGTCGGCGCGATGCAGCGTCATTGCCGTTGCGTCGTCGCTGCGCCAACCACACGGCTCTGCGCCTTCAGCGTGGCCGCAGACGAGAGCGCCGCTGCGGCCGTGCTGGAAGACAGGCACCTCGTCGTCATCGTCGTCGTTGTCTCGTCGCCGCGGAGCGCCTCGATGTCCGCCACGCCCGCCGCGGGCACCGCCTCGGCCGCTGCTGCCGCCGCCGCCGCCGCGCCCAGAGCCGCGGCCGCGAGATGGGCCGGCGCCGCGCGAGGAGGAGACATGTGGGTTGGCCGCGGCCTGTGAGGGAAAGGCGGCGCTGGAGCGGCCCCACGAGGCCATCACGGCGTGCTGCAGCTGGGCAGCTGGCGAATTGAAGAGCGATGAGGAGAGCGAGGGTGGAAAGGTAAGGGCGTGGTGGAGAAGACGAGGCAAGAGGAGAGGCTGCTGGAAGTGGAGCATGGGCAAGAATTCGGCACCGCCTCGCGGGAGGCTCGTCACGTGGGGCGTGGGAGCAGCTGGTCGCGCTCCCACCAGCCAGACCGCGACGCGCGCTCGAAGGTCGCGCGCCGTGCCTTGACCTCCGACGCTGCTCTCCGCTCTACGCTCTCCACGCCGCCCATGTCGTACGCTCCGCAGCCCGGCACTCGCCAGGCGCCGCCGCCCGGCAGCGGCACGCCCTCGTCGCGGCCATACGCGCCCATGCCCTCGGCCGCCGCGCGTCCGTCCGCCGCCGCTGCCTCAGGGCCGTCCAGTGCTGCCGCCGCCGCCGCGCTGGCTGCCAGCCGCAAGCGAGCGGCCGCCGACGGCCTCAGCGCCGATGCCGCCTCGCTGCGTGCTGCCAAGCGCGGTCGCCCCACCAGCCGCGCTCTGCCGCCCAGCCTGGCGCGCGTCGTGCCCGAGAGCGCCATGTATGCCGACCTGCTGCGCATCGAGCGCGCCGTCGACTGGACCGTTGCACGCAAGCGCGCAGAGGTCGGCGACTCGCTCAGCCGCACGCCAAAGGTGAGGCCGGAGAGAGACGCAGATGTCCATCGCACGGCGACTGACCGCCGGTGTGCCCTTGCAGATGAAGCGCACGCTGCGCATCTTCCTCTCCAACACGTGCGCCAACCAGACGTTCCAGCGCGACGATGCCGACGCGCCCGCTGCAGCGGAGGGTGCTGATGGTGATGCAGCCGAGGGAGAGGGCGAGGCCGCCAAGGCAGCCGCCGCCGCTGCGACAACCGGCAGCGGCGACGACAAGATCCCTTCGTGGACGCTGCGCATCGAGGGTCGGCTCATGGAGCCAGCCTTCCGTTCCCGCGCCGCTTCGTCGCAGGCAGCCACCGCTGCCGCCGCGCGTGCTGGCGCTCAGCGCTTCTCCAATCTGGTGCGCACCGTCGTGGTGGAGCTGCAGCGCGACGCGGCGCTCTACCCGGCACAGAGCAACATCGTCGAGTGGCACCGGCCAATGCAGACGGCGCTGCCTGATCGCGCTTCGGCTGCGACGGGCCCGGCTGGCACTGGAGAGCCGCCGCTGGTCTCGGCGGGCGAGCCGTCGCTCGATGGTCTGGAGATCAAGCGCAGCGGCAGCAGTCCCGTCAAGGCGCGTATCGTGCTTTACCCCGCCCACACGCCGGAGCGCTACGCTCTTGCGCCCGAGCTCGCGGCGCTGCTGGACGTGCGCGAGGAGACGCGCGCCGGCATCATTGCTGCGCTCTGGGGCTACGTCAAGGCACGTTCGCTGCTTGACGAGAATGACCGGCGCTACATTCGCTGCGACGAGGCATTGGGACGCATCTTCAAGACGGAGCGCATTGCCTTCCACCACGTGCCGGAGGTGATCAACCGGCATCTGCACCCTGCTCAGCCCATCGTGCTCGAGTACTGGATCCGCACCGACGTTGCGGAGCACAAGCACCAGACGGCCTATGACATCGAGCTCGACCTCGATGACTGGGCCACGCGCAAGGCGCGTGAAAAGGTCATGGATGCGTTTGAGCCCGCCGGAGAGGCGGCTGCCGAGATCGCAGAGCTTGACGACCGGGTGAGTTCGCATGCAAGGCGACGGGAATGACGTTGCAGCGCTGACTCGTACGCAGATCGCACAAGCCAGTGCTTCGCTGCACACGCACGCGCTGGCGCGCGACTTCCTCGCCACGTTCGCTCAGTCGCCGCAGGCGCACCTGCGCAGCTGGCTGGCGAGCCAGAGTCGCGATCTGGACATTGTACTGGGCGCGCAGATCGCCGGTGCAGCGGCGGGCGGCGGCGCAGGCGTGGGCGCTGGCATCGGCGACGAGGAAATGCGGCGCGCTGAGACGTTCAAGGGCAAGTGGGTTGATGAGGCAGTCGTGAGTTTTCCATGTGACGCGTGTAGCCTTGCCGACATGCTGACGTCGCCTCTCAGATCGTGCACGAGTCAGCTCGCTACGCCGAGAGGCTGCAGGGCCTGCAGAGCCAGCCGGCACTGCCCGTCACGGGCCCGGCGCCCGGCATGGGCAGCATGCCGCCGCAGGGCCGGCCCGGCGGCGCCGGTGGCATGATGCCGCCGCAAGGGCAGCCGCGCCACGGCGTGCACACGCCGCAGCAGACGCCTATGCAGCCGCTGCGGCGGTAGGGCTCCATCTCGCGCATTCTCAGTCTCACTCGTCTCGCGGTCGTAATGTCACACCTTTCTCTCGCAATTTGCAGCCAGGACAAAGAGTCGTGAGAAGCGGTGACATTCTCAGACGGCCAGCAGCGCAGCAGGCGCGCAGCGTCGGTGCCAGCCCTGTCCGCCAGCGAGCAAGAGGATAGCCTCATCGCGCTCCTCCTCCTCGGTCTGTGCGTACGAGGAGTCGTCCCCACGACCATCCGTAACCTCGAGGCGCGGCGGAATCGTCCAGTTGACGCTCGAGCGTGGGCCTTCCTCGTCCGGTGGCGACAAGGGCGCAAGCGGCGTCGGCGCAAAGTAGCCGTCTGCAGCGGGACCCTCATCCGTGTCGTAGCCGAGCGGTCGAGCCACGCCCTTGCCCTTGTCGGGCCGCGGCGAGACGGCCGGCTGCAGAAAAGGGCTGGCAGGCCGGGCTGCAGGAAGCTCGGCGGCGATGCTCGACTTGCGCCGCATCAGCTCGGGCCGCAACGGCGTGCCGGGCGCCGAGAGCGAGCGCGACATTGGTTCTGCTGCGGCGTATGGCAGACGGGCTTGAGTGACGCCAGAGGCAGCCTCGGCGGCGGCGGCGGCGCCAAACAGCGCCATGTGGCATCCTTGGCACCGTGCTGCTGCGCTGGCTGGACGCCAACCTCGCTGTCGCTTGCGGGTCAGATCCGAGAGCGCGCCGTAGACATCGCGCTCAACGAGCTTGTGCGTGAGGCCGAGCACGTCGACGCGCAGGCGGTAGGCGCTCATCAGGCCGTCGACGACCGAGCGCACCTCGGCGTAGTATCGTCCCTGCGCATCGCCGTCGTCGACGAGGCGCCGGAAGAGCGCAGGCGGCGAGATGTGCTCGGCAGCGTTGGAGGAGATGAGCGCCACGAGCGTCTCCTGCACCAGCTCGCGCGCGAAGACGAGCGATGCGCTGCCATGTGCTGCGCCTGCCTCGGCATCGGCAGCCGTAGAGGCAACACTGTGCACCAGCCCGACGAGCGAGCGCAACACGCGGAACCAGCTCTCGCCGGCTTGCGAGGCGGCGCTCTCGGTGCAGAGACGCACCGCCATGTGCGTCAGCAAGCGAGTCTGCTCGATGGCATCCTGTGCGTCGGCGGAGAGCACGCCGTTCTCGTCCTCTGCGTCGTCGGCGCGCAGCACCAGTGCCTGCGTCGCGAGCAGCCGGTCGAGCGCCTGGAACGCCTCTTGCTGCTTGCCGGCTCGGTCCAGCGCCCACAGCACGGCGTCGTAGCAGCCCTCGGCCTCGCAGACCTCAGTGACGTCGTCGAGGTCGAAGTAGTCCTTTGGCCGGGCGTCGAGGTTGCGCACGACCGCCCACGGCTCTTGTGCCGCAAGCAACGAGATGAAGAGGCTCCGTGACTCGGTGCCCAGCTGACTGTCAAGGGCCGCCGAGTGGGCATCACCAGCTTCCGCCTGAGCAGGTGACAGGCAGGCGTGCAGATAGGCCAGCTGCAGTGGCTTGACGTCGCCCAGACGCGCGAGCACTGCATCGTGGCGTGCCGGGAAGAAGCGCGCGATGAGCTGGACTGCTCGCTCCGCATCAGCCTCGACGAGCTGCGGCGCAGCGTCGACGATCAATGGGCCAAGCTGCTCATCATAGACCGAGCGATCCTTGCGTCGCGAGGCTTGGCTTAGCACCTCCTGCAGCTGCGCAAAAGTGTCGTGCGCGCCGCTAGCGTCGCGGATGATCATCGTCACAAGGCGGTCCCAGCGGCCCGCAGAGCGATAGGCCGACTGCAGGATGCGGTAGAAGCCAGCCTGCTCGAAGGTCTGCAGCAGGTCTTCGGTGTGCTCGGGGCGGAATGCCGACAGCAGACATTCGACAGCAAGCTGTCGGTCCTCGTGTGACGCTGCATCCGTGTTGACTGCCAGTGCAGTCAGCAGCCTGCGCAGCTCCAAGGCCGAGAGCTTGACAAATTGCGGGTATTTCGGTGCGTTGCGCGCGACAAAGAGCTGTGCGAACGTTGCGGCGCTCTGAGGCAGTCGAGCGAGCGCCTCGCCGGACGCAGCTTCGTCGATGAGCTCGAGGAGCACCGAGACGATCAGCTGACGCGTCACCACGCCAGTCGAGTCGTCATCGTCGAGATAGGCGTCCTCAAACGCCACGTCGAGTGCGTCCAGCAGCGCCTCGGAGTCGAAGCGCAGCAGCAGGCGCAAGTAGGGGTATGTCGGCTCGGCACGATCGTGCGTGGTATAGATGCGCTCGCCGCCGGGCCCATCCGGCCACACCACTGTTCTGCCGGACAGAAGGAAGGTCCACAGCGACGACTTGGCGCGCAGGGCCTGCTCGGCCGGCAACGGCTCCTGGCTCGGGTATGCGCCGCCCGTGAGCGCCACTGAGAGGTATGAGAAGATCTTGTACACCTCGACCTCCTCGTGCTCCATCATCGCCTCGTCGCGCGCGTCGCTCGGCGCTTCTGGCTCTGTGCCCTCCGCCCTGTCGAGCACGCGCCGAAGAACAGCTAGCAGCTCGACGACAGGCGAGAGGTAGTCCTGCAGCGCAGCCGTGTAGACGTAGATGAGCGCGTCGAAGAGTCCGCGCTCGAGGCAGAGCGACAGCGCCTGGTCGAGATCGAGGCACATGGGATCGACGTGCCAGATGACGCGCTCCGCCAGCTCGTACTCCTCGCGCGACTTGCGGAAGTGGACGAGACGCTGCACCACGGCGACGGGCAGCGTGCGGATGCGCCCCGACACAATGTACGTCTCGATCTGCTCGACGAAGAGCGACTCGATGCCGGCGTCGGCAAAGGCATCGTACACGTCGCCGAAGAGAAAGTCGAGATCCTGCAGCGCGAGGCACGCCTCGGCGCAGGAGCGCGCCATGCCCTCAAACAGCTGCGTGCGATCGACGCCGCGTCCATCGGGAGTGACGTGTGTCGAGTCCGTCAGGCGCTCGGGCGAGAAGGCCCACTGCACTGCAGCACGCATGAGCTCCCGCACCTTGACGCCGACGACTTGCTTCTGCGCCTCGCGCTCTTCGGGAAGCCCGAGTGTGCCTTCTGGCGCGGCGCCGTTGTAGTACGCGGTGCCCAAGTCGATCGCAGAGAGAACGTCACCGCCCGCGACGAGCGTGAGCAGATGGTCTGCCCATGTCTGCGGCGTGCCGACCAGCACGTCTTGCGCTGAGAGGAGGTACACCTGGCCCTTGTGCGTCTGCACGCTCTGCGAGACGAATGGCGCCAGGCGCGTGGCGGCTCCCCCTGCGGTTTTGAGCGCAAGGGGCGCGCCGAAGTCGTGGCGCACCAGTGGCGGGATCGCCTGCGGCAGGAAGTGTGACGAGACGCACTTGCGTGCGCGGAGCGAGAAGAGGGAGAGCGAGCCGGCGTAGTCGAGCAGGATGAGATGCTCGTGACTGAGCCACTGCAGCGCCGCGATCATCTCGTGGTGCTCGTAGCCCTGCTCTTCCCGCATCTCGAGCTCGTTGCGGTACGTCGGCTCGCGCCCGGCGCTGCGGTCCGCCACGCGGATCTTGGCCAGGCGCAAAAAGAAGAGCTGCCGCCCGAAGGAGTACGCCAGCACGGGCTCTGTCTCGCCAGACGGCGCGCTCGAGGGGGCGTTGGCAGAAGTGGGCGCAGCGGGAAACCAGGCAAGCACGCCGCTGACGACTGTCTCGACAGAGCCAGCATCTGGCGGCGCAGGTGCGAGCGGTGACGTGGCGCCAGAGCGAGGTGCAGCATCTGGAGAGCTGCGATCTGGCACCGGCGCCAGGCGGCGATACCACGTGCGTGCAGTTGGCTTGAGGCCGACCACGACGAGCTTGGCGGGCGTGAGCAGCGCCACAAACTGAAACTGATCGGCAAAGTGGGCGCTGGGGCCGAGCGGCAGCGGCGCCATTGCCAGCACGATCGACCTGCGTGAGGGCGGTGGGCGCGGCGATGGAGTGTCTGGCGCTTCGTCGGCAGCGTCCTTTTCAGCCGGCGAGGGAGGCACGTCGGGATACCGGCCTAGAATGCGCAGCGTGTCGTTGGACGACACGCCGAGGATCTTGCCGAGGGCATGGAAGAAGGAGAGGCCGTGCTCGTCGGCACTGACGATGGCGGTATGCCGTGCGCCGACGAAGCCGAGGTGCAGGATGCGCGAGCCAACCAGGTGGCCCTCTTTGCGCCCAGCACGCACAGCCGCTGCCTCGACTGGCGGCACATGGCGCGCCGGCGTTGCGGGCCGCGCCAGGTCGAACAGCAGGATGTGGCCCGTGTCGTGGCCCACAGCGATAAAGGTGTGGTCGGACGAGAAGGCCAGAGCCGAGACGACGCCGTACGGTGATGCTGCAGCAGCACGAGTCAGTCAGAACCCGAGCTGCCGTGCCAGAGCACACAGCCTGGCCCCCGCTTCTCCACTGCGTGAAGCAGTGCTCTGCACAGCCCTCATCCGCCCTACTGGAAGCTGCAGACTCACGTTCGCCTTTGCCGATGCGCAGCACCTCTTCCGCTCTCCTCGCGCCAGTCACAGGACACAGCTCCACCAAGCCCGCGTCGTTGCCGCGAGCTACGCGCCCGCCTCGCACCGCCAGCGCCGTCCCTCTCCTCTTGCGGCGCTCCGCGTCGGCGTCTGGCACCGAGAGCACTGCCCAGCGAAAGGGCGCGCCGGGCCGCACAGATGGCAAGCTGGATGTCGAGCCAGAGGCGATGGCGCCGTCGCCCTCGTGCACGTTCGCAGCGCGCCCTTGCATGTCTGCCTCGGCGTGCGAGGGCAGCCGCGCGCCTGGGCCATACGGGAAGGCCCGCGCCCGCTTGGAGGGCTGTGATGCGATGCTGGTACGCGACGAGGAGCGCAGTGCAGCCAAGCTCGGCGGCGCGAGACCGTGTGCGCTCGACGAGGGCATGCTGGCGCTGTAGCTCGAGGCGCGGCTGTGTGCTATGCTGCGCTTCTCTCCCAGATCTGGCTCGAGCGCCGAGGCGCGCAGCCGCGACAGCACCGGGTAGGCTGAGGGCCTGCGCGGATGCTCTCCGGACCGAGCACCGAGCATCGAAGAGCGCCGCGAGGATGTGGTCGAGAAGGCGGCGGGGCTGAGCAGCGAGCGCTCCGGCAGCTCGCTGGCGTCGCCGGCTGGCGGCGGATGCGGGTACTGGAAGCTCTCCTCTTCGTCGTCGCTTCCTGCGGCACCGTTGCGCTTCTCCGCCTCGTCATCCGAGCCATTCTCGGACCCAAGCGCAGCGCGCAGGCGCCTAGGGTAGGTGGCTGCGTCGAAGTGCATGTTCTCCGAGTCGGACGAGGAGCTCGAGGAAGTGAGGATGGATGCGTGCCCGAAGAGCGTCTGCGACGAGTCGACGGAGCGCAGCGAGCGTGCGGGCGTGATCATGGCGGCATCGTGCCGGATGCTGCCGCTGCTGAACTTTGCCTGCAGCGGCGTGCGTGGCTCGTCGGGCTCCACGTCGAGCCCGGGCAGGCGAGACGGCGTGCCGTTGCGCTGCCCGTCCAGTGGAGGCGTGCCGGCAGCAGCCGCCGACGCGCCCTCGGCCGCGCCAGCAGCGGCGTGTGGCCTTGAGGCGCCGGGCATGCGGCAGCAGTGATGGATGCACGAGGGCGAGAGGGGTATGTGGATGGAGCCGAGAAGGTCGCGTGCCCGGTGGATGCTGCCAAGCCAGCTTGCTGTCGCGGGTCCACCGACCGAGCATGGCCCGGGCGGCGCGGCACGGCGCGCGCCGCGTGCGACTGCTGCCAACAGCAAGCGCGCGGCGCTGCCTTGTTCGTGTGGCTGGCCGCCGCTCCAGGCCCTCGCAACCTCCCTGCCCTGCGATGAGAGGGCGAGCCTGATGGAAGAGGTAGTCAAAAGTTGGCACTCTACAGGCGCGGATTTTGGCATGAAACGCAGAGCAGCACGGCCTGCAACGAAGCACACACAGCGCGAAGGCGGCGCGGCTCACCCGGCGTATGGGCCCAGCGCGGTGCGCCGCGTCCACCGTCCGCGATGCGGAGGGCGGCACCCTCTCCTACCTCTCTCTCTGCCCTCACGGTAACATTCTCAGGCCAAGATGCACATGATCTCGGCGTCAAGCGCAAGCTCTGCCGCTGCGCTGCTGCTGCTGCCTGCAGGAGACTTAAAGCTCCGGCCGGTACACGTGCACATCTCGTTGAGGGCGGCTGCACACCATCGCAGCAGCTCAGCGGAGGCCTCTCAGCGATCTCCATGCAGCGCAGCACATACGCCAGCCCAGCGGCTTTGGAAGGGCGACGGCGCCGACAATCGAGCATCGGCCGCCTCGTGCTCGGCCTCCGAGGAGGCGTGAGAACGGCATCCCTCTCTCGATCCGCAGCTCTTGCAGCACCTCGCAGATTTGACGCGGGGCGCCGCGGCTGTTGCCGACATGCCGAAGCGAGGCGGACTTTTAGGCCAGGGTCGGCATGGGCCGCCGGCCGCGGCAAGAGAAGACGGCGGCGATGCGGCAAGTCGCCGCGCGAGGCGGGGGCGCGCCGGCAGCGGTGCAATAGCAGCAAGGCAGCGTCAGGGCACGCGGCGCCTCCACACCGCCGGCGCACAGCCAGGCACGCTCGCTGCCGCTTCCCGCTTCCCTCGGCAGCCTCAAGAAGGACCTTCTTGCGCCGGCGCTTGCTCGCCTGCTTCTGCCTTCTCACCACCCACACCCTCACCGCACCTCACCCCACACCTCACCCACCATGGCACTCTCGAGCCACGTCAACGCCGACGAGCTGATGAAGGCGGCCGAGGACCACCCGCACCTCTCGTTGCTCAAGCGCGCCGGCGGCGGCAGCAAGCGCCATGCCTTCCACACGTCGCACTACGGCCGCTACCAGTGCGTGCTCAGATGGGCTACTCGCTGCTGCTGCCTATCCGCTCACATTAGCTCGCCCGCAGGACCGAGCCGATTCCCAAGTACTCGCTGCCCTCCAAGGGCATCAACGCCGATGCCGCATACAACGTGCGCACGCCTAGCGCCTGCTCATAGCCCGCTCTGCTGACGTCTACTGCACAGCTGATCAACGACGAGCTCAGCCTCGACGGCCGCCCGGCGCTCAACGTGAGTGGCTCGCCTCGAGCAGCCGCAGCACGCATGGCTGACACGCACGCATCCAGCTGGCCTCCTTTGTGCACACCAACATGCTGCCGCAGGCGCACCAGCTCATGACTGAGAACGGTGCGTGATGCAGGCCAGCTCACAGCTCTCACCCGCTCACGTCACTCCTCTTGCAGTCAGCATCAACCTGTGCGACCAGGACGAGTACCCCGCGACCATGGCCATCCACGGCCGCTGCGTCAGCATGATTGCCGACATGTGGCACGCGCCGTCGGAGACCAACGAGCAGGGCGAGCGCCAGCCGGCACAGGGTGTCGCCACGACGGGCTCGAGCGAGGCACTCATGCTGGCGGCGCTGGCTATGAAGAAGGTCTGGCAGCACAAGCGCAAGGACGCGGGCAAGAGCTTCAAGGAGGTTAGTCCACTGGAGCGGCGATGTAGCATTCGGCGGCTGATGAGACTCTGCTCAGCCCGGCCCGAACCTGGTCTTCGGCGCCAACGCGCAAGTCTGCATTGAGAAGGTGAGCGCAAGTGGCACCGCCTCAGCCATGCCCTTCGCTGACCCCTCCTCTCCAGGCCGCTCGGTGAGCTGCGCAGCGCTGCGTTGGATTTGAGCGTGTACTGACCATTATCTCCAGCTACTTCGACATTGAGGAGCGGTGAGTCGCGGCGCAGGCCTGCCTTGCCCTTCACCTCTCACACGTTTCCCTCAGCCTGGTGCCGACGAGCAAGGAGAGCAAGTACCGCCTCGACCCGAAGAAGGCCATCGAGATGTGAGCCTCACCGCGCTAGTCTGCGCGTACCGTCACTGACGCTCTCGCAGGTGCGACGAGAACACCATTGGCGTGGTGGTGATCCTCGGCTCGACGTACACGGGCCACTACGAGCCCGTCGAGGAGATGAGCAAGCTGCTGGACGAGTACGAGCAGCGCACTGGCCAGCACATTCCGATCCACGTCGATGCTGCTTCGGGCGGCTTTGTTGCGCCCTTTGCGCACCCCTCGCTCAAGGTGTGTTGCCTCCGAAGCGAGACGTGCGGCAGCTACTAATGCACTCCGCAGTGGGACTTCTCGATTCCCCGCGTCGTCTCGATCAACACGTCCGGCCACAAGTTCGGCGGCGTGTACCCGGGCATCGGCTGGGTTGTGTTCCGCAACTCGGCCGTGCTGCCGCGTGAGCTGGTGTTCGAGCTGCACTACCTCGGCTCCGTCGAGTACAGGTGGGTGACCGCGCCTCCGCACAGCGTCAATGCAAAGCTGACCCTCTGCCCAGCTTCGGCCTCAACTTCTCGCGCCCGGCCGCGCAGGTCATCGCGCAGTACTTCAACCTCATCCAGCGCGGCTTCCAGGGCTACCGGGATGTCATGGAGCAGGACCTCAAGAACGCGCGTCTGCTGTCGCGCGCGCTCGAGATGTCGGGCTACTACGAGGTGCTCTCGGAGATCCACCGGCCGGTCGGCGGCGGTGCGCTCAAGGAGGGCGCCGAGGAGTACAGCGCCGAGGACTTTGAGCCGGGCCTGCCCGTCGTGGCGTTCCGCTGGACGGACGAGCTCAAGGAGAAGAACCCGCACCTCGAGCAGAAGTGGATGCAGACGCTGCTGCGCGTCAAGGGCTGGATCGTGCCCAACTACGAGCTGGCGCCCGACTGCCAGGGCACCGAGATTCTGCGCGTCGTCGTGCGCGAGCAGGCGTCGGAGGACTTCATTGACCAGCTGGTGCACGACGTGAGTCGACCATGCGCTTCCTTGCGCCTGCCGCAGCACTGACCTCCTTCCTCAGATCCTCTCCGTGACGGAGGACCTGCTCGACCGCGGCTCGTCGGCACAGCACCTCGCCATGCTGGCGCACAAGGAGCCGCAGCAGGACTCGTCGAGCGGCAGCGGCCACGGCAAGCACCGCCACCACAACCTCAGCAAGGCGCCGCACAAGCCGCCGCACGGCTCGGGCCACAAGGCGACGGGCTACTCGAAGCAGTGCTAGAGCGGCAGCCGACCTTGCATACCACCGGGCTCCTTGAGCTCAAACGCACATCTCTGTTCACTCGTAATGAAGCCTTGACGCCGCACGCCCCCAAGCCTGACCGCTCATGCGAGATCGTTCAGCTCCTGCGAACGCACCTGCACGCTGCATGCAAGCGGCTGTCTCACGCGGCCGCCTCGGAACTCCGTCGACTGCAGATCATCAGCCAGCCACCAGCGTCAGCTCGAGGCCCTTGGCTTTGACAGCTGTCCCGGACACATTGCCGCTAACGTCAGGCCGAGCCTGAGAGTCCTCGGAGGCAGCGAGAGCGGTGCCTTTGAGCCTGTCAAAGGGGCGCAAGCCTGTGGAAAGGATCGGCCTGCAGCAGCGCTCTTTTTGGACGCTGCAAGCGCCCGATGCCGCTGTGGCGCGTGCGGCTGCAGGCGCTGCGTCACCGTGCCGCGTCGAGGCACGGCTGCCATCTCCAGGGCTGTGAGCCTCATCCAGCGCTGCAACGCTGCTCAGCAGACAGCGCCAGGAGGACAAAGAGGCGCGAGCCGGTGAATGTGAGAGTCGCAGCTGCCTCTGAGAACATGCACGGCGAGAAAGAGGCCGAGCGACAGGCGAGCCAAGAGCATCCGGCTGATCTGGGCGACGCATGACGGGCGCGGCGTTCTTGGACGCGCGCGAGGCACGCTGCGAGCCGCGCGCGCCGTGAGCGGTGCCGAGGCATGAGAGGGCACGCGGCGAGTGTGCGTCGCAGCGCCTGGCTGATGGGAGCGCAGCCGGCTGGCCATCGCCGCGCCGGCAGGCCAGGCATCGCTGCTGCTCTCCACTCCCATCTCTCGCTCCTACCCTCGTTGCACTCCGCCTTGCCCTTGCACCTCGCTGCACATACCACTTGCACGTCGACTCGATACCCATCGCGCACGCAGCTCCCGCGCCCTCGCTGCAGCGTCCAAGCACCTCCCGATTGCTGCGCAGCAGCAGCACCGCCAGTCGTTTGAGGTCGAGCCCGCTATCCCTGCGCCTGGCTCTTGTACTCTCCCGTAGTCTCGCGGGCTCGCCAGCTCGCTGTCAGTTCAGCAGCCAGTCCGTCCGCCTTGCGCACGCGCAGCGCCAGCGATCATGGCCTCCACCTCCTCCACCTCGCACGACACGCCGGCCGCAAAGGCCTCGGGCTCCAGCTCGGGCTTTGCGCTGCGCCAGCAGCACTCGCAGCAGCAGCAGCCGGCACATGCGCAGGGCGGCAGCTCGGGAGGAAGCAGTGTGGGCGATGAGAAGGCTGCTGAGTCGCGGAGCTTGAGGGCTTGGGTGAGTCATGCGCAGAGATGACTGAAAGAGAGAACAGGGCTGTCACAAGCCGGCGCGGATAGATATGCTGTATGCTGCTGCAGAGCAAGCATGCTGCTGCTCTGGATCACTGTGGCCCGGATCGTCGTATTGGCGAGGCAGTGCAACATGGACTTTGCTGCCACAGCGGCGCATATAGCGGCTGCGGCTGCGAGGCTACAGGACCGCACAGCGCGTGTGGAGCATCGTTCTGGATTGATCGACTGCGTTGCTTATGGACGCGCGGGCACTGACTCCAGATGCCTGGCGCAGTGGTCTGCATTCACCAAGTCAGGCGGCAAGCCAGGCGCGAGCTCGAGCAAAGCAGGGTCCAAAGGTGAGGCGTCTCCTCTGCCTGCGGCAGTCCAGTCCTGACGTGCCCGCGCAGACACAGAGACGCGCGTGTTTGGCGTGCCGCTGCGCAAGAGCCTCAAGTATGCGTTCGTGGCGATCAGCATGGCGGGAGAGGATGGGCAGCAGTATGTGTGGGGCTACGTGCCCGTCATCGTCGCCAAGGTCGGGCTGTACTTGAAGGAGCATGGTGCGTGCCGTCGCTGTGGTCTGCACTGCTGTCTGGCTGACTCGAGGTGATGACGCGCAGCGACGGAGGTGGAGGGCGTGTTCCGGATTGCGGGCTCGCAGAAGCGGATGCGCGAGCTGCAGGAGATCTTTGACTCTGCGCCGAAGGTGAGCCCTCGCTGCGCCTCAGCTGCGACGTCCGCGTGCTGATCGCCTTGTCAACAGTACGGCAAGAATGTCGAGTGGGCCAAGTACAGCGTGCACGATGCCGCCTCGGTGCTGCGGCGCTACCTCAACGCCATGCCCGAGCCCATCGTGCCGCTCGACCTCTACCACGAGTTCCGTGCGCCGATGCTGCGCGCGCAGGATGGCCACGTGGATGTAGCAGCGGCGATCCGCACGTATCGCCTGCTCATTGCCAGCTCGCCGCCGGCAAATCAGTACCTGCTGCTGTACGTGCTGGACTTGCTGGCTGTGTTCGCGCGCAAGAGCGAGACCAACTTGATGCCTGCGAGCAGTGAGTGCCGGCGTGAGAACGTGTCACGCAGTGCCCTGCTGACAGTCCCCGCCAAGACCTCGCTGTCATCTTCCAGCCCGGCATGTTCTCGCACCCGTCGCATCTGCAGTCGCCAAACGAGCACAAGATCGCCGTGCAGGTGCTCGAGTTCCTTATCGAGGTGAGCACAACGCGTGAGCTCATTCCCCAGCTTCGCTCACAGCTCCGCTCTGCAGCACCAAGAACACTTTGTGCTTGGCCTCTCCCCGCCGCCGCCGGCAAACGTCACGCCAGCGGACCTGACCGAGGTGTCGCGTGCGCCCAAGACGAACCCCGACGGCACCGAGATTGCGCGCGAAGTGCCTTCGGACTCAGACGAGGATCTTGGCGAGCTGGAGGTGCACGAGGGCGGTGGTGCGCGTCTTGCCCGCAGCTCGACATGGGCGCGCGCCTCTGCCTCTCCATCGCCAGGCCGCAAGCGCGGACTCTTCAGCGGCCGTCGTAGCGCCGCTACGCCCTCGCCGCGGCCCGAGACGGAGACGGAGGACATCAGTGGACAGTCCAATGCGCCCGTCGCGGCTGTAGCAGCTGCTGCAGCCGCAGCAAAGGCTGGCGGCTCGGGCGTGCGACGCAGCAAGACGACGCCGACCCGTCGGAGCGCGCGGCGTGGCAGTGCTGCGGCGGAGGGCAAAGATGCCAAGCAGAGCACGCCAGACACGACGCCGGCGGCCAGTTCGGACCCGGCTGCGGCCGCTCAGCCGAGTGATGCTGGCAAGGAGGAACGGCGGCGCAGCTCGGACGTCAAGGCGGGGCAGCATGCCAATCCCGTGCTCGTGCCCTCGACGCAGACTGCACCTTCGGCGCTGGCGGTGCAGCCGCAAGCACCGAGCGAGGCAGAGACTGGCCTGCCAACGCCGCCGCAGTCCAAGCTCCTGCCCGATAAGCCGCAGCAATAAGAGCAGCGCCCTACTCGCCAGCATCTCGCCGCGCCTCAAGCTCAGGCGCAGCACACGACCGTGATACCCTACTACGTCCGCCTCTCTGCCTCCACGCGGTATCAAGGGACTACTCGTCTGTCCCGTTTACCGTCCGGCCTGTCTCTCGCCTCTGTTCTCTCTTCTAGACTACCATACTCGACGGCCGTACGGCCAGGGGCTACTGCCGCACACCACTTCACGCGCGCTACCCCACACATCCACACTCCTTCCCGCACCTGACCCATCATCGCTCCTGCCGTTCTCGCGATACCCTGCGCAATCAGAATGCGTTGGTCGATCATAAGATGGAGGCGCGGTGGTATGGACGACAGCGAGAGGGGAAGCAGTGGCCTGGGAGACATTGCGCACGTGCGCTCAGACGGAGAGCGTGGCCGGCGCTTCTGCAGAGGGCTGCGCCTCGGCGGCGGGAACTGCGGTGCCGGTGGCACCGCTGCCTGCGAGGAGGTGGGTCTTGAACCACTGAATCGTGCGGTCCGTCGACTGCAGCGCAGAAAGTCAGCGAATGTCGCACTGTGGCGAGGGCAGAACAGGCCGCACCTTCTCGAACGCCTCCTTGACGGTGGGCTCGCTGAGCTTGGGTCGCGCCGCGAAGCCGTGGACCGTGCTGCGGTAGGAAGGTCAGCCGCTTGCGCCTGCGTATCTCAGCAACAAGCGAGAGCCGACGCACTTGTCGTAGAGGATGAACTCGTGCACGGGCGCATCCGTGCGGTCGGCCAGCGTCTTCTTGCATGCCTCACGCAGCGCGGCGCCGAAGATGAAGTCTGCGTGGAGAGCATGCGTCAGACCGAGAGCGCAGTATGTACCAAGAAGCGCCTAGCACGCACCGTCCTCGGCGCAGTTGAAGAGCGTCGGGCCCTTAAGCGGAGCGACGTCCGTCTGTGGACCGAAGCGTCAGCATTGCCAACAGCAGGTGCAGCACGCCCTGCCGCACCTTGGCATCGACGAACGACGGGTGGCAGGCCACGGTGACTTCGATCATGCCCTTCGTGTTGAAGGCGAGCGCGGGCTTGCCGCCGTAGCAGTAGCTATACGGGAGCGTGAGCTGATGCGTTCGAGAACACTGGTCCGCACTGCTGCTCACCCGACAGCGCCGAGCTTCTTGAGGCCCTTGCCGCTGCGCAGCTCCTCGAGGAACTCGGTGATGGGCTGCACGACGGTGCCCGGGCGGTGCTTGATGAACCACGGCGCCACGGTGGCCATCTTGAGGCTGGCGCTGGCCTTCTGTAGGAACGACTGCGCCGCCGCCTCGCGTGCCGTCTGCGGCGCAGACTTGAAGGCGTCTGCGGCAACGCCGTCGCCGTGGAAGAGCTGTGCAGCCAAAGTCAGCTCGAGAGAGTCCCCCCACTGCGCAGCGACGCTGCACGCACGTCGGGCACGTAGACGGGCAGGCCCGTGCCGTCGGCAATCATGTCCGGAAGGATCTTGTTGTTCTTGAGCTGCAGACCAAACGCATCGACAAAGTACACGATGGCCACGCCTTCGCTGTTGGGCGCACGCTCGGCCGGCTGAGCGACGTACGTGTCAAACGGCCCGATGCGCGCCAGCGAGCCGCGCGGCTCGCCAGGCAGCACGTCGCCGGAGACGCAGTTGATGCAGAACGGCTTGGAGTCAGGCATGGTGCGCCTGAGTGTTGATGGTGGTGGTTGACAGACAAGAGGGGCGCAGGCGGCCACCGCATGATCGGCCGCCGGCACGCGCGGCAGCGAAACGTCGGGCGCCGCCGCCGCCGCCGCGCTTTCAGCTGCATCTAGATCGTGCCACGCCCCGTGCGCGCTTCACCCGCGCATCATCATGCCGTGCTCCTTCATCTCGAGGCAGCTGCTGTCATCTCCGCAAGGTCCCGTCTCAAGACGAGGCCAGATCCTCGCCAAGCATCGAGCACAACGAACAGGCTGCTGCCGCGCGCAGAACACGGCGACGCTCCCTGCTGCCGCAACTCGTAGCTTGTGGCACATGCATGGCCGCACGGGCTCAGGCCTGGATCGCGCGTGATGCAGCAACCCCCAGGCCGGCGTGGTTGGACAGCTCCAAATGCGTGAGATGGGTCGACACTCGAGCGCGGTTATGCACTCCTGCGTACAAGCCGACAGGGCACGCTGCCGCTATGCTAGGTGGCTGTGAGCGCCAGGGAGCATACACGTCTTGATCTGGGCATCTGCATACTGCGGCAGTGCACAGCACAGCTTAGCCGCTGCAGGATGGCACGACCTGCAGCTGGTCAGCGGTCCCGCCGTCGGGCGAAGGCGTCGGCGCCAGAGCTGCTCCTTCAGCTTCAGCACACGACGATCAAAGCACCGACCATCGGAGCGTGCTCTGCCAGCCACCGAGCACTCCCCTCAACTACGACACCCATGTCTCGGACCGTCTGTCGTTACGTGAATCACATTCCAGTCGCAGCCATCACAAGCACAGGCTTTTAGATCTGTACGAAGCGGTAAGGTCAGCAGAAGGCACATCTGCAGGACAGCTGCAGCGACGCACCTTGGCCATGGCAGCAATGTCAGTCGACTGCACGTGGTCCTCGTCCTCGGCAATCTTCTCCTGCAGGTCGTCGAGCGAGACCTTCTCGTCCTCAACGACGATGGTGATCTGCAGCTTCTTGACACCGTAGCCGACGGGCACGAGCGTGGACGCACCCCAGACGAGGCCGTCCTGCTCGATGGTGCGCAGGTTGGCCTCGAGCTGTGCCATGTCCGTCTCGTCGTCCCACGGCTTGACGTCGAGCGTGACGATCGACTTGGCCGCCGGGCCGGGGCCCTTGGCAGACTTCTTCTGCTGGTAGGCGGCCACACGCTCAGCCTTGATGCGCTCAGCCTCCTCGTCGACCTCGTCGTCCGAGCCGAACAGGTCGACGTCATCGTCGTCGTCCTCGGCGTCGGCGCCGGTGGTGGCCGGGGCAGAGGCGGGAGCGACAGCGCTGCAGCGGCATGTCAGCAGATGGAAAGGGCCTGCACGCGTTGCAGCCACTCACGCGAGGGCAGCGATGGCCTTGGCGGCGTCGCCGCTCAGGCTCTTGTGCTCGGCCTTGTAGCTCTCAATGTGCTCGTACCAGCGCGCAGCGTGCGGGTACTTGCCGGCGTCCGGGGCCTTGCCGGCGGACTCGTAGACCGAGACATCGGCCTGCGACGGGGTGTAGCTGGCGGGGTGCGGAGTCAGTCTGTGTGTCCGGTGCATGTGTGGTGCAGCGCGGCAGGACACAGCATCGCCCCCTCATTCCTCCCAAATATGCCACCACCACGAACGCCAGATCAGAGGGCTTGGAAATATGGTTGTCGTCAGAGCAAAAAGGCGCGGGGTCTTAAGCCGCTGGACTCGGAAACACGGACCAAAGCTTATGATCATCATTCTGGCGTTCGGGTGGCATCTCTCGCAGCACGGAGCGGCTGGGCATGCGGAGCGGCAAGCAGCTAGCTACAAGCTGCAAGCGGCTGCACAGCACTGCAGCACTGGGCAGCACGCCAGCACGCTGCAGCACTGGGCAGATCTTCACAGCAGCGCATGATGCGCAGAGGCTGCGACATCGCCCAGTTCGCCCGGCCGCCTGTGCTGCACATTCTCCTCTCCTCTCGCGGCCCGCACGGCACACTCACCCGTCGATGTACGAGCGGTCGGAGAGGACCTTCTCGAGGGCGGTGAGGCCGGCGGGCGTGCTGAAGTCGGGGAGAGACATGATGTGTGTGGTGGGTGACAAGGAGGGTGGTGTTGTAGCGGGTCAGAAGAAAGCGCGCGCCAGGACGCCGCCTAGGCGGACCTGCGCTGGCAGCGCGCGTGGCAAAGATTTGCCTCGGCCGGCAGAGGGCACGCCGCGCAAGGCAGGCCAGCAGGGCACGCCGCCACACTACAGCGGCAGCCATCAGCGCAGGCACCGCGGCCGCGTCCTGACCGCCTTTCTCTCCACACCTCTGCCGCACCACACACCACTCGGCTCTGCGCAGCAGCAATCATTCTAGTCCAGCTTCAGAGTCCTCTCTTTCGATGCCTGTCAAGCACGGGCAACGCCGTGGACCAGGCGGTGAGGCACCTCACGCCCTCAGAAGCGCGAAGAAGCAGCCTCGCGACGTCTGTGCGCCGCCACCTCGTGTTGCGTTGCTTCTCCCCGCTCAGCCTGAGCGCTTCGGCCGAAGCACGCGTGAGAGCGACTGCCCGCACTGCTCCCACGCTCACGCTCACTACCAGTTCAGCACCTGCCTCTTCACCCTCTTCTCGTCCAACGCCGAGCAGGCTGGTCTATAGTGATGGTATTGCCGCATCTAGTCCACCACACCTGTGTCTGCGCTCGCTGCAGTCTACCTCGCGAGGCCGCGCACCAAGAAGATGCCACTGCCGCTGCCCTGCTCCGTCGCCTCCCAGCCCTCGCGCTCCAGCATCTTCTTGATGCCGGGACGCAGCACCGCGACGTTGTTGCGGCTGTGGTTGCCGACGCCGGTGACGATGCGCAGTGGCTCGCCGGTGGCACCTCTAGCACGCCAGCGCGAGAGCTCAGCGCGTGTGACGTCGAGCGCCTCGGGCAGCGTGAGCAGATGCAGGTCGAGCTCGCCAGCACGCTCTTCATCGCCTCGCCGCTCCTCGACGAGCTTGTGCGCCGCTCGCATGCTCCACATCCGACTCTTGGCCTCGAGAGTACGTGCTTCGTCGGCGTAGTGCCACGCCGCACCGCCGCCGCCCAACCGCTGCGTCTTGGCGCCGGCGCCGACACGGAACGCCGAAGACGCCTTCCGCAACGCCTCGTCGCGCCGTGCTCGGTACTGCGCTGCGAGGATGCGGCACTCTGCCGACGAGCGAGTGATCTCGGCGCCTGGCGGTGCATTGTCCAGCGGCTCGTTGGGGTCGGAGACGCGGGTGCGCGTGACGCGCGATGTCGACTCGGCAGGCAGCACGACGCGCGCAGATGAGGCTGGAAGCACCGTGGCGCCGTCGCGCAGAGCATCGAGTGCGTCGAGTCGGCCATCGACCGGCTTGACGGCTGCTCCCTTGCGAGCTGGCCGCTTCTTCGGTGCTGGCGCTGCAGGTGTTGTTGTCGAGGAGAACAGCGTGGCAGGCCGAGGTGCGACTTCCGCCTCCTGGCTAGCGGCGCGCACGAGCGCCATGAGGTCGAGCAGGTCAAGTGCGGCGTCTTGTCGGCCCTTTGCAGCTCTGAACGCCAGCTGGGCATCGGCGCGAGTGCAGCCAGAGACACCGACGAGACCGTCGGCAAGCGTGGCAGCTGTGCCTGATGGTGTGCCGCCTGCCTCGTCGAGCGCCTTCAGCGGCCACTTCTCCGCCTCTGACTCGATCAGCAGCGTCGCTGCAGACGCCAGCTTGAAGTCGCGAGCGAAAGTCCGGCTGACGTACTCCGGCGCAACGTCGAGCAGCAGCGCCAGCTGGCTCTGCACCGACGAGGAGAGCAGCCAGGCATTATCGCGCACGTGGTGCGTGCGGTCTTCGGCCGCCGTCTCTGCGAGCGCAACTTTGTGCGCATGCTTGGCGGAGCGCTTGCTGCCGACGGGCGCTTTCCGTGCCAGCTCGTCCCAGTCGAGTCCCTTGTGCCCGTCTCGCGCTGCCTGTGCCTGCGGCGCAGACTCGATGAGCGCGTCCGCGGTGCTCTGCACGTCGCCGTTGTGCTTGTGCAGAGCGTCGCGCAGCACCACCTTTGTCCGGCCCGGGAACGCGTGCATCAGGAAGAGCAGCGCCTCCGACTCGGGATCTGCAGAGCAGCAGAGGCTCACGTCAGTCACTTGTCCGAGAGCTCGTCGCTGCCTGTCTGCCGCAACGCGGCCAGAGCTCGCGCATCTGTCCTGCGTGCTGCTACGTCTGCGCTACTCACCATGCTTCACCCCATTGCTCTGCGAGCTCTCTCCCGCCTCATCTGTGCCCTCACTCGTGACGCTCAGGTGCTCCAGGTAGTGGCTCAGCTCCTCGTCGTCCGTCGCGCTCCCTTCCGTGTCTCCGCCCAGCGACGTCTCGGGCGTGCAGAGTGCGGCATCGAGCAGCGTCTGCAGCACCTCGGTAGCGCCTTCCAGCGTCTGTGACGGCTCGTTGCAGATCGCTGCGACGAGCGATGAGTCAAGACCCCGCGGCACGAAGAGCGGCTGGGAGCAGCGAGAGTGAGCAAGGCTGATGCGCACAGCAGGTCATCCGACGACGCGCACCTCGAGCGCCGCTTGCAGATCAGTCATGTCCGGCAGGTATCGCGCCAGAGGATGGCGACTGGGCGAGAGGGAAGGTGAGAGGACAAATACGCGGCGGCGAGGGCTATTGCATGGTCCGGTGGTGGGAGAGGGGAAGGAAGAGGCGCACGAGGATTTGGCCCCTGCTGACACGGCGCGGCGGCTTCGCATCTCGATGCAGATGTGGAGGCGGCCTTGCGGCCTTGCAGGTGCAGCATCACGCGTTTCTCCTCGCGCGCACGGCGGCGCCAACAGGTGCAGCAACGGCACGACGCATCCGCATGCCGTCTCTCAAGTCTCGAGAGTGCAGAGGGTCTGGTCTGGCTCTGCGTTGTGTTGAGGCGGTCTTGATGGCGCAAGAAACTCACGCAGGAGAGCGGGCTCATCGCGGGTGAGGCATCGGGCACTCTGGCGCTGATGCGCGTAGGTGCGTCTGCGGCCTATTGACCACGCACTTCAAGCTGTTAGCTCAGGTGCAAGCCATGATCACAGGCGAGCCGAAGGAGTCATCATCAAGGTCGTGTGCCATTCGGCAGTGGGTGGTGGTACAATGACAGCGATCAACAGCGAGGCACGCGTGGCTCGAGCTGCACAGGCTAAGCCCAGCCTGTGCGAGGCAGCACAGCGGCTAGCCCGAGCGGCTGCCGATTCTCGCCAATGACTGTGGCGCAGGAGAGAACATCAGCTCGGGTCAGGCTCAGGACAGCAGACGACTACTCACGTCCTCGGAGTTCTCCGCCTCCTCGATCGCATCGCTCTGGCTCACGACGCGCAGCACGCTCTTCTTGGAACTCTCTTGCATCTCGCCGGAGATGATGAGCTCGTCGAGGATCTGCGACGCTGTGGTCAGCAAGCGGCCGCGAGGCAAGAGGGCTATCCGCAGCTGCGCCTCTCAGATTCGCTGCGCTCGCTGCGCTCGCTGCGCCAGCCCAGGCTGATCGCATTGACGGCGTGCTGTGCACAGACGGCGTCTGCGTCTGACCTCGCACCGCACGCAGCATCGTCTGCCTCTTGCCCGTCACATCTCGCACCCTCGACTCACAGAGTAGGCCTTCTGAAAGTTGAAGATGAGGTCCAGCTCGCAGACCTGTTGGTGCAGTTAGCATGGGCATGCGATATGCGAGCGCTGAGAGTGGGCCAACGCTCGCAGAGGCTGCGCGATACATGAGACGGGCACAACCCTCCTCGTCCCATTGATCAGGGTCGGCTAGCGCCATGGATACGTCCGTCTTGGGGCACATGGACGTCCACCGGCGGTCGAGCCCACAAGCGCGCTTCCCTCCTCATGCACGCCTTTCCTCCGGCGCAACATGCCCGATAGCTTCCATCGCACCGACTTCTATCTCTCGGACCTCACGTACAGCGCACTCACGTTGCCAAAGTACCGGTCCAGCACCTCGACGTAGCGGTGGATCATCTCGAGCGTCACGAGCTCGTTATCGCCGCCCGCGATGCCTGTGACGAAGAAGAGCGACGCATATCGCCGGTAGACCACCTTCGTCTCTGCGAGGTGGAGTAAGTCAGCAATTTGAAAGCGCTGATGGGCTGGATCGTGACAGCTCTGAGCCAGGGGTGCCTTCAGGTATCGGTCTGGCGCAGGCCGCGCACGGCCCTGGTCCCGGTCGAGTGACCATGAGCTGACGAAGGCGCTCGCCGTGCCCTCTCCTCCGCCAAATACGTCCAAGCATACTTCACGCTCTCACTCTGCCCAGCACCACACCTCCAAGCCTCTCCGTTGCAGCGCACTCACCCTTGTACTCCAAGAAATTGCACATGCGCGTCTGTCCCCCAGGCAGCCCGTCAGCCTCGCCGTCAATGCTGCGCTGACGCTCCCACAATGCGCTCACCCGGCGCGCAAGCACGAGCTGCGTGACATCCTTTGTGATCTTGGCCTTTGCCTTTGGCCCGAGGGTGGTGAACCACTTGGCGAGGCGGACCTTGCCTTGCCGCGAGATGAGGAGAAGCCAGTTGATCTGCGGCCAGACGATCAGTCAGCGCGCTGCTCAGCCTGCTGGACTGGCGCAAGCAGCGTGGCGCGGAGACTCACGCCCATGCTGAGACTGGTGGCAGCGCAAAGGCGCTGCGAGGACGAGGCAGGTAGGCGGGCGTGGTCGGGAGGAGCGAGTCGCCGACGCCGCGGCGCTTGGTGTTGGGCTGTGCGCGGGCGGCGGCGCCGCGTCGGCGCTGCTCGGCCGCGGCGCGCCGCGCTGCGCCCCTCCACTGCCCATGTCCGTGCACCGAGGGATCTGCTGCTTGCTCGCTCGAGGGAGAAGTGGAGCCACGAGCTGCAGAGTGCACCTTGACTCCCGACCACCTCCTCCCGGTCCAATCCTCACTCGCTACGCTGCTCGCTCGCCGACGTGGTGCCATCCAGCTCGTTGCACGCGCGTGCTGCACGGCAGATCGGGCACGCTGCTCGCCTTGCCACCACGAGCCCATCCTCGGGAGCAGTGAGTCAACCGGCTGGCGTGGGTGCCCAAAATCAATGATCACTGGACACGGGCTGATTACAGGCTCAAAAGCATCTTCGCAGGGGGAGCGAGCGTGCTGCGGTCGACGAGGAACAACTGACCAAGTCGGCGAACGCGCGGCGGCCGCGGCGCGTGGCACCTGCACCATCTGCGAGCGCGAGCTCCGACTCGACTGCAAGACCAAAGAGCTGCCACGGCCATGCCTGCTTCCAAGGCTCGCGCTGCGCCGCGCCGCTCGCTGCGCAGCGCAGCTCAGCCAGCGCCGCCAGCAGAGCCCGAGCCCGTGCACGACGAGGAATCCCCACCGCCGCCGTCGGGCAGCTTCGACGCGGCGAGCCTTGTGCCAGATGAGCCGCCGCTCGAGCTGCCGGAGCCGATCCATCTCTTCTCTCGCACCATCAAGCTAGCCGCCGGGTCGAAGCAAAGCGTCCACGAGGGCGCCGTCTTCGTCCCGACGGCGTACGAGACGCTCAGAAGAGGCCTCGTCGACTGGTTTCCCGAGCACGCCTCGCTGCGCCAGCTGCAATCGATCGCGAGTCTCACGGACCCGGACAGAGCTTTGTGGGACCGCCTTCACGCGCTCATTGCGGACGATGCAGCGCCGCCTGCTGAGCCCAGCGCCTCGGCGTCGAGCTCAGAGCGCAAGCGCCCGCGCAAAGTCAAAATCGAGCTCAAGGCCCGTCTGCGCCCCAGGTGAACACCGCTGCGCTCCGCGAGCCTCGGCATGCTGCTGATCACGACCATGACGTCGTCCAAGCGCCCGCGTGGGCAAACACTGCGACCTTCTTTGCGGCTCGCCGGCCAGCGACCACAATGTCGGCGCATTCGAGCTGCACGTCATCGCGTCGGACGAGGTGTGCAAGTCACTGTACGAGCGCGGCAGATTCGCGTCCGGCCACACGGCCGACACTGTCGACACCGTCGAGCGCCCGACGCTGTTGCTGGGCCATGTTGTCAGTCAGCGCGTGTGGTTAGCCTGGCGCTCCACTGACCCTGTTCCCTCAGGTGCCTGCCTTCGCGCGCAACGATGGCACGGTTGCGTCAATGGCGCCAGAGCTCTTCCAGCAGGTGCGTGCAGCGTGTGGGCGGTCCGGCTGCCAGCTCACATCTTGTCGCCCAGGAATGGCTCGGCTTCGAGAAGCACAGCGTGCGCGTGACGCTCGAGGCGCCTTTCCTCGTTCCAGACATTCTCATCGGACCAGCTGCGCTGCATCCAGTCGGTCGTTCTGTCCCATTTCAGGGCCCAGCGGTGGCACCAGGGTTCCGGCCCGTGGTGCGCCGCGATCCCATCGGCGGCAACGAGTACACGTCCGACATGCGCGCGCGCGTGCCTCCTCGCAGCATCGTTGGTCAGGTGAGCTTCTCTTAGGCGCTGCCCTGTAGTGTCGCTGACGCTCCCTTCAGCTGTCCTTCAGCGTGCAGCTTCAGAACGCAGCCTTCGACTATGGTCGTGTCCCGGGTGCCGACCCGTATCCCCGAAGCGAGACCAGCGGCCGCGAACGCAAGCTGCCGCGTCTGCTGGGCCCGTTCCTCAACCGCGTGCTCGCCGACCCGACCGGCGCTCTCAAGTACGACCTCTCCGAGCCCGACTTCTGGTCTTCAGGCGGCGGCCACTACCCGCAGTGGACGCGCGAGGAGTGCGAGGACCCGGGCACGTTCAGCGCGCTGGCAGACCTCAAGGCCGGCTCAGCATCCAAGAAGCTGCCGCTCAACAACTCCATCGACGTCCTTCTCGAGAGCTGCCGGCCTGCAACCGACTCGCCCGCCTTGTATCCTCCGGAAGCACTCGTGCCGACGCCGCTCAAGCGGTATCAGGCGCAGGCAGTCGCCTGGATGGTCCGGCGCGAGAAGCGCAGCTACCAGGACGCACCGATGCTGTACCCGCAGTGGACGGCCCTGAGCGCCAAGGACGTGTCCGACGCCTCTTCTGCTGTGAAGGCGGAGTCTGACGTCCGGCCGAAGAAGAAAGCCAAGAGGGCCTCGACGGCGTCTGAAGTGCGCTCGAAGTCCGCTGGACCGACGCGAGCGAGTACGATCTTCTACATCGACGAGGTCACCGGCATGCCTTCTCTGCGTCCATTCCGTGGCCTTGTGTCGGACCGCGGCGGCGCGCTCTGTGATGGTCTCGGCCTCGGCAAGTCACTCGAGACGCTCTCCCTCATCGTCATGCGCCCCAAGGGCAATGTGCTGGATCCGAGCCGCTCTGCCACTCTTGCTGCGGAGCTGCCAGCCGACCTCCGCCCGCTGCCCGTACGCGCCACATTGATCGTCACGCCGGCAGCACTCTTGGAGCAGTGGCATGCCGAGACGGCCAAGCACACGCCGTCGCTGCGCGTGATCCGGTGGCAGAGCAGCACGTTGCCGTGGAAGGCGAACGACCTGCGCACCGATACGCGAGCGGCGACGCACGCGTTCTTCGAGGACGACGCTTACGACGTCGTGAGTTCTCTGCGCTCTTGCGCACTCACCTGCCAGCTTCACTGACGTCTCTGCCGCAGATCTTGACATCTTACGAGCAGCTCAGCGCTGAGCTGCTGCGTTCAACGCGCGTGAGCAAGGCGGAGAGCGCACAGAGCCCGCTGCTCGAGATCCTCTGGCACCGCATCGTGCTCGACGAGGCACAGCTCATTGCAGGCTCGAGCGCCTCGGCGGCTGAGATATGCAGCTGCCTCTGGCGCACAGCCAGCTGGGTTGTCACCTCGACACCCTGCGCCTCGATCGGCGAGCTGTCGGGCATCTTCTCGTTCCTGGACCTTGGTGAGAAGTTGTTCAGGTGCGCTTGCGCTGCCGCGCTGACTAGTCCGCAGATCCCTTTGCCGATCCTCAGGCGTTTGAGACGCTTGTGGCTGACGGCTTCGAAGCGGGCGAAGCTGAGTCTATCCGTGTGAGTTCGGCCCTGTCGCTGCCACGACGACGTTTGACTGACCGTGCCTCTCAGCGAGCCTCTGGCCTATGCCGCAACATCATGTGGAGAAACTCGCGGGTGCACGTCGCCGACCAGCTCGGCTTGCCTCCTTCCTCGGAGGTGGTGCTGACAGTGAGTGCGAGCCATGCTTGCGATGCTTGCACCTCGCTGACTCCCCTCGGCATAGACGAAGATGACGGGTCAGGCTCACGACGACGCAGTAGCCTTGCAGCGCTGACTCCATACTCTCAGGCCTGCAACGCACCATTTACGAGCGCGAGGCGCAGCTCGTCAAGGCGCAGATCGAGGACGCAGTCAAGCGCGGCCTGAAGCATGTCAAGCACACCCTCGGTCCATTCCAGCAGTGAGTCCCGCAGCGCCCAGACCGACACGCCACCAGGATCGCTGACACCCTCATAAACTAGATTGCGCCAGCTGCTGGACCATCCGCAGCTGGCTGAGCGCCTCGGCTACGGGTCCAGCGATGCCCGCCGTAGCTGTACGTGCCAGCGCTCGGTGCTCAATGCCAGTGCTGACAATGCTTTCTGCAGTCGAGGACCTCACGACGAATCTCATGCGCCGTCTGACGCGCGAGCTGAAGGTCAAGCGCCTCGAGCGGGCCACGGTAGGTGTTCCGACGCCGAGACAGCTCATACACAATGCTGAAGCCACCCATCCCAGCTCGTCCTCGCCATCGTCGCTGGCCAGCGTGCCTTTGAGGCTGAGAAGCGGCCCGGCCTATGGCGCGGCGGCGTGCCCGTCTGGACCGAGGACGACATCAACGTGCAGTGCCGTGCAGCGCTGGCCGCATGCAACACCGCACTCGACGACGAGGAGCAGATCGGACTCGACGAGCAGGATCTCGACGACGCCGCAGCTGTCCCGGAACTGCCGCGTCCGAAGGGCACGCGTCGCCTCACGCTCGAGGAGGCTATCTACTGGCTGCGCACAGCCCTCGGAGAGAAGCGCCTCGCGCCGCCGCAGCATTACGAGCCGGAGCGCATGACGATCGTCTTCTTCCAGCGCGACTTTGTTCTGCAGGAGAAGGTCGACATGACGGACCCGCGCTACCACCCCGTCAGCGTCGACGCCGGCGAGGAGCTCGAGCTGAGAGACGATGACGACGATGGGGTCTTCGACTCGCAGCCGAAGAAGAAGAAAGGACGCTCTGAGTTCGAGGCTCCGACGCTCAAGGCCAACAAGCTGCGCGGCGTTGAGAAGCGCAAGCGGGCACGGGCGTGGCACTGGGTGCCTCGCCACAAGCTCGAGACCATGGTGCATCGGCTGCAGGCTTCGAAGGGTGAGCAGTAAGGCAAGAGCCGCATCGCATTTGCTGACACTCCAGTACAGAGCGAGCAGACCAGCTGTCGCACGAGCGCGCGTACCTGCAGAGCTGCATCGACGAGGAGCGCCAGCGCAACGGCGGCGGCAACGACGAGGGTGCCGAATGCATGATCTGTCTCAGCGTGCCGGACATCCGTGCGCTGCTGCCGTGCCTCCACGGCGGCTGCTTCGACTGTCTGCTCGACCTCATCAAGGCGAGGAACAAGAAGTTCGAGGGGAGCAGCGCGCCGTGTGAGAGCGACCACCCTTGACGACATGCTGCCGCAGCTAACGTATCGCCAGGCCCCATCTGCAGAGAGCCCTTTATGGCGAAGCGCATCATCCAGGTGCTGCCGAAGGAGGATGTTGTCGACGCAGCCACGGCTGAGTTTGGCTGCAAGATTGCCGGTCTCGTCAAGGATATCCAGTGCGTCGGCCTGGTGGCTGACGGCGATTCTGTGGCTCACCGTCCGGCACCGCAGGGCGAGGCTCGTTGCAGACCCGAGCACGAAGTGCGTCGTGTTCAGCGTATTCAAGCGCATGCTGCGTCTCGTCTCGGAGGCCTTGGAGGGCTGCGGCATCGGTGCGTCGGTGTGAACGAGAGCCACACTCAGCCGCGCTGACCATCGTCTGGCTCAGCTTCGATGGCCTTTGCCGGAACGGAAGAGGCAAAGGTGCGAAGGCCCGGCAAGGGGATGCCTTGCTGCCGATGCTGATGGCCACTTGCAGTCCAACGCCCTGGCGCGCTTCCGCGAGGACGGACAGGTCCTGACGGTGCCGCTCGCGCAAGCTGAGGGAGCCGCGGGCCTGACGCTGACCATGGGTGAGTAAGCCTTCGTGCCATGCGCGCGAACTACCGCTGATGCGCCCTCTCTCAGCGAACGTCAGGTGAGCACGTAGACTGGTAGCCTCAGGGCAGTGGACTGACACGCGGAGTAGCTACTTCCTCGAGCCCGTGCTGGACCCGAGCCTCGAGAGTCAGGCCAAGGGGCGCCTGCTGCGCATGTACGTCGACAGCGGCGCGTGGATGCTGCCTGAGACTGACAGCTGGACGCAGTGGCCAGACGCGTCCCGTGACGCTCGTCAGGGTCCTGATCGAGGGCACGATTGGTGAGCTCTCCGCGCTGCGTGCACGACCCCGAGCTGACACGCGATGCGCAGAGCCTGCGATTGCCAACATGGCGCTGGCGCGCCAGCTGCAGATGGAGGACGAGGAAGGCAACGAGGACGCCGCGGCCGCCGTAACGCGCGGCGAGAAGAACGACGTCTCGCTGGCCGAGCTGGTGGACGTCTTCAACGTGGCCTCGCTTGATGCGCTCGAGCAGGCGGCTGCGGCGGACCGCGTGGCGCGCGGCCAGCGCCTCGACGACGAGCTGCTTGCCTTTGAGGCAGGCGAAGAGGACTATTCGGACAGCGACGACGACCTGTACTAGGTGAAGACCCACAGTTTGTGCGTAAACCCACGAACCTGGGCGGTTCTTGCAAGGCCCGCGAACTTCGGTTGGCACGCCTGTGTAAGAACGAAACCCCCAAGCATCACCATCACGAGTCACCCACATCACACGTGCACCACCACCACGAGACACCTGTACAAACACACTGTAGCGCGAACAGATGCATTCAGCCAGCTGGCGGTGAACCGCGATGGTGCGAGCGGCGAGATGGTGGCTGAGAGGCTGTGAGCTAGGGGAAAGGGGGTCAGCTCCGGTCTCTAGATGTCCGCAGCGCCGAGGCCGGTTCGAGCGGCAACGGGATCTGCAATAGGTCCGAGACGGCTATCCGCCGACACGGAGCCCCCTGGGCGAAGGGGGCCTCTTGGCGGCCCGGCGGCGTCCCGCCGAGCTCGCCGAGAACGCTGTGCCATGGCTCTACGCATGCACTGAATGGAGCCGCGACTTTTAGGTCGCGAGCCCCGGCAATGCGGGCGCTCAGTAGCGTTCTCACCGCGACGCAACAATAAGCCTCCTTCTTTGTATCTAGAGAGCTTCATTCGTTGGTCCGTCTTGCGGCTGCGGTCGAGAGGCGCCATAGGCGCATCGACCCTAAGCCCGACCAAGATCTGGCCCGCCAGGACTCTGCTCTCCGATATATAAAATGAGCAGTCCCGGCTCATAGTCACTGCACTCGTGTCTCGGTACGCCGATTTGTACTGGCGTCCGCACGGTGGTGCTATTCGTGCCTCCAGATCTGCTCGACGCAGTCCAGACCTAGGTCCCGAGGGACAGAGGTGCATCAAGTCCGCCCCAAACACAACCGCATCCCCCCACGACGCTGTAGACACCCTCAAGCCGCATGGCCACCGCGTCGCAGCGACCACAGGCCCCACTGGTGGCGTGCGGCATCACAGTCGCCGAGCTCGCGTGAGAACCACAGCGAGCTCAGCGACCGCTGCCGCACGGAGCTCCTTCCGGATGGCTCGTGGTGTAACTGAAGGAAACACGGAAGCTGAGTGAGTCATAAGACTCACAGTAAGAGAGAAGAGACGACGGTGACGCAGTACAAGGCCCGAGCTAGTTCCACGCATCCTCCCGCCCGTTCAGCCGGTCCTGTCGCCGCTGGGTAATCCAGGCCTTCTTGCACTCGCGGCTGGCACGGTGCAGACGTCAGCGAGGCGTCGTGATGCTGCGGACGAGCGCGGCCTCTCGCTCGGCGCTCGACTCACTAGTTGTTGAAGGCCTCGGTGCACTTCGTCCGGTCGTACGCGTTGTCCTCGAGGCACTTCATCGAGAGCTTGCTGGCCTTGGCGCACGGGTCGGTGTACTGGCGTGGCGCCGTCGAGCGTCAGTCTCACTGCCCCTTCGCGCAGCACTGCAGCAGCTGCGCAGCACAGCAGCAATGACGTGAGCTCACCTTCGACGCCGTCTTGCCGCCCATAACCTTGACGAAGTCCTCGGGCGTGCGCCCGTCGTCGACGGGACGCAGCGACATCGTGGTGAAGTGAGAGGTGGCGACGTGCTGCGGCGATGCGCTTTTGTGCTCGGCTATATAGCGATGAAGAAAGAAGCGCTCTGAGTGAGAGAAGGGAGAATGGGCGAAATGAGGGCGCAGTAGAGAGAGAGAGGGGAGAGCGGTGCCTGGATCTGTGCCTTGCTCAGCTCAGGGCGCACTCTACTCCACACAGCGACACATGCTCTCGCACGAGAGCAGATCGCGCGCCGAATGCTCTCGAGCGTCATTTTGCCTACGCTGCTCTCGCCCGCTTCGCCCTCATTTCCTCACAGCGCCCGCCTTCGCCAAGCTTTCGTCTTGGGGCTCAGCCTAACCCTCAGCTCGCCGCAGCATTAGTCAGACGGGCGTACCTCGTGTCCTGCCGGGCGCAAGCGTGACGGGCTGCATGGGAAGCGGACCATGCGCCGCGGTTCGCGCTCTGGACGCGGGCGCCGTGTACGCGCGCCGCGCGCGATGCTTCCCACCTCTGCGCCTTCCGTCGGAAGCACCGCTCACACAAGGCGGCAGCTCCACCCTGCCTCGTCAACGCTTACATGAGCAGCTCGCAGCAGGGGGCGTCAGCGGCACGCAGCAGCTTCGGCATTCCTGAGGGTGGGGATGAGACTTGCGGGCTCTGCGAAGAACGTCTCTCCTTCAAATTGCTTGCCTTCGTCTCGCTGGCCTTCGTGCGCCTCACTTGCACTCTCGCCACGCTGGTCAGGCAGCGATCGCGAGAGCTGCACCGTGATCTGCTCGATCGCAGATCTCCGAGCGCCTCCCGATGCTTCTTGCTCGGCGCACGCGCGAGGCCAACACTCCAGCGGGCCTCGATGAGACCCGCTGAAGTCTTGCGTGGGACGATCGAGAAGCAAATCTTTATCCAGCTCGCGGCTTTGCCCGAGAGTCGCGGCCCATGCCACAGGTCTAGACCTGTGGCACCAACTCAACCCGCGGCTCGAGCATGAAGGGTGGCCGAGCTTGGCTTGTTCCTTGCCGGCCGCACTAAAGTTGCGAGGGAGGGCGAGGGAGAGGAGGTTGCCACCGGCAGCCGGGCGGTCACCGCACCGAGCGCCGCTCACACGGCTGTGCCGCCGCCTTCGCGCGCTTGGCCTCTCGCGCAGCGCCCGGCGGTGGCCCCGACGCCGTGGCAGCGTCATACGCCGTCACGCCGCGTGACACGGCGCAGCGGGCGGCGCCCGAAATAAGCTGCGCTGCGAGATGCATGCACCTGCAGCAGCAACCTGCGGCCTCGCTCACCCGCCCGGCTGCAGCGCCCAGCGCAGTGGTTCGTAAGCATGCTGCGGCGTGCAGCGAGCGCCGTGTCGCTGCGTGTCTCTCTCATGTCTTGTGCTCGCGGCTCGGAGATCACCCTTCCGCTCGTTCTTGCTCCTTCGCTCCAACCCGAGTAAGGCGCGCTGGCCGCCCGTCGGATGCACATGATGTGAACACGGCCGGCGCGCGGGCGATCGCTGCTCGGCTGGCTCGGGTCTATTTGGCGGCCCTGCCATCATGCCAAGGCGAGCAGCGCCGAGCTGGGCGAAGTGCCCGCTGCCCCTCTGAGGTGGGAGTGGGGGCATCAGCGGCGCCGACGACGGGAGTTCTCATGCCGCGGCCGTCGCGCCGGGCACGCCAGCAGCCGGCGAATCGGGCACCCGCACACACCCTCTCCCCCCTCCTCGCCGCGCTCTGCCACCGACGCTGTGGCTCGCCGCCGTGCCTTCTCGGCGCTCTGGCGTGATTGAGCTCGCAGACGGCACCGCTTGGACCGCCGTCGTCTGATGCGCATCAAATCAGCACCGGCAGCCTCGGAGCCGGCGTTGCTGCCCTGCGCCGGGTCTCCTCGCCATGCAGCATGTGGGCACGGCCAGCAGCGCACAACAAGGCTTGCGAGGCCGCTCGGAGCTCGCAGCAAGCCGTCTCTTGGCCACCGCTTCGTCACTAGACTCTGCTCGGCGTGGCGCTGTTCGGCAGCATGCGCCGACGGGCGGGCCGCAAGGTGCAGGTACCGCTGCATGTGCAGAGCGGCAGTCCCAAGGTGCGAGGAGCGAGCTACGAGCTGCAGGCCCATGTGCCCCCTGCACCACATTGCTCCGCTGTCGCGGGTACACTCCGGCGGCAAAGGCGCGGAATACCAAGGCTCGGCGCCGGCGTGCGGCGCTGCGCCTCCGGCTGCGAGTCCTCGCTCCACTCGCTCCCCCCTCGCGCCCCGAGTCGAGGCCGCAGGGCAGGACGCTAGTGCAAATTGATAGCGCCGGCACCGCTGTTGCCGCACGCCGGTCCGCCATCTCTGCGCTCTCCTGATCCCTCGGCAGCCTGCGGCACTCGCCGGCGAGCAAGGCGCGCACTCGCCGCCCGGCGGGCCACACTGGCGCTGCAGAGTTGGCGCCTCTGCCGCTCCTCTGCGCGCTCCGATGCGCTGGAGCAAGCAATGCTCCGAGACACCGCTGCCCGCCGCTGGATCAGCCGGCTGTGGGCGCTGCGTGCGCCGCTGCGGCTGCGGCTGCTCGTGCGTCGCTCCTCTCATGCTGTCTGCTCTGCTGCCCTGACGCCCGATGCGTGCCCCGCCGCCGCCCGTGCTCCGCTCCCGCGCTCAGACCTCGGCACTCTCTTAACGCCCGGCGGCTGCCAGTGCCACCCTCGCACGCCTTCCCGACTCTCTCTCACCACCACCACTCGTCCCTGCGCTCTCACCACAGAGCGCCTTGCACTCATCCACCATTACCGTCGCAGACGCGCGCTCCTACGCATACATCCCCGCCGCCGGGATGTCTGCCTTTGCGTCGATCTGCAGCCGCCTCGTCGCCGCTGCGAGCGGCAGCGGCAGCAGCACCAGCGGCGCCACCACGCAGCACTACATCAGCGAGGACAAGGCCGAAGAGGCCTACATCGACGGCGACCTCGAGCCGCCAAAGGAGCTGCACCTGCCGCTGCGTCCAGCCGAGCATGGCTACCATCCGAATCCGTACACGCGCGATGCACAACTAGGCTTCGAGCTGCTAGACGACGCGCTGGGCCCACATCAGCCATGGGAAGGTGAGTCGTGCATCGAGTGAAAGCGCGATGGTGTCGCTCCGGGATAGGTCTGGCGAGCGGTGCCTCCACTACGAGAGAAAGCCGAGATGTCATCCAGCGGGGCCTGGAGGGCTTGGCACGTCCTAGCATGAAGGGTGCACGGGTCGGACTTGGTACCTGCTCCGCTCGGCCCACCAGGATAATCTCTGCTGTCAGTCCTTGGCGACAGCACACCATGCTCATCCCCGCCCGCCAGATCACGGAGTGACGAGCGACGGCGTGCACGTCCGCATGGTGCCGGCGCCGCAGCCGCTGCTGCCGCTCATGTACGGCAAGACGTACGTGCCCAACGTGTCGGCGATCCAGGTGCTGGCGTGCATCCACGTCGCCTCGTTCCGCCTCATCTGGGACTCGCGCATCGGCTCGGCGGGCATCATACAGCGCTTCAGCCACTACTGGCATCACTTCTACATCGTCTGGCGCGGCATCATGCACATCTATGCGCCGCGCGATGCCATTGGCGTGCAGGCCACGCGCTCGTATGGCCCCGACGGCCAGCTGCAGTACCGCCCGACGGCAGACTCGCAGGTCATCGACATTTGCTGGACCAACGTCGACGCCAACATCGCACCGCAGGAGGACAAGGTGCGCGCGCACATCATCCTCGGCTCGTACCGCATCGAGCAGGCCGGCGACGGCTGCAACGTCACGTTCATCGGCCAGGCCAGTCTGGCCGAGAAGGGCCCTGCCTGTGAGTCAGAAGAAGCCCCTGCCACATCCGGTGCCTGAGCTTACCCGTGTCTCTCAGACATCGTGCGGCGAATCGCCACGGAGCAGTGCGAGACGATTGGCCGGCTGCGCACTGCGGTCGAGCACTTTGGAGTGCCGCCGTACATCCTCGATGAGCGCGAGATCCTCGTCATGCAGCTGCAGCAGTTCCTGGCCGAGACGCGGAAGACGACGCTGCGGGCACACGTCTCGCAGCCAGGGTCCTTCACGCTCGTGCTCGACAAGAAGAGGATGTACCCGAGCGGTGCGTGGCGGCGGAGAGAGTTTGCTCGATGGCTCGAAGCTGACCTCTGCTCGCAGGCGTCACCATCTCGCTGGTCGAGGGCGAAGGCGCCAGCTCGCTCTCGCTGCGCGAGAACGCTGATCGGCTGGAGCTGAGCGTCGATGCGGCGGGCGTGGGCAAGGAGTTCTGCATCGTGCGTCGACTGATCGTGCGATACTGAGGCGCTGCCTTGCTGATCGATGCCCTTTCTTCTCTTGCAGGAGTTCGAACCGCGAGACAAGGAGCCAGAGCCGTCCGCTGGCACGGGCTGGTGGTAGAGACCAAGACGAAGCGACCAAAGCATCAAACACGGAACCCTTCTGCACTGCAATTTCATATCCCTCCTCATCCTCACTTGCGGCGTGACACGCGGACGTTCAGTCGGGCAGAACGAGCACGGAAGCGGACGAGAGCGGAAGGGTCCGAGGCTTTGATCGCACGGCTTTCCGTTGAAGCAGGATGCTGCTCGGAGGCAGACAGTACTCAAAGCTGCACTCGATGGCTCGGATTTGGGACCGTTGTTGGATGCAGTGGGGACGCTGCTGTGCGTTGCTCCTTTACACCTTCGCTTCCGAGCGTCCAGCAAGCTGCGTGTCGCAGCTGTCGAGCGCACCGGGCCTCTCTCTCTCTCTCTCTCTCGCCGCCAGCGCCTTGTCCACGGTCGATGAGGAGAGACGAGCTTCATCAGGGCCCTCTGACGGCCCGGCATCGGGAGCAATCGATTGTTCTGGATGCCTGCGGCCTGCGTCGAGCACGAGCTCGCCGTTCCCCCTCTCTCGCACGCTGCGATAGGCCAACACAGCCGCTCAGGGGCCAGGCACGGATGTGGCGGCACTGCAGGCCCGCAGAGTGCTCGCTCAAGTGCCACGCGGCGGCGGAAGAAAGGGGCCTGTCAGGGGTGCATCCGGGCAGCGGGAGGGGGCGTTGGCAACGTGGCGCGTGCGCTTCTCCACACGCCTGCTCGCTGCTGCTGCGCCGCATCAGATCAAAGGAGCTTCAACTTGATGATCAGCAAAGTGCTAATGTGGCATTTCGGAGCCGCAGATCTGCAATACAAAGTGCGCTCGCCGGACATATGCGCGAGCACGCAAGCGGCGTGCGCGGCGCGCGTGCGTGCGCTGCGTCTGTCAGGCACAACGGCGGCGACAGCGGCTCCGCTCGGGCTGCACGCGTCGCGCGCTGCCGATCTTCGCGCATGGCACGTTGTGTCAGCGGCCCTCGAAGCGAAGGCGAGGAGGCCGCCTCGGCGCATGTCGCCTCTGCTGACCCCTCCCGCGGACCGACGCTTATCGCGCGGCCTCCGCACGGCGGCTGTGCGCAGCCGAGCCCTCATGCTTGGCGGGCCGCGTGTGCGCTGCGCTGTCAGAGGATGGCGCGCGCTGACAAGCATGAGGGAAGCGAGGCCGCTGAATGCGCCCTCTGCGCTGCTGAGCGGCTGACGGTGGATGCGGCTGTGCTGCGATGGGTCCGCGTGGAGGCAGCAAGGACGAGCAGGCAGCGGTGATGCTTCCACGGCGCGCCGTCTGCCGCCGCTCGGCCGCTCGCAGCGCAGCAAGCATGGCAGCAGGGCCCGTGTCAGGCTTACGTCCGAGGCCGGATGCCGAGCCGAGGCCGCTGTCCTGCGCTGCGCTGCTCTGCTCTGCTCCGCGGCCCGATGGAACTCCAGCGTGCAGGGTGCGGCGTACGGATGGGCTGATGGAATGGAGCCGCGGAGGCGCAGCAGGCAGCACAGGAGAGGCCGGCGATTGCGTAAGGGTTACGCTTCGAGCGCACGGCGCGCAACGCGAAGTTCGCGCCTGCCTGCTGCCGCGCGTTCCTTCTCGCCCGCCTCGCAGCCGCCTCTCCACCTGCCATCAGCTCAGCATCTGAGCCTCGCCCATCCCTCTTAACTCTCCGCACTCCATCACCTGCCCCGGCGCACCCCACCACCACCTACATTCGACCTCTGCCGCTCTCGGCTGGACACGCACGCACCACACGCTCGCAGCTCCACCACCTCCACTTGTCAGCGCCCAGCTCAGCATGGTCCCTGCCGCACCTTCTGCCGCCGCCTCGGCCTCGGCCCACGCATCCACCTCGGCGCTGCCCATGGGTGTGCCGTCCAGCGCTGCCGCGCCAGCTGCTGCGGCCGCCGGCGTGCCCGACGTGACCCTGCGCCCGCCGCCGTCGTCGTCGGACTATGCCTTCTCCTCGCTCTCGCTCGACGAGTGCGACGACGACGAGAGTGCGCTGGACGACGGCGCCTCGTCTGTCTCCTCTTCCTCCTCTCACTCGCCCTTCACGCCGCCCTCCACTGCGCCCTCGCTCTTCTCGCTTGCGGCGCGCAAGCGGCCCTCGGCGCCCGCCGAGGAAGAAGACGATCGCGATCATCTCGGCATCGACATGCCCGCTGCGCTCTCGCACGCACACGCACTCCTCGTCGCCGAGGCTCGCGCCCTCGTCGAGGCAGCAGCTCGCTTGGAGGAGCGGCCCAAGGCGTTTGAGAATGCCGTTCGCACTGTCGTGACGTGCATCGCTGGCGGCGGCAAGCTGGTGTGGACGGGAGTGGGCAAGAGTGGTGAGTGTGCTTGCGGCATGCTGCCAAGCAGCGACCTCTCTGACACCTCTCTCTAGGCCTGATCGCGCGCAAGCTGCACGCTACCTCGCTCTCGCTGGGCCTCTCCTCCGCCTACCTCTGTCCCGTGTCTGCATTGCACGGCGACCTCGGCGCGCTCTCCGGCACCTGGCCATTGGCGCCTCGGGCTCCGCTGCTGCGAGCGCGCGCCGCCGAGTACCGTGCGCCGCCCGCACCTGCTCCGGACGTGCTCTGTGCACTCTCGCACTCCGGCGAGTCGGCCGAGCTGCTGCGCCTCCTGCCGCACGCGCAGGCTCGCGGCTGCCCCATCCTCGCCTTCACGGCGCGCAAGGACTCCAGCCTCGGCCGCGCCGCCGCTGCAAAGGGCGCCTGGGTCGACTGCCGCACCGCCACGCCCATCGATGTCTCGCCGCAGGCACTGACGCCCGTCGATGCGCCGCGCTCGGCGCCGCCCATGACGCACTGCGCCTGCTGCTCCTCGTCCGCAGCGCTCGCTGGCTCGAACAGCGTCGGCGACCCGAGTGCCGAGGCGGACGCCCTGGTGCCGGCGCCTACCAGCAGCACGACGGTCGCACTGGCCATGGGCGACGCCCTCGTGCTCAGCGTCGCGCGCGCTTGCGGCCTCGGCGTGCAGAGCTTCAAGCAAAACCACCCCGGCGGCTCGCTGGGCGTGCGTCTCGCTGCTCCGGTTAGCGTGGCCACGCCGACGGCCGCCTAAAGCCTGCTCGACTGCTATCGCATCTGCTCCGATCGCTTCGCTTCTTCGATCGCCGTGTAACAATAAGCCTCGCCCCGCCTGCTTTCGCTACGACCCATCTCCAAGCCACCTCTCTATCATCCTCAGCACGCCTACTCGTCCCCTTCTCTGCACTGCTTCTGCCCGATGTGTCTCTCGATCAACCTCTCTGCCGGCTCGCGCAGTGCGCAAGCTAGCTCCACCCCTGTCTTTCTGCACATGTGCTCTCGCGCACAACCAGCACTCTTCAATGTCCATGCATCTGCACATCTGCCTCACATTGCCTGCGTCGACGCTGAGTCTACTCATCGAAGAACTCCAGCTCATCTGCAGCGCGCATGATGGCGTTGTACTCGCTCGGCTGCGTGCCTGGCGCCCGGCGCGCCTCGTTCGTGAAGAGCGAGTGGAAGACGACGTCCTTTGCGGAGCGCTCCTCGTCCGGCGGATCGTGAATGCGCACGTGAATGTAGTGGTCGTCGCCCGCACGCGGCAGGCGGATCTTGCCGATGATCTGTCGCTGTGACTTAGCTCGGCCGCCGCAGCGGAGCAGAGAGCAACTCACGATGGTGCCGTAGCTCACAGCCCCGGCCCGTACAGAGACAAGATCGCCAGAGCGCACGTCGAACGCCGTCAGCTCGGCGTCGGCGACGTCGGCGACGCGCGCGTACATGCGCGGCTCGTGCGCGGCCCAGTGGGCGCGGCTGGGTGGTGGTGTTAGCGAATGCTTGATGCGTCAGAGCAGCGAAGGAGAGACACACCTCTTGAGCAGCTCGGCCTTGATGCGCTGCTCGAGCAGTGCGAATGCCTGGCCGCCGGGCAGTGAGCGGTGTCACACGCACAGCCACGCTGCCACACGCACCTCGACAGCACGCGGCTGCGGCGCATGTGCGGGCGAGAGGGTGACGGACTCGGCGTCGGCCATGGCGGAAGGAGTGAGAGTGCTGAGAGGCTCGGTGCGGTGTGTGAGACGAGCGAGTGTGGGAGTGGGAGACGAGGGCGAGACGATGCAGCGGCGGCTGATGGGGCTGGACAAAGCCAGCAAGGCGCGGGTGGCCTGTGCGCGCTTGCGGCGCAAAGTCGCGCGCCCGGCCGGCTGTCTGTGCGTGCTTCTCCCCACGACATCTCCTCTCCGTCTCACTCCTCATCCTCTGCCCACTCGTCGATAACCGAGCGCCAGCTGCATTAGCTCGAAGATCGCTCCCTCAGCCTCACCGGACCTCTGCCCCCCCTCTGCCGCAAAGCTCCTCGCCACGGCGCACTCCTCACTCAGCCTTGAGCTGCCTCTGCTCGCCATGCTCGCGCCGACTGCGCTGCCCAGCGCCACGCTCCCCGACGTGCAGCAGCTGCTCACCGCCCTGCTCTCGCCGAGCGTCGCATCCTCCGCCTCGGCCTCAGAGCTGCTCGCGCGTCTGGCACAGCAGACGCACGCCGCCCTGCTCGACCTGGCAGACGACGAGCGGCCCACGTCGTACGAGGGCCTGCTGGACGTGGCGCGCTTCTGCGTCGAGGAGGAGCCGGCGTGGGAGGAGAAGGAGCAGGGAGAGCTGTGTGAGGCGTGCAAGGAGGGTGAGTATCAACGCCAGTCGAGGACCTGAGCACGGGCAACGGGCAGGCATGTAGCGCACGGCGTGAGGATCTGAGAGCGTGAGCATGGGCGTCGAGCATACGACGTGCACTGGTGTGCAACACGAGCTCAAAAGCGCTTCTTGCTGCCTTCGGCGCTTCGTGATCGAAGTTCCACCTGGCAGAAGGTGCCACAGCTGATGATGCCCTCATCTCAGACTCGATTGACTCATTGTGGGACGCCGCAACGGCACGGACAGCGAGCGTGACGGCCGATGCAGCATCAAGCGCCGCGCCCGCTGCTGCACCACAAGCAGAGTCATCAGCAGCCACCACCTCCAAGGGCAGTACACCTCTCGAGCCCGCCGACGAGGCCTTCGACCAGCCCTTCTTGGCGCTCTCGGTGTTCACCAAGCTCGTGCAGTCCTCTCCCGTCCTCTCGCACTTCTTCGAGCAGGACCTCTCGTCCTCCTTCCAGCTGCGTGCTCCGGCACCACAGCAGGAGTCGGCGCGCGAGGCACTCGCTACTCTCGCTGCTGTGGCAGTAACGGGGGGAGGAGGCGGACAGTCGACTGCACGTCGCGTGCGTGGATTGCTGGGAGGTCTGCTGGGAGAGGTGGGCGATCGTGTCGGCAAAGTGACGGGCCGAGAGACCCGCACTGGTCCGCTGCCTTCGTTCGGCCAGCAGACGCCCGCCAGTCTGGCCGAGAGCAGCACCTCGCAAGCAGCGCTGGGCGCCAAGACTGCTGCTGCAGCGTCATCGTCGCTGGGACGCAGCGTGCAAGACGCCGAGGAGGACGTGCGCGCGGCGACGGCGCGGCTGGTGGAGCAGGCCGCCTCGTCGGAAGGCGCATTCGTCATTGACGAGGCGGTGGGCGAGGACGAGGAGGATGAGGGAGACGACGACGATGAGGAAGCGGGTGAACTTTCGCTTGCTGCGCTTGGCGGCGGCGAGGAGGAACAGGCTGGCGGACGCGAACAGCGCATCGCTAAAGGTGCGTACCTCTCATTCCTCGTCAACACCCGTGTACTGAGAGGCATGCTGACTCCCCTCTCGCCAGACCTGCGGACGGCTGCGGCGGCGCAGTGAGCTCCATGCGACGTTGCCTCGTCCCTGCCGCGCCATCATGTATCTCTACCACCCATACGACGCCCATGACATTCTCTGACACATACTCTCTGCTGTGAGGCGGCCGAGGCGGCCCAGTAAGAGCGAGGCAGCCGTTCAGGGCCCAGCATTCAGCCACTCAGGCCGGACGAGGGTGGGCTGCTGCTGACTAGGCCTGAGCGAGGGTGCGAGGCGCCGAGCCTTTCACGCCTGCGCAGCGCTTCAGGAGCGATCGACGGCGCAGCGGCTGCTTCTGGGCTCAGCGGCGCGCCGCGCGGCAGGCGCGAGATGATGCAGCGGCGCAGCGCCTGCCGCCCAGAGAGCAGCTCACGTACGCGGCCGCGCGGCATGCGGGCCGGACGCCGCCGGTGCCGCTTTTGGCCCAGATCTGCGGAGCGGCGACGCTCTCACGCGGGGCTTGCGCGGCATGCCAGCAGCAGCGGCTGTGCGAGCGTGGCTGGGCCGCGGTTGCCGGCGCAGTCAGCCTCTCAGCCAGCCGGCGCCGCGTGCCGGCGCGGGCGGGCATTCAGCTGCCTCCGCTTCTCCACGCCGGCCGCCGGTGCTTGCCTCGCGCGCGCACCCCGCACTGTTCGCTCCGCACCACCACCACCCCGCACTCTCGCTCGCGTCGCACCTGCCACGCCTGCCCGCCATGGCCTCGAGCTGGCACGACACGCTCACCATCGAGACGATCGAGAAGGAGCGCGCCAACCCGCCGTTTGACGTGCGCGCCGTGCGTGTTGCTGCGGTGTGCGAAGTGCTGCGTGCCTTGTCGCTTACATTCATGCCGCCTCTAGCTCTCCATCGCCCAGCATGGCAGCGAGAAGGAGCTGCTGCTCAAGGAGCGCGTGAGTGGCCGTCGTGCCTCGCACCTCCACCCTGCCATCGCTCACCCTCTGCCCAGTTCATGCTCGAGATTGCCCGCGACCCCGTCTTCTACATGGGCGATGTGCACGACCTGACCAAGGACGAGCTGCGGTGAGTGTGCGCCGAGTCTGAGCTCGCAGCACATCACACTCACCCTCCTTGCAGCGAGCGCACGATGCAGAAGATTGGCTCGCTGGTGCACTGCGTGCAGAACGAGTCGATCGAGAACTTCACGAAGCGCATGGAGCTCATCGGCCTCTTCGACCCCGGCTTCTGGACGCGCTTCGGCGTGCACTACGGCCTCTTCCTCGGCGCCATCCGCTCCGGCGCCACGCCTGGCCAGTTCAGCTACTGGATGGACAAGGGCGTCGTGACGTGCCAGGGCATGTTTGGCTGCTTCGGCATGACGGAGCTGGCGCACGGCTCCAACGTTGCTGGCCTGGAGACGACGGGTGAGTCCCACTGAGTGTGCCTATGTGTGCGCTCTTGCTGACCTGCCCTGCAGCCACGTTCGACGAGCAGACGGACGAGTTTGTGGTGCACACGCCGAACCTCGGCGCCACCAAGTGGTGGATCGGCGGCGCCGCACAGACGGCGACGCACTGCTCCGTCTTTGCGCAGCTCGTCATCCGCGGCAAGAAGCACGGCACAAAGACGTTCATCGTGCCGCTGCGCGACCCCATGACGTTTGCGCTGCTGCCCGGCGTGAACATCGGCGACATTGGCAAGAAGATGGGCCGCGACGGCATTGACAACGGCTACATCCAGTGCGTGCCTCTCGCGTGCATCGCCACGTTCCTCGCTAAACAGCCTCTTACAGGTTCACGAACGTGCGCATCCCGCGCGCGTACATGCTCATGAAGCACACGCAGGTGACGCGCGAGGGCGAGGTGCGCGAGCCGCCGATCCAGCAGCTCACGTACGGCGCGCTGCTGCAAGGCCGCACGGCCATGGTCACCGACGCCGCCAACACGGCCAAGAAGGCGCTGACAATTGCGGTGCGCTACGCCGCCGTGCGCCGGCAGTTCAAGTCGTCGCCCGACGCCGAGCTCGAGACGCAGATCCTCGACTACCCCATCCACCAGCGGCGCCTCATGCCGCTCGTGGCGCAGGCCGTGGCGTTTGGCTTCACGGCGCTGCAGCTGCAGCGGCTGTTCGAGGAGACGAGCAGCGCCCTCGAGGCGCTCGAGCCGGGAGACCCGAACCTGAACGCGACGATTGAGCTGCTCAAGGAGACGCACGCCACGTCGGCCGGCCTCAAGGCCTTCTGCACGTGGGCCACGCTCGACACCATCGAGAAGGCGCGCCAGGCGTGCGGCGGCCACGGCTACTCGTCGTACAACGGCTTTGCCTCGATGTTCACCGACTTTGCCGTGCACTGCTCGTGGGAGGGCGACAACAGTGTGCTCTCGCTGCAGTCGGGCCGCGCGCTTATTGCTGCGTACCGCGACGCCATGGACGGCAAGAAGCTGGCCGAGGGCACGTCGTACCTGAACAACATCGAGCAGGTGCTGTCGCGCAAGTGCCGGAGCAACGAGGAGCTCGTCACGCTTGCGGGCATCGAGGAGGGCTGGGCCACGGTCGCCGCACACGCCGTGCGCAAGGCCGGCGAGGACTTTGCCGCGCTGCTCAAGCAGGGCAAGAGCCGCGACGAGGCGTTCGAGGCCTGCTCGCAGGTGCGCTTCGTCGCCGCCAGCGTGCACACGAGCGGCTTCATCTTCCGGCAGTTCAAGAAGGCCGTCGAGAAGATTGAGAAGGGTGCCGACGGCGTGCGCGAGCACCTCGAGAAGGTCGCTGTGCTGTACGGCCTCTGGCAGCTCGAGGAGAAGGCGGCCTTCTTCCTGCGTTCCGGCTGGCTCTCTGGCTCGCAGCTCGACCACGCTCAGGCCAAGGTGACGGCGCTCTGCTATGAGATCCGTCTCTCTGCGGTCCCGCTCGTCGACTCCTTTGCCATCTCCGACCACATCCTCAACTCGCCCATCGGCCGCTACGACGGCGACATCTACCGCGCCTACTTTGCGCAGGTGCGCAAGTCGAACCCGCAGGGCAAGGAGCACCCGTACTTTGAGCGCATCATCAAGCCCTTCATGCACCGCCCCACGCAGGAGCTCGAGGACTTCGACGAGATGGGCCTCGACGACGAGATCCAGGAGATCAAGGAGGAGCAGGAGGAGGCCGCCGAGGAGGCAAAGGCGGCAGAGGAGGAGAAGAAGCAGCAGCTGGCCGAGGAGGCAAAGAAGAACGCCAAGTAGGCGCGTGCTCTGCTTGCCCCTCTCCACTCGCGTGCTTCCGTCTCTTCACCTTGGTCATCTTGGCGCCGCGCTACCCCGTCTCCTCCCTCTCCGCGCCGAGCTCACGCCGCTGCATCTGTACATCGAATACGCTTAATGAACGCATACTGGGTTACATGGCGAGGAGAAAAGGAGCATGCGAGGCAGAAGAGAGACGAAGGAAAGCGTGATCGGGCACTACCTGTACTGCGCCGGCAGGTCCTGGCCGCCGTCCTCCTTGCTCGGCAGGCGCCCATGGTACGCCTTGAAGCTGTCCTCCCACTTTTTGTAGTCGTTCCAGTACTTGTCGAGCGCCTCCTCCTCGGGCGTCTTCTTCTTGACCACGGGCGCCGGCTCGGCGGGCGGCGGCGGCGCTGGCTCTGATGGCGCTGGGGCTGAGGTGTCAGTCAAGGTGAGGGCTGCGAGTCGAGAGCGGCACTCACGCGGCGGCGCTGCATCCTCTGGCGGCGGTGGCGGAGCGGCCTCCTCCGGCGGCGGTGGTGCCTGGCCCTGCGGCTGCGCAGGCAGGCCGTTGGCTCCGGCACCGGGCGCCTGCCATTGCTGCTGTTGCGGCTGTGCGTTCTGAGATGGAGCTCAGATGTCAGCAGACTGCAGGATTCGAGGACGAGACGAGACTCGGCGAGCGTGGAGCTGAGACGAGGCTCGCTGTGACAAGCGCCACACGGAGCGCGCCCTACCTGCTGCGCCAGAGCCGGAGAGCTACTCACGCCTGCGCCGTTGAACGGCGGCACCCACACGCCCTGCTGCACGAGCACCGCATGTGCCTTGCCGTACTCGGTGCGCACGGCATCGAGCAGGTCCTCAGCCATCACCTTGCCCGCCTGCACCATCGCCTCGTCCGGTCCGCTGTGGGAGAACGTCAGCAGCTGCATTGCCGCACCATCGGACTCCACCACTCACGCGACAGCAATGTGCATGCGCTCGTCGCTCTCGCGCCCCGTCTCCGAGTCCATGAAGCCACTGCCCTGGCCCTTGATCTGCACGCGCGTGCCCGTCTCGCCCTGGATGTACTTGACGAACAGACCCTGCAGACACGCGAGTCAGCACCCTGGCCCAGCTGCTGGTGCCGCTCGCTACTCACGCCAGGCCCAACCACCTTGGCGCGCACATTGAAGTTGCGCAGCGGCTCGAGGTCGATGAAGATCTTGGCTTCCGGCCACTTGCGCTGTGGACAGAGGGATACGTCAGCTGAGGTCTGCGAATCCGCTGAATGGCTGCCGCGCGCTGCCCCTGTGCTCCAGCTGCAGAGAGCCTTCCGCACCGCCAGAGCCTCCATCCACCACCGGCAGGCGCCGACGGAGCTCCCCGTGCTGGCACTTAGCGGTGTGCACCTCCGTCACGCGCCAGCTTGCGCACCTACACTCTTGCTGCCTCTCTGCATGGCCCTCTACTGCTCCACCACCCCTCATTCAGCCTGCCCCTGCACACTCACACGCTCCGTCTCGCGCGGCGCACCGCGCTCCATCTCGCGGCGCACGCGCGGGTCCTGGTTCAGGTCGGGCAGCTCCTGCTTCATGAGCTCGCGCACGGCCTCGATGCCCTTGTCGAGGATCTCGCGGCTCGTGGCGGCGATGTGCAGGTACAGCGGCGGGTCCGCCTCGGTGGCCAGCGCCTTGTCCGGGTACCACGTGCCCTTTGTGGTCACGCTGGCGCCCGTGTCCTTGAGCAGCTGCTGCTGCGTCTGGCCCTTGGTGAGCATGTAGCGGTTGCGCTGGTCGTTGATCTCAATGTCGAAGGTGAACTCGGCGTCGTGCTCCGGCGGCCCGCTGGCACCGCCGCGCGGCGGCGAGCCGGCCGAGCCAGCGCCGGCGCCGGCACCGGCGGCCGAGTACTGCGCTGCAATGCGCGCGGCAGCGGCAGCAGCGGCAGCGGCCGCATCGCTGGATGCCGCAGCGGGCGGCGACGAGGCGGGCGGGGCGTCCCAGCGGGAAGACATGGTGGATGAGGTGGGAGGACAGGCCTGGAAGACGGCGAGGCGCGCGGCTTGGCCGTGTGAAGCGCGGCGCGTCGGCGCGACGCGGCCGAGGAGCGCCGCCCATGCGCGCCCTGGGGTGCTGCTCCCAGCCTGTGCCTTGCTCCTGCTCCACATCCTGCTCCTCTCCCCTTCACGCCTCGCCTCACGACGATGCACTCTCTCCCGCCGCGACCGGCTTTTGCTGGCGCATCGTCCGCGGCCTCGTCTTCGCGCGAAGGAGCTGCATCGCGGGTGCAGCGGCGCTCTGCCTCGCCCTCTCGCGACCGCAACTCCTCTCGCTCCGACGCCGAGTCGTCCTCGTCAGCGCTGCGTCTTGCGCTGCCATCGCGGCCGCCCGCCGACACCACCTATGCGCGGCCCGAGCGCGTCGCCTTCTTCTCCTACGGCCCTGCGCGCGAGCTGCGCTTCGACAGCTCGGCCAAGCGGCGCTTCCGCGAGCCGCCCACTGGCGTTGATCTGGGCCACCGCTTTGGCGCTGCCGTGTGGCGCGAGGAGCAGGTGTGTCCCGCCGTGGCGCTGCGCTACTCACCCGCTGATGAAAGGCTGTCTGCAGAACGAGCATCTCGACTCGCTCATCGAGACACTGCAGCGCCTGCCGTCCAGCTCCACACGGCCGCATCCACTGCTTGAAGCACGCGTGGTGACATGGCGAGGCATGATGACGCGGCTATGTTCAGCGTGGCACGAGCGCTCGAGCGACTATCCCAAGGGCTGGGAGATGAATGTGCAGCGTGTGAGTGTGAATAGGGTGAGGCTGGTTATGCATGGGCTCATGTGGCGTCACCCAGGTCGGAGACACGCTGTACATCGAGGAAGTCGTCACTGCAGCCTCTCTTGCCGACAAGGCGGCGCATGCAAACAACGAGCGGCAGAGGACAATGGCGTACCACGGCTATGCATTCGAGAGCTTCTGCACTGCGCCTCTGTCCGACGACAAGACCTCTGCTCAGCCCGACGCAGACGGCTGGAGCGGCGACGTCAACACCAACGAGCAGTGGTGCGAGATTGTGCGGACGTCGCTCGGCGGACATGGCGTCTTGATAGGTGGAGAGACGGACTGTGTCATTGAGTCGCATGGTGGAAATGAGGCGGAGGGCGTGGAGCTCAAGACGTCGATGGTGCTGCGCAATCAGCGCGACGAGGTGCGCTTTGAGAAGAAGATGCTGCGCTTCTGTGAGTCGGGCCGTCTGTGCATGCTGCTGCTTGCTGCTGAGCGCTCGCCATAGACATGCAGGCCTTCCTGCTTGGCATTCCGAACGTATTCGTTGGCTTTCGCGATCATCAGGGCAAGCTGCAGGTGCGTGTCCAGCTGCCGCAGCTGCTTGTGGCTCCGGCTCATCCCTCGCCCAGTCGACGCACCGCTTCCGCACGCTCGAGATGCCGCGTCTCGTGCGCAACAAGGTGTGTTTCTCTGCAGATGCCTGCCTGCCTCTCTGTTCACACGTCGCAGCCACACGCCTGGCATCCCTCGCAAGGCCTCTCCTTTGGCGCCGAGATCCTCTCCTTCCTCGAGCTGCACATACCTTCGCAAGAAGCATCGTCATCCGACCCGGCCATCTGGCGTCTCTCCTTCGACGCGCCCTTCACGCACGTGCAGCTGCGCCAGCTGGAGGCACACGAGGTCAAGACACTCTCGCAGGACGACGGCCCGGCGCGTGTGGGCTTTCTCAAGCGCGAGCACTATGCTTGGCTCCGTGCTGAGCTAGACAAGCGTCAGGAACGCAGCAGTGCAAATGCATAGCTCAAGCTATTCGTTTCAGAGTGATCGCTGCTGCCTCGATGTTGCTGCGCTAGCATGGCCATGTCTGCTCTGCTGGCATTGCGCTACGTACCTGCGTGTCAAGCGCGACGGAAGCACGGAAGCAGATGTGCCTGCCACACGCGCGACCACGCCCTTGAGCTCTGGGTCTGCCAGACACCGGGACCTGTCGACCCTACAGTAGCGTGTCATGGCTGCACGCGGGGGACAGCCGCGAAGATGAGTCGCTGCCGAGGCTCTCTCGAACGTCAGATGCGTGGCCCTGCTCCCGTATTCACGCATCTGCGTTCTCATTTCCTCTGCAAGGCGCTGAGCGTGGGCCCCAGGGGTCGCTCTGCCTTCGGAGTCGCGGCGGCATGATGGATGACAGCCTGCCGACTCGGAGCCGCAGGCGGCACGAGTTGGCCCTTGAGGCGCCACAATTTGCGCGCGAGAAGGGCCTCCTCGAGCCTTGGCGGACCCTTGGGTCAGCATGGAGGAGCATCTCTCTGCGGGCTGCGCGGTGTGGACAGGCCGGCGTCGGCCCGACGCCAGGGAGCAGCCGTCTGAGCTAAGATCTGCAATGCGTCCGTCTGCCTCTCCGACGTCGTCTGAGCTCGGAGCGGCAGTGTCGCTGTGGGGACGAGTCAGGGTCGAGGTGGCGTTCCATCCATGCGTGCACCTCTGCGGCAGCTACGTGCTGACAGCCAAGGCAGCCGTGCTGAATTTGAGGACGCGCATCGGGCCTACCCCACCCTCGACGCATGACGGGAGCAGCGGCGGCACGGAGCTGCGAATCTTGCCGAGCGCGGCACCGCCTCGACGCGGACAGGTCAAGGGAGCCAAGCTGGAAGCGACACCTGCTCGCTGCACCCTGCAGGCGCGGTATGCGGAAGAGCTGCGGCATGTCAGGCGGAGTGGCAGCGTGCAGCGGGAAGAGCGGCGTGGGCGAGCGGCGCACGCAGAGCATCGGGGCGTCTCGCCGAGTGCACACGCTTTTCCCACCCCAATCGCGTGACATGACGCTGTCAAGGGCCGCTGCGAGGGCAAGGCGGAGGCTCGGCAGCATACGCTGCATGCAGCATGCAGACAGCACCTAGTCGTGCCGAGGCATAATCCCTTCCACCGCGAGCGCGGGGAGACCCCGTGGGGCATGGCGCCGCGTGTTGCACGCACGGCGCCGCCACCGACCCCAGCACCCTGTCGCGTTTCCCTTGGCAGCGGCACGTCGGCAGCCGAGCAGCACGGCGGATCTCTCGCACAGCCCGCACACGATGCGCTCCCGCCTCCGCAGACGCAGGTCGCTCGCCAGCCTGCTCGGCGAGAATGCGGCGGAGTGGTGGGGCCCCAGGTCGTCGCATGCAGCACCAGTTTGTAGCGGACGGGCATCGACGGTGCTCGGCCCCATGGCGGGCGAACGGGGCGACAGAGAGACCCCGGACCGAGCAAGAGCGCGCGGAGAGGCCGCGTCGATTTGCCACCTCGCCTCGAGCGACATCGATCCCACCGCAGTCGCCGCGGCAGGCTGACGGTGGCGCCGCAGCTCTGGGAGCAAGCAGGCGAGGGCGCAAGGCGCTATTTCGCACGGCCATGTGCCACGCTGCGTAGCCTGGGCGCAGCGCCGTGCGGGGCTGGGTGCGACACCGCTCCACACCATCGAGGACGGCGGAGACGCGAGAGAGAGGAGCAGCAGTTCTGCGTCACGCGGACGCGTCGCTGCGCTCGGCTGCGAGAGGAGGCACTTCACCCGTCTTGCACGGCCCGCCGGCGCTTCGGCTCGGCCGGGCGCACCGTCGGCCCGCACGCCGCACCGCCCGCCGGCGGAGCCAGCGCACCGGGCAGCGGCCGAGTGTGCGGCACGGCGGGCGTGCGGCATCATCGCCGGGCAGGAGAGCAAGGCGGTGTCGGTGCCGCTCCCGCCGCCGCCGCCCTCACCGCCGCCGCGCGCCTGCTCTCATCACTGCGCGGCGCAGACTGCCATCCGCCGCCGCCGCCCTTCATTCCAGCTTTCTTTGCACGGCTCGACGGCGCCGGTGCGCTGCTTAGCGGTGCCTTATTGGAGTTCTCGGTGCGCTGAAAGACGAGTGCGAGAGGCGAGCGGAAGCAAAGAGGGAGCGGGAGCGGGCAGCAGGAGAGCTGGCGGCACCGCATGCCGCCGCACCCTCGACGGCGGCGTTTCCGCGAGTCGAGACTCAGCCTGCAGCAGCAGCAGGGCACAGCAGCGGCAGCGCAGCAGCATCTCAGCCGCGTCACTCCGCGTGACCTTGAGCGGCTGCGCAGCGGCGGAGAAGCCCTGTTTGCGTTAGCGCGCTCCACGACGGAGCGGCACGCGGCACGCCGCCGCGGCGACATGAGCGCAGCGCGCGCGCCAACTCGTACTCCGCCCCCAGAGAGCGGCGCTGCAATGCGACGCTGCCGTTGGACCCGCTGCGGCGGCGCTTTTGCACCGCCGACGAGGGCACAACACCAGCATGCAGCAGCAGCGCCTCCTCCAGGCACCGAGCTGCTCGCCTGAGGCCGCCGTAGCGCCGCGCTACGCAGGGCGTCAGGCGAGAGGAAAGAGAGAAGGTCGCGCGCGCGGACCGCCGTGGCGTGGCGCGCCATTCCATCACGGCCGGCCCCTCGAGGCGCGAGTTCTGCCGCAAAGTGCTGCGAAAGTGCCCATCGGGGAGATGACACAGAGGCAGCCGCCGCGGCAGCGCAGCACTTTGACGCAGCGGCCGATCAGCGGCGAGATCTGCCGCGTATAAGACGCGCACTCCCCCGCACCCTTCTCGCCCACCCCGCAACCACCCCGCAAACACACCCCGCACTCGCCACCACACAGCACACAAGCATGGCCGGCGACCGCATGCCCTCCGTCGAGGACAAGACGCCCAGCATCGAGGAGAAGCAGGCCACGTACGCGCACACGGCCGACGCCGAGACGGGCTACTCGGACAAGGAGCGTCCCGTCGACCTCACCAAGCCCAACGTCGAGGGCCGCCTGCGCAACCCGCTCAGCGGCGTGCCGCGCCAGACGCTGCTGCGCGATGTCGACGCCTTTGTTGCCGAGAAGGGCATCGAGGAGGAGCGCGAGCTCTTCCACAAGGCCGCCCTCGTCGCGCAGAGCCCGACGCGCTACAACGACCTCGACATGCTCGACGACGCCGACCGCAACATCCTCGAGCGCGAGCAGACGCACCGGTGAGTCAGTCAGGTCAGGCTCTGCACTGCGGCGGCTGACACGCCACACAGCTGGTCTCACCCTGTGACGCTCTACGTGACGATCCTCATCTGCTCCGTCGGTGCTGCCACGCAGGGCTGGGATCAGACGGGCTCCAACGGCGCCAACCTCTCGTTTCCCGCCGAGTTCTCGCTGGCCGGCACGGAGCGCGGCGAGTGGCTCGTTGGCGTGAGTAGAGGCGGTGTGCAGCGTTTTGGACCTAGTGGGCTAACATTCGGACCGCAGCTCATCAACGCCGCGCCGTACATCGCGTCGGCTGTGTTCGGCTGCTGGCTCTCGGACCCGCTCAACAACTTCTTCGGCCGCCGCGGCACCATCTTCATCACGGCACTCATCCTCATCGCCACGCCCATCGCCTCTGGCTTCACGCACTCGTGGCAGACGCTCTTCGTCGTGCGACTCATCCTCGGCATCGGCATGGGCGCCAAGGGCGCCACTGTCCCGATCTTCGCCGCCGAGAACAGCCCGACGACGATCCGCGGCGCACTCGTCATGAGCTGGCAGCTGTGGACAGCTTTCGGCGTGAGTTGCACAGCTCCACGCAGAAAGCGGAGCGCGCGCGCGCCAAAGTCTTGCGCTGACTTGACTCCTTGACAGATCTTCCTGGGCTTCTGCGCCAACGCCGCAGTCATCGACACCGGCGCAATCGCATGGAGACTGCAGCTGGGCTCGGCCTTCATCCCTGCCGTGCCGCTGGCCCTCGGCATCTTCTTCGTGCCCGAGTCGCCCCGCTGGCTGATGAAGAAGAACCGCTATCAGGAGGCGTACAAGTCGCTGTGCCGCCTGCGCTTCACTCGCCTGCAGGCTGCGCGCGATCTCTACTACATCCACGTCCAGCTCGAGGAGGAGAAGAAGATCATCCAGGGCGCCTCGTACATTCAGCGCTTCACCGAGCTCTTCACGATCCCGCGTGTGCGCCGCGCCACGCTCGCCGCCTCGACGGTCATGCTCGGCCAGCAGATGTGCGGCATCAACAGTGAGTGTGCTCTGTCTTTCGTCGTTGTTCTCACGCTCACACACACGCGCCAGTCATTGCATTCTACAGCTCGACCGTCTTCGTGCAGGCCGGCTCGACTGAACGCCAGGCGCTCTATGCCTCCATCGGCTTCGGCGCTGTCAACTTCGTCTTTGCCTTCCCCGCCCTCATCACCATCGACCGCTTTGGACGTCGTTCGCTCCTTCTGTTCGCCTTCCCGTTCATGGCCCTGACTCTGCTCGGCGCCGGCCTGTGCTTCCTGGCGCCCAACATGCCGAACCCGGACTACCCGGCGACCTCCGACCTCGCCGAGATCGCGACTAAGGGCAAGCTCGCAGGCATCGCCCTCTTCATCTACATCTTCACGGCCTTCTACAGCACGTCCGAGGGCCCCGTGCCCTTCACGCTCAGCGCCGAGGTCTTCCCGCTCGCGCAGCGCGAGCAGGGCATGTCCTGGGCCGTCGCAACGTGCCTCTTCTGGGCAGCCGTGCTTAGCATCACATTTCCAAGAATGTTATCGCAGATGATGCCCGTCGGCGCCTTCTGCTTCTACGCTGGCCTCAACGTCATCGCCCTCGTGCTCGTAAGTCGTCCCTTCCACACACGTCTTGCGCCGCGGTGCTGACCCATCGCGTACCGCAGATCTTCTTCTTTGTGCCCGAGACGGCCGGCCGCTCGCTCGAGGAGCTCGACCAGGTCTTCAACATGCCGACGGCGACGTTCGCTCGCCACCAGGTGCGCCACAGCCTGCCGTACTTCTTCAAGCGCTTCGTGTGCTTCAACAAGAACGCCAAGCCCGTGCCGCTCTACAAGACCGACGACGGCCAGGAGTTCCTCGGCTGAGCCGTGTCTCTTGCGACGCTCTGGCGCTCTCGCGTGTGCGCCGCTCGCTTCTCCGTCACGCGTCACTGGCCGCTCCTGTCTCTTGCGCCTCTGCTCCATACCCCTTCCGCTCCGCTCTCTTGTCTGCGGCTAGACTGTGCGGCACGCCGCTTCTGTCCCCGCCCCTTGTTCCCTGACGCGACGCTTCCAATGAAGATTGACAAGCTGATACATTAGTGAGGCACGAGAAGGAAGTAGTACAGGTAGCCGCGCTTCGCAGCGGGTGGGCGGGCCTCGTGCAGCAGCGAGGGCCCGTCGATGAGGAAACTTAGGAGCAGAGAGCGTGGGAAATAGAGACATGCGAGGCGGACGCGCGAGGCTACTCTACTTCGCGGCGGCGAGCTTGGCCTTGCTCGCCTCGACGAGCTCGGCTGCGGCGTCCTGGAAGGCCTTGCATATCTCGCGAGGCAGGCGCTGCAGCGACGGCACGTCGTCGCACGAGACGGCGAGCGAGAACTCGTCGGCGTACGAGATCATGCCGATGCTCAGCGTCGACTTGCCCGGCGAGCTCGGCGGCAGCACGTGGTAGGAGAAGGCCTCGTGCTCGCCGAACTTGACGGGCTTCGGCGGGCCGGGCACATTTGTCGCCACGCTGTACTCGCGATAGGTGCGCTCGAAGAACCACTGCCAGCCGAGCCAATTCGGCAGGAAGAGGGCACGGTGCTTCGAGACCCAACCGAAGGACGTGTACCAGATGTTCGGCCAGTGCGAGCGCTTGATGCGCCCCATCTCGCGATTCACCTGCTCGAGCTGCTTCTCGAAGGGCACGTCCTTCGGATCGTGGAAGGCGAACCAGGCAATTGCACCGGTCGTAAAGTTCGAAAGCTCCCAGTTGCCCGGCGGGCGCTTGGAGATCGGCACAAAGATGGCCGTGCGCTTGTCCTTGATGGGGCCGTTCTCGGTGCGCTCGGCGGCCAGACGCAGCGCACGCGAAAGGATGGCGCAGGCCACGTCGTTGAGGCTGAGGTTGAGCTGCTTGTCGGGGTTCGAGAAGGCCTTGCGCACGAGCTTGATGTTGTCCATCGTGATGCCCTCGCTGTGGTGGTAGAGGCGGCCCGGCGCACGCGGCTTCTCCGGGTACTCGAACGCCTTGCGTGGCCGAGTCCAGAGGCCGCGGGCCGTGTGGAAGCCGTGCTTCGTCGTGCCCCAAAGCGTCGGCTTGATGTTGCGCTGGCCGGGCTTCTTCTGCTCGCCGCTGTTCGTCTTGCGGTCGAACTGCGCCTGGATGTCGGCGACGGGCCGGTCGCTGGCGAGCGAGCCGAGCGCCGTGTGGTACGACATGATCATGCCCTGTCCGTCCGACACGGCGTGGTGCACCTTGACGATGAGGGCACTCTGTGCGCCCTCGGCCGTGTTGAGGCCACGCACGGCCAGCGCCTCCCACAGCGGCTTGCTGTAGTCAAAGTGCCGCGAGAGAAACTTGCCAGCGACGGCAAAGAGCGCCGCCTCGTCGCCGCCGTCGGGGCACTGCTCTACGATCTCGATGTTGTCGCGCACGTGGAAGTCATCCGCGTACACCCAGCGTGCCGGCCGGAAGAGGCTGCCGGCCTTGATGCTGTGCGAGAAGCGCGTGCGCCTGCCACGCCGGTCCTCCTCGGTGATGTTGCGCTTCGGAGGCGCCTCGCCCTTGCGCTCGGCGGAACGGCGAGCCTTCTCCTCACGGCCGGCACGCCGCGGGTCGAGCTCGACGCGGTAGCCAAACTTCGGGTAGCTCGTGGCCAGCCGCTCAAAGAAGCGGTAGATGGTGTCGTCGTCGAGCGCGGTGCGGAAGAGGTACATGGAGTAGCACACCGTCGAGTACCGGTCGTTCTCCATCAGCAGCGCGAGATTGTCGATGCCAGTCACTGCGGCCGGTCAGCACTTGCGCGAGGGGCCAGACATGGCGCGACTCACGGGGGTAGACACGGCCTTTCTTGTCCAGATTCGGCGCTGCGGAAGATCCAGACTTCTCAGTCTTCGGCTCGTGCGCAGCCGCAAGCGTCTGGTGATCGTCGCTCTGCTGGCGGGCTGCCGGTGCAACTGCCGGCTTTGGCTTCTCAGACTCGACGGGCGCCTGCGACACAGGCCGTGACTTGGCAGCAGGCTTCTCGCGAGGTGCGGCGTGGGCAGCAGGCTTCTCGCTGGGCGCAGACTGGCCCTGCTGCTTGGCGAGCTGGGCACGCAGCGCAGCGCCCTGCTCGGCGGCGCTGCCGCGTGTGTGTGTCGGCTTGCTAGGCATTACGAGAAACGGCGCTGTGGCTCAGCGTGTCCGTGTGCGGAGGGTGTGCGCGAGGCGCTCGGCGACGAGGCGGCGCTGTGGCTGTTGAGCTCAGGATGCGAGGCGAGGTAGGCACGCTTAACGTCTTCAGACGTGCGTGGGCTGCCGACCGGCTCGTGCTCGTAGCGGGCACAGGCGGCGGCCGAGGTGGTGGGCTGGTGGTAGTGGCGCACACGCGTCGAGGTGACGGGAGCGTGCTTGTCGGCGGGGTGCGGCTTGGGCTGCTCGGCAGACGGAGAGGAGCGCGACTTGCTGCCGAAGATGGGGAGCGAGGAGAAGAGGCCCATGAGGCGGGGCGATGTGCGAAAGTCGGATGCTGGGACGCGAGACGGGTGCTAAATAAGAGCTGGGGCGCGAGACAGGTGGCTGGCTTGGCAGTGCAGGCGCGGAGATGAAAGCGGAAAGCATGGAAGCGGACATCGCTCGACGGCCCGGCGCTTTTGTGGGTCCAGCGAGCGTCAGCGAGCATCACACAGCAGATACTGCGCAGCCAGACGCTCTCAGGCAGCGGCACGCGGGTCCAGCGGTGCAAGATGCGAGCGCAGCGCAGCGGCCGCGGATGAGCAGGCGAGTCGGCTGACGCCTCCACCTCGGCCCAGATCGCGTGCCCGCGCAGGTCCGCTGCCTCTCCTCGGCTCCCTTTCCGCTGCGCTGCACGGCGATGCGCGATGGCGATCTTGCCCTCGAAATCTTGCGGCAGAAGGCCGCAGGGCCGCAGGCGCAGCAGCGCAGCGCGGCACGTTCTGCAGCGAGTCGCCGCGACGTGCGCCACACGCCGCGGCACTCGACGCGCTGAAAGCGCCGCGCCGCCGATCATCCGGCGCGCGCCTCGCTGCCGATGCGGCACCACGTTCCGGCTGCCGGCTCGCGTGCTGGCCGGGCAAGTTTTCGCCTCCTCTCCCTGCTCTCCTTGCTGCGCATGACGAGCTTGCGATAGCACGGCTCGCGGCGGCGGCCGCGCACCTGCAAAGCCAACGGCTCTGGCATATCGCGACCGCGGCTGAGCGCAGCGCACGCACGTGGTGGCGCTGCACAGGGGGCGAGGACGCTGCCACGTCGCCTCGAAAGGCACTCGTATCTCTCACGAGCGCGCTGCCGTCAAGCCATTCCGACGGGCATGCGCATCGGCAACGATGCGCAGCTCCGGCGCAGGTCCAGCTCGAGTCAGCGCACCGATGCTCGCCGAAGCTTCGGCGCACAAAGCTGTACCGCGGCAGAAGGTGGAGCGCGACGCAGCAAACTCCGGGTCAGCCGCAGTGAGGACCCTGTCCTCGGCGCAACGGAGAACAGGCCGCCTGCCTCGGCCACGCAAAACGTGCCGCTGCGCCGGTGCGCGTGCCTCGGCGTGGCGCTGGCGCCCTCGTGCTGGTGACGTTGCACGGCTGATCGCCGAGGCAGACCCTGGAGCACGCACGCCACGCTGCCCTGGGCTCATCGGTGCGCACTCGCTTGCACTCGCTCATTCGCTAGCACGCGCCTGCGAGAGACGGAAGATACATTCGCACGGAGGTTCGAGAAGACATAGGTCGGACGACTGCAGCGCGCTCGGATGTCGCGATGCTTGGGCGACAGCAAGACGGGCTTGTGGCAACGAAGAGGCGGAGCTGCAGAACGGAACTGACATGGCGTCGGAGAATCGGGAACCGTGTAGAGAGAGAGCCTAGACATGAGAGGGCGATCGCGTCGGGCGAGCAGTTTGAGGTAGCGCTGGACTCGCCAGTATTTCTTACTCGTGGGTGCCCATGCGGGCCCTGGCACGTGAAGGACTCCGGAGGAGCTAATCGGAATCAGAAGAGGAGTCCGAGTAATCCGCGCTCACAGACGTGTTGCATCCCGGGGCGTCGCATCGGAGCTTTCCGTAAAGCTCTGAACTCCCATAACTAGGGAGAAGGAATGTCGGCTGCCCCTCGTGGCACGCCATCATCCACTCGCCGTTGGGAGCCACGTCCGAGATGTGAAGGCGAGAGAAGTAGTGGGGTGAAATGTGCAGATCCAAGTCATTGTCTGGCATGTCGATCGGAGCGGCATCGGGGAAGTGTGACGGTGACCACAAATATGCAATGCAGCAGAGGTTGGCGTTGGCGGGGACGCTGAATCCTAGATGCTGTATGTACGCGCGGCGAGCGGCTGTCATCACGTCAGCGCCTTGAAGATTGTCGAGCTCGCTATGTCTTGTGTCGGTGAAAGCAGCGTTGAGCCGCATGCGGAGATGCAGAAGTAACTGCTGGAACAGACGCTCTTGACCGGTCGGAGGTCTGACCACCAGCTCGCGCCACGCAATTCGCACAATCCACATTCGAAACGGAGCATGGAGCTCGTACAGCGCCATGAGCTCCCTTCCCCTGCGCCGCTCGTGATGAGTGGTCAGGTATCGGCCATCCGATGAGGGAGCAGGATACGTGTGCCACCATTCTCCGTCATCCTCCGGGTCAGCGATGACGGGAACCGATGTCAGAGCCCACGCCGGGTCGGACAGGCTCCAAATCTGGGCAATGTTTGGACGTCGGCTCAAAACAGCAAGCTGACCGTCATTCGACAAATTGAGGTTCGCCAGACCCTTCCCTGCGGCGACGTGGAAATGCGAGAAGCTCTTGCTCTGCACCAGATTGCCAGTGTCGAGGTCCCAATGCTGAACAGTCCTTGGCGCGATCTGCAAGCTTCGCTCTGCCGACGGGCGCGTCATGACGCGCCGAGGAGAAGGACTGGTGCTCAAATTCTCAGCGGGTGAGCCGATGAGGAGCAGAGTCGACGAAAGGCTTGCGCTGGCAAAATGCCATACGTCTTCAAATGTTTCGACAATCGCCGGCTTCCGGCGCTTCAGAAGGTCTACATCGTAGACAACAAGTTGTTGGCGGCTATACTTCCGCAGCAGAAGGTGCTTGTGGTCATTTGCAAAAGGCAGCTCCCGTTCTCCCTCATAGATCGGGCGACTCAGGTCGTTCAGGTGCCATATCTGCTAGGAATTTTCCCCGTTGCGCGTATCCTTTCGCAGCACCAAGAGGTCGTGCTCATCAACGAGCTCAATGAAGAGGTACTTTTGTTCCGGATGGTGCACGGTTCGGCCGCGCAACTGGGAGAAGGTGACGTACGACCTCGAATACACGTTCCAGAGGCACCAACCGCCGCCCTCCAAGACGAAGGCGACGTAACGACCGCTCTCGCCGAGACTCGGAAGAGATTCACCGTGATAGGCGGGGGAAACAGTACCCGGTAGCTTGATGTCAGACGGTGTGCTGTCCTTGCGGAGCAAGCGAATCTTTGTCTGGATCACGAAGAGCTCCCAGAGCGGTTCGGTGTCACTGCGTTCCCATGCGCGGACAGTGCATGACGCCGGCGACGCAACCCTGCGTCGCAGCAGGGTTGGGTCGTGTGCAAGCTGCCAAACTGCGCGACTGACGTAAGAGAGACGCAGGTAGTTGTCGTCGTCCAGCTGGCTGGCAATGAGCGCAAGGATCTCAGTGGGCAGCCGGCCGAACGGACTCGCTGCGAGGCCGACGTGCTGCGTCGTCAAATCGTGTCGAGTGCCGGGCGCGAGTGACATCATAAGAGCAGCGTGATGTTTGGGATATGAAGAGTAGTTTATGATGGTCTCCGACAATGAAGTGGCGACGAGGGAGGTGATGGGAGTGGCTTGATGAGGTGCGGCGCGGCGGCGGCGGCACATGGGGCTCCTCCCTCGCGCGCTCGGGCCGCCGTGCGAACCCCACAGGGGGAGTGTCGGAATAGTCTAGAGAGCCTTGCTCTCTCGTCATTTAGGGGCTGATCCGCTCAACGAGTGCGCCCTCATACGTGAAGCAAGTTGCGTGTGGCTCCGCATCGCAGGGCCGCGATGGCCTTGTCCGACACGTGTGTGCGTCCGCAGCGTATTGCGCAGAGGGTGCCCGCAGGTGGACTTCGCGCACGCGAGCGCCAGAAGTCATGCTCTCGACACCATCACTGGGGTTCGCTAGCAATATCGAGCCTCAAATCTGAGCCCCTCGCATCATCTCTTTTCAGTGCCGGACCTCAGAGTATGTGAGGGCCGGCGCATGCTCCGCACGCGCGTCGGCGCCTTGCGCCTTGACCAGGGAGCGGGCATCCGCGCCAAGCTCTTACGAGTGTCAGTGTGGAGGTGCGAAGTGAACACCAAGCAGCGAGCTGGCGTCGCTCTACTAGACGTTCGGGCGTGTCATGCTCCACGAGGCACAAAGGCGAAGAGACAAGGCATTGAGGCGACGCGCAGGCGCAGTGACGCGCTTCCCGTCCTGCGTTTCGCACAACGTGACTTCAAAGGAGAAAGGGAGCGCTCCAGCCTTTGTATGCGAAAGAGAGGAGACAAGATCAAAAAGCTCCGCTTCTCCTCGCCTGGCATCCGGTCTCGTGAGGCCATGCAAGCCTCGCTATGCCATCCACCTCTCGCGCGAGACGGAGAGGCGCGGCCACCTCGGAGACCGAGCGAGCGCACGGCCGAGACTGCGGAGCTTCGCGGGACAGCAGCGGGTCTGTGTCGACGCTGCGGATGGCCTGAGGCCGCTCATCCCTTGAGCGGCTGGCTGTGCTCTTGCCTGGCTGCCCTTTCTTCCAGCCGGCGCCGCGCAGGGCTGATGCGGCGAGGCTGTGCGGTGCTACGGCGCGCCCACGCTAGACGCGACTCCGCAAGCGACGCGCTCGAGCAAGCGGAGACGCGCGCAGCAACGGCCGGCGCAGCAACGACGCAGAGCGTAGCATCCAGCGCCAGTTTTCAGAGAGGAGAGCAGCTTCAGCACATCAGCTCAGGGCATCCACGAGCAGCACGGCTTCCGAAGGGGTGCGGATGGATGTCACGGCGGCGTCCCGCGCGGCCAGCGCTTGCGCGGCGCGTGTCCCAATGCGGCAGGCGCCGTTGTGCCGCTCCGATTAGAGCTCGGCGCGAGTGTGCTGCAATACAGCCGGGCTGCCTCGAGTAGCAACAGCGCCGCCGCAGCTTGTACACGGGCGGGCTGCGTTGTATGCACGGGAGCGGCGCCGACTACACACTGCTGCGCTGCGTTGTAGTGCACGGGAGCCGCACTTGTAGCGCGGCGCGGCGTGGATGCACCTGGACGACACGGCTGCCTCGCCTCAGGGGGCACCTCGGCGCTGAGCATGCTTCCCGAGGGATGCCCGCTCAGGTGCTCTGCCTTGCCGCGGACCTGAGCTGAGGGATCTTTGCGAGAGTCGAAGCATTCAGCCTCGTCGGCGTGAGCAGCGCTGGCGTCGCGCTGGTCGAGGCGATACTGCTCGACTGCTCGCCGGATGCCATCCGCCAGGGCAGCCTTGAGCCCGCGCTGCTCGGCAGCCTTTGTCCAGCCTCGCAGCAACTCTCTCCGATCCTCGCAACTCTCCTGGACTCTGTCCCACCAGCGCATCCACACTGGCCGAGTGCCCGGTGCATCCACTCTTGTCCACGCTTGTCCAGCTCACGCCGACTCGGCGCAAGTCTCGTCGACTCGTCCGCTGCTACTGGCGCTTGCCCTCCGTTGTTCGGCCGCCTTGTCATGCTCTGACGCTCTACTTAAATCTGCTCGACTTCTGCGCATCCGCATGCTGCCTCGGCCCCAGTGCCCGCCGGTCGCCGCTTGTCCAGGAGCTCCGCATCCTCGCCGACTCGCTGGCAATCCGCCTGGTCCTTGCCAGACTCGCGCAACTCTCGTCGACTCTTGGACATCGACGCATCCACACGGCTCATGTGCCCGGTCTTTGAGAGCTGCACTGATTTGCGAGCGAGTCCTCGGAGCGCTCAAAAGGCGTTGCCATCCGCTGCGACCCTCCGGACCCCACGCATCCGCACCTCTCTGCCAGTCGAGCTCCTCTTTACCAACTTCTCTCCTCTTCCTATAACCTCATCATGGCTCCGCACGGCAACCTCGGACGCGTCGAGTGGCTCTCGCACATCAACTCGCAGCTCGCCGACGCCCGCCGCCTCATCGCCGCCGGCGACGCCCGGGTCATGCGCGTGGCACACTTCGGCGCCGCGCCCGGCAGCAACCCGCTGACGATGTACCAGCTCGTCGACCGCGCCGGGCGCAACGCCTGGATCGTCAACATCCTCGGGCCGCACGAGGCTCTGCCGGCGCCCAGCAACGTCGTGCCCGTCACTGCCGCCGGCAAGCGCAAGGCGCGCTGCGACGACATGGACGACGGCGAGGACGACGCCGAGCCGGCGCCGCGCGCCGTGCGTGCACGCCGCGCAACCGTCAAGCAGGAGCGGCCAGCCACGCCCGAGGCCACGTCGGACGACGACGACGACATGGCCACGGCCTCGTGCATCGCCTCCGTCGCCGGCCCAAGTCAGACGCTCCCGCTCGCCTCGTCGCGCCCGCCGCGCCAGCTGCATCGGCCAAAGGACATGCTCGCCCGCTCCGACGCCGCACCCGCCTCCAACGCCGAGCCGCGCCACTTTGGCTACCCCGCCACGGCCGCCACCACCTCTCGCGCCTCGTCGCCCGCCGCATCCGACGCCTCGCTCGCCACGCTCCGGCCGCCGCACCACCACTCCTCCGCCTCGCCGGTGCACGAGTGGCTCGAGCGCGCGTCGGGCGTCGCGCACATCGGCCTCGACGCCGAGCCCATGCAGCTGTGACCGTCTCTTCCTGTACTTTATGACCTCGCCACGCCCGCCATGATGCAATGCCACGCCCGCCTCGTCCTCTCACCTTGTGATGCGCCGTGTGATCCGCCTGAGCAGTGGCCTGTCTGACGGGACACGCTCGACGCGTCTCACCGTGGGCAGCAGCGCGGCCTTCCCTGATCCAATCTCTGATCACTCAGCGCCGCCAGCCTTCGTCGGCGCCGACAACTCCGTCTCCTCAGCTCGCTGCGGCATCACGAGCTCAGACTTCAGGCAGCAGGTGGATGTCAGAACGACATGACATTGGGAAAATTCTCGTTGCAGACTCCGCGGCAACGATACGCGGGCGGGTAGGGGGATGGAGTGGGGCGGGCACGCTCGTGAGAGCACACCACGCCCAGGCGCGCAGAAGCGATTTACTTCTTCTTGCTGGCCTTCTCGGCAGCCTGTGCAGAAGGAGAGTGGATCAGCGCGGCTCAAAATCGCGAGCGAGCGAGAAATACGTACCTTGGTGACCTTGCCGCTCTTGCCTGCCGTCTCTGCAATACGAATGGTGGTCAGCGCTAGCACGCGGGTGCGAAATGTAACAGCGCTCACTGGTGACGCTCTTGATGACGCCGACGGCGACGGTCTGGCGCATGTCACGGACGGCGAAGCGGCCGAGCGGGGGGAACTCGTTGAAGGCCTCGACGCACATGGGCTTGCTGGGCACCATCTTGACCATGGCGGCGTCGCCGGACTTGATGAACTTGGGCGACGCCTCGATCGACTTGCCCGAGCGGCGGTCGATCTTCTCGAGGATCTCCGAGAACTTGCAGGCAATGTGGGCCGTGTGGCAGTCGAGCACGGGCGAGTAGCCGTTGCCGATCTGGCCGGGGTGGTTCATGACGATGACCTGGGCGTTGAAGGACTCGGCCTCCATGGCCGGGTTGTTCTTCGAGTCGGAGCACACGTTGCCGCGGCGGATGTCCTTGACCGACACGTTCTTGATGTTGAAGCCGACGTTGTCTCCGGGCAGGCCCTCGGTGAGCGACTCGTGGTGCATCTCGACGGACTTGACCTCCGTCGTGACGTTCGACGGGGCGAAGTTGACGACCATGCCGGGCTTGATGACGCCGGTCTCGACACGGCCGACCGGCACTGTGCCGATACCGCCGATCTTGTACACGTCCTGGAGCGGCAGGCGCAGCGGCTTGTCGGTCGGGCGCGACGGCGGCTCGATGGCGTCGATGGCGTCAAGGAGCGTCTTGCCCGTCGACTTGCCGGCCTTGGTCTCCTTCTCCCAGCCCTTGTACCAGGCCATGTTGGTCGTGGGCTCGATCATGTTGTCGCCGTGCCAGCCCGAGATGGGCACGAAGGCGACCGTCTTGGGGTTGTAGCCGACCTTCTTGATGAACGTCGACGTCTCCTTGATGATCTCGTTGAAGCGGTCCTCGGAGTACTTGGTCGTGTCCATCTTGTTGACGGCGACGATGAGCTGGCGCACACCGAGCGTGAAGGCAAGGAGCGCGTGCTCGCGCGTCTGGCCGTCCTTGGAGATACCGGCCTCGAACTCGCCAGTGCCGCCGGCAATGATGAGAATGGCGCAGTCGGCCTGCGACGTGCCCGTGATCATGTCTGGCGCGGGGCGAAGTCAGCATGCTGCCGCTGCGCTGCACTGCCGAGCCCTCTCTGCACTCACTCTTGATGAAGTCACGGTGGCCCGGGGCGTCGATGACGGTGACCATGTACTTGGGCGTCTCGAACTTCCACAGGGCAATGTCGATCGTGATGCCGCGCTCGCGCTCGGCCTTCAGCTTGTCGAGCACCCAGGCGTACTTGAACGAGCCCTTGCCGAGCTCGGCAGCCTCCTTCTCGAACTGTGAGAGAGGCGTGAGCGAGGTGTTGGCGGCGAGCGAAGAGCCGCTGCTACTGGCGCCGCCGTCCCCCACCACCGCACATGCCACTGCTGCTCACCTTCTCGATGGTACGCTTGTCAATGCCACCGCACTTGTAGATCATGTGGCCGGTGGTGGTCGACTTGCCGGAGTCGACGTGGCCGATAACGACGACGTTAACCTGTGCGAGAGCGGCGTGTCAGAGAGGCGGCGCAGACGACAGGACACGCGTGCCACTCACGTGGAGCTTCTCCTTGCCCATGGTGAAAGGCTTTTGGGGGGTGGTGGGGTGGGTGTGGGTGGGGTGGTGGTGGTGAGGTGGGACGGTGGAGCTGTCCGGGTGGTGGGTGGCAAAGAAGAAGCACGGCGGGCGAGAAGCGCCTTTCGCTGCGCTGCGCGGGCGACGGTGCGGCGCGGCGACGAAGTGGGCACGGGCGGCGGGCGGCAGGCGCGCGGCGGGCGCAGCTTCTGCAACGCGCTGGCACGAGACGGCCGCGCGCGCAAAAAAGAGAAGACAGCCGAGCACCGCACGGCGCCAGCCACGGCGCAGCACAGGAGCAGCGTCGCAGCGCGGCAGCCTCCTCGCAGCAGGAAGAGCGTCAGCGTGCCGCTCGGCTGCCTGCCCGCCTGCATGCTGCGCTGCTGGCCGTTCTTCCTCGCCCGCTCGAGCTCCTTCTCTGCGTGCGTGGCAGATGTGCTCTCCCCTCTCCTTTCGACCCGCACGCATGCAGCTTCTATTCTCGCCCTTCATTTGGGTTGGCTCCACCCACATCGCCGGGCCACCACTCTGCCCCTCTGTCCGCAGGTACACAGCGCAGAGCACAGCCCCTCTGCCGTAGCTTCGCAGCGTGACCACGTTCTTCTCGCACCCTTCGAAGCCTGCCGATCTGCAAAGGCGCTCAGGCTGCAGTCCGTTGCGCCGTGTCGCAGGCCGCAAACTTCTGAGGCAGCAGAGGGCGAGTTGTGCGGCAGCCAGCGCAGCGCTCGATGCGCCGCGGCGTCCGCGCCGAGTCAGAGCTTGCGCTGCGCCATCGTGCAGCGCTGCGGCTGCGGCGCGTCTGGCTCGGCTAGAACGTGACCTGGCCTTTGCTCGGGCGCGATGACGTAAGCAATACTCCCACGCTTGTGGCACTGCCTCCTGCTCCCCCACCCCCTCTTTCTCGAAGCGGAGACGGTCGTCCTCAGCACGCCTCGCTCTGCTAGACTTATGCATTCTCCAGATCTCAGCATGGCTGCATGGTGGCGCTACTGTACAGCGAGCAAGCATCGCTAGTGCTTCTGCGTTGTGCGGAATGACTCGCCACAACAGGCGGCTCGTGCCGGCACATCTCGATTCGCTGACGCCGCGCGACGATGAAGCGTGCAGCTAGAACATCGCGAAGCCGAGCGTCGGCTAGCCTGGCTGCAGTGTCACTGCTGCGTGCCGAGCCAGAGACTTCTGTCCTGCGAGAATGGCATGCGAGCGCTCTTGCCGACGGTCGTGCGAGCGCCTCAGTTGATGCTCGCTGGTGCACCAGGCCTCGATGGCCGTGCGCCTCGTTGTTTGAAGCAAGCGCTCGCGTGTGTGTCATGCGGTGCTGCCTTGCGTGACATTATCGTGTAGGTCGCAAAGACCCCGAAGGCCAGCTCGTGGTGCAGCCACCTGCGCCCACGCATTCCACACCTGGCGCGGCACCTCTCCATCATATCCATTCGCGTGCCCTCCTCGACTGCCTCTTGCGCCCTGCCGCTTGCGAGCACGAGCCTCAAGTGGTGTTCCCTCCTGCGTGACCTTCCCTCTATCGCTGCTTCGGCATCTGTCGCGCACCGCGTCCGCGCCTCGAGCCCTCGCTCTTCCGCTGCGAATCCTGCTCTGACGCCGCAGTCGCCGCATGCACCAGCTGCTCGCGCGTGCGGTCTAGCGCGGCGCTTCGCTGAGACCAGACGTTGTCCACGTGCGTTGGGTCCTCAGCGTGGCCAACTGCCGCCTTGGCTCTGTCCCGCGCAGGGCTGCCCTCATGACGCGTCTCCTCGCGCGGCGGAGAGGTCGTCGCGAGCGCTGGCCACGTCGTCGGTGGCGGCTCGGCACTGGCGAGGCGAGACAGCATCTGCTCTTGCCGCCGTGTCGATGCCGGCACGCGCACGGCTGGAGCGCCGTATGAGATGCGCGGCGCATGCCGCGTCGTCGGACTCGAGCGTGGGTCGATGGCCGCACCGCTGTGCCGCAGGCGCTCGGGCGTCTGCTGCTCGGCTGGACCGGCCGAGTACGACACCTCGGAGGGCGCCGAGAGGTCGACGACCGGTCGGGGAAGACTTGCAGCGGGAGGTTGTCGCGGCGACGCCGAGGCGAAATGCTGTCGAGGGCGGCGCGCAGGGCCGCCTTGCGGCCGCGCGTCGCGTGGCTGCGGCCGATGCTCGCCTGGCATGGTCCTCGCTGGCGCTGCGTTGATCGCTTGCTCGTGCGGAAAGCCGCGGCGCAAGTCTGGAGCAGGACCGGCCTGCCACTCGTTGCGCTCGCCGTTGCGCATGAGCTCGTGCACCCGCCGCTGATTCTCGAGCCGCCAGATTTCGTCCTGCTGCTGCCGGTGCTGCTCCGGGCTCAGCGGTGCGCTGTACTGCGAGTCGCCGCTGACGTTGCGGCGTGACAGCTCGAGCATCAAAGCGTTGCCGAGTTGGGTCAGGTCTGGCAGCGAGACTCCAGTGTCCGGCTGCGATGCTGCGGCCGAGGCGCGGCCACTGAGGTGCTCCTGCGCTTGTTGCTCTTGCCAGGCGAGGCTGGCTTGGTTCTGCGCCAGCAGCCGATTGCGCTCTCGCGTGAGCTCTTGCACCATGTACTGCTGCGCGCCGATGCGCGCTTGCAGCTCGTCCGGCGGCATGCCGTTCCAGTCATTCGACCTGGACAGTCGCGCGTGCGCGGCACGAAGCGCTGCGGCGCGCTCGTCGTCGAAGTGGCCGTGGCCGGCGGTTGGTGACCACGAGACGTCGTGCGACGCGGCTCCGTTGGCAGGCACGAGGCCTGCTTGGCGCATCGACATCGCCAGGAGCGCCGACTCCGAGCTCGACACCTCGCTTTGAGCGCTGCGCATCTGCCTCGCCTGGCGAATTGTCTCGCGCTCCAGCTCGATGAGGCCGTTGGCGGGAGGAGCGAAGGGAACAGCGTGCCGCCTGACGAAAGTTGGGCTCTCTGAGCCAGTCCGAAACGAGCGCTTGTGCTGCGGACTCGTGTGACCATTGGCGGCGCGCGGCTGCTGCTGCTGTGCGCCCGAGGCTGCTCTGTTCGATCCGCCCACTCGTGAGGCCTGGCTGCTGGCGCTGCGATGGCCCAGGCTGGTGGCTCGCGACACCGCACTCGTCCCTGATCTGACATAGAGAGCAGTCCGCGCGGGCGTCTCTCCTCGAGGCGGCATCGGCTTGAATCTTTGCTGCGGCTGCGGCTGCGGCTCTTGCTGATGCTGATGTCGTCTTTGCCGGTGCGATGGTCCATAGTGCGAGCCTTGCGCTGCATGTGCGGAGTCGCCAGCTGACCACTGAGAGTCGTGGCCGTGCGTGCGTGCATTTGTCGGCGACATGAGGATCGACTGCTCGAGCTCCATCATCTCATCGACCGTCAGCGCGTTTGCTTCCTGCGCACGATGCCGCTCGAACTGCTCCTCAGTCGTGTACTCCGGCTCGCCAGCCTGCGACAAAATGGTCAGCCAAGCACAACCCGAATTTGCTAAGCAGCACTCACCAGGTCGCCGACGAGCTCTCGCCACACGGCATCCGATGCAGCGAAGAAGTCGTCGATCGCGTCGCACTCGAGTGTCCCGACGGACTCGAGCTCTCGCAGCCAGCAGCGATCGCTGTCGCGCTTGCTGGCGTTCGGCACCGGAACGGGCATGAGCACCGGCGAAGAGAGCAAGTCATGCCGCCAGCCGCCGTTGTACGACGAGGGAGCAAAGTACTGTGGGTGCTGGAACAGCCACGGCGAGCGGACGTCGTAGTGGAGCTGGCCCGAGTGCGCGCTGGGCGGCGGATGCAGCCAGCGAGAGTCGGACGGCGGCGCCGGCGTCAAACTCGTGTTGCCCTCCGAGCTGCCGTCGGTCGTCGGAGACATGTTGACCTCGCGAAGCTCCGGGTATCCAGGCGAAGATGGCCAGACCGTGCTCAGCGACTCGATCGCAGCAGACTTCGCGGCGGTGCTTGGCACTACGGCCGATGCTTCCGGTATCTTGATGCTCAGCCCGGTCTTGATCGGGCGGATCGTCTCGTCGCCCACGTCTCCTTCGACGAGCACTTCCGGACGGCTTGCTGACGTGCGTCTCGTGTTCGGCTCGGTAGTGTACGGCTGCCGACGGACCGGCGTGACAGGCTCGTGCGCCCTCTTCGGAGAGAGATGCCGTCGAGCAACAGGCGAAAAGCTGAGTCGGGCGCCGGGCGGCTGTACAGAGTGCATGAGCCACACGAGCCGAGCGCCCTGCTTGCCGGAGCTGCCTCGCTGAGGCGACTCTGAGCGCAGCTCTCTGCCGACGTATTCCTCAATGCCGACCCAGCACAGCTCTCGCAGCCGCTGCTCGCGCGAGGCAGCCCGCCGCACGTGGATGTCCTCGAACGTCGGCATCGTCTGAACAAGCGCGGCAAAGATTTGTCGTCGTCGCCGCAGTGTTGGCTGCGCCTGCAGCGGCTCGAGAAGTGAGGGCTGATCTCGTGCCCATGCGCGCGACGCCACCAGTTCAGGCACGAGTTTAAAGCATGCGTGCCGTGTGATCGACTGCAGGGCGAAGAAGAGCCGCTGCTGGAACGAGAGCCGCTGGTGCGGCCGGACACGAGGCGTGCGTCGCTCCGAGCTCGGCGGCAGAGGCGTCTCGTCGTCGAGGAACTCCTCACTGCGCGAGGACAAGACGAAGTACGTCTCGTCGCGCGAGCTGCTGGCCGCGCTGTCCAGCTCCAGAGCAGAGATGGACGAGGCAGTGTGCAGATACTGCTGCGCTGCCCCAGAGGTGCGCCGCTGAGCAAGAAAGCTGAGCTGCTCCTCGCCGAGCAGAGTGTGCGGCGGCGCGTACGGGCCCGACTGCGCCCAGATGGCAGTGCGCATCAGCCGTTGAGCCCGTTCGCTCGGCAGGTCGAAGAGGCGCGGCTCGCCGCTGCCGCTGGACTGCGACGTCTGCGACTGCAGCTCGCGTGGGTGGGTGTCTGACTGCCGTGCACCTGCTAGCGCTGGCCGCGGATGCGGAGTGCGCAAGGCAGAGGACGTCGAAAGCGGCAGGCTCGGAGACGAGAGCAGACCGAGACCGAGGTTGCGAGCTACTGCGCCGAGGCCGAGGTCCTGCACCTCCTCTTCCTCGTTGAGAGCAATGGAAGGTTGCCACGACGGCTGTCGGTCCTTTCGCCGCTCGCTCGCGATTGACGACGTGCGCGGCTCGTCGAGACTGGTCGTCGTCTGCGCCGAGGTGAGAGTGTCGACCGACAGAGCGGGCGTCATCAGGCGCGTCCAGTCCGACCTCTGGTCGGCCGGACTGTCCCACGAAGTCGACGGCGTGTCGCCCGCTTGCGACACCTGCTGCGGGCCGACGAGGCTGCGGTCGATGTGTGCATGCGGCGTCGTGTCGACCGCCGGAGGCTGAGCTCGGTGTGGAGTGCTCGGAAGGTGCTCAGAGAGCGTCTCGCTGGACAGAGCCGGATCGCAGCCTCTGGCGTCGACGGCGCTTGCACGCGGAGGTGTTTCTGGCGTCTGATGCATCCGCGCCATGACCCAGTCGAGCCCAGCGGTGGCCGTCGAGACGTCTGGCGAGCCCGCTGGCGAGGACGGTCCTGCGATGTTGGCCGTGTGGAACGACATCTCCGTGTCGGTTCGCGAAGCATGCCGCGCGTGACCACGAAGCGAGGCATCTGCGTGACCAGGCTTCGCGACGGGCGCTGACTTGGACGGCATTTGCTGCTCTTGCGGCACGGTCTGTGCATCGTGCTTCGAGGGTATCCTCGCCCTTCGCTTGGCGCTTTCTGACGCCTCGGCGGCCTTGCGCGCTGCAGCTGCGACTGCCGGCCCGTTCTGCTCTGACACGCGCACTGCCTCGGCAATGATGCGAGCGCGCGCCTCGGCCTCTGCTGCTTCCTGAGCGACGCGCTTCTGGTTGACTCTGCCACGCCTCCGCTGGGTTGATTTTGGCGCTTTTGATGACACGGCAACCGGCTGTGCTGGTGGCATGGCGACGGGCTGTGCTGGTGGCATGGCGACGGGCTGCGCCGGCGGTATGGCGAAGGGCTGCGCTGGTGGAGGACCCGTCGGAAGCCTGAGCGGAAGTCCAGGCGGCCGACCCTGCGCAAGACCCGGCGGAGGGCCAGGCGCAAGACCAGGCGGACGAAGAGGTGGAGGGCCTGGTGGTGGAGCGGACGAAGCTGGCACGACTTCCTGAAAAGACACAGGCGGGCGGGCCGAGACGTCTGACGAAGGAGAGGTGAGCGAATGCAGGCTGAACAAGGACCACTGAGCAGCACACACTGTTCGCTAGCGTCGTAGAAGCAGCAGGCTTGGCTGTCGACACGGACGCCTGTGCGCCTGACAAGCACGGAGTGAGAGAGAACCATCAGACAGCGTCGGATGAGACTCACCCGCCTGCGCTTGCACAGCCTCGTCCCTCTTGACGGGCTTTGCGGCCGCCGTGTAAGACGTCCTGGCTTGCGGCGTCGCGACTGTGACGGGCTTTTGAGGCGCCTCGAGTGCCGTCTTGCCTGGTGGTGCGACCGGCACGGACTGCTTCGCGGCTCCCGCGTCCGTCTTCTCGCTCTTTGGCACCGTCTTACCGCTCTGCGCCGGCTTCTCGACTCGAACTGGCTCCTCGGCTGGCGTACCTCTTTCGATTGCCGATGACCTCGTGATCGACCGTGCCGGCTCGGTGGGTGGCGCCTGCACGACTAGTGGTGGCTTCTTGATGAGAGCCGGCTGCTCGACTGGTGGCGGCTTCTCGACTGCCGGCTGCTTCTTCGTGGATGCCGGCTTCGCGGTGGGCGCCAGCTTCTCAGCGCGCGCTGACCTCTCGACCGCCGCCGTCGCTGTCGCATCATCAGTCGAGGCTGCATGAGCCGGCGCGACGACTGGTGTAGGCGTCGTGGTGCTCTCGGTCGAGCGTTTGTTCTTGCGTTCCGCCTTCAAGAGCTTCTTGTTCGGACGCGCCTCTGCGCTGGTCGTCGCAGTGGTGTCGAGCGACGAGCGCGGCGTGTTCTCGCGAGAGACCCGCAGGCGCGGCGATGGTGCACGCACGCTGCTTCGCGTCGACTGCGATGCCGCATCGTCGGGCTGCGTGCCGCGCGATGCAGCGGGCGAAGAGGCACGAGCTGCCTGCGGCTCAGGCTTCTGCGAGGCGGCCCGCTGCTCATCTTGCTGCCTTCTCGCCTCAGCTCGCTCCTTCTGCGCCTTCTTGCGCTGCGTCTTCGAGTTCTGCCCGGCAGGCTTGGCCTCGTCGGTGGCGACCGGCTGCGACGTGACAGCATCGGCTTCGCGAGTCACAGTGCCGTGCAACTCCTGCAGCTCTCGCAGCGACTGCGCGTAGCGCAGGTTCTCGTACATCACCCGCTGTGGCACTGCTCGCGAGCCAGTGGCACCGTGCTCTCGGTCATGCGCCGCTAAAGCCGCCTTCTCGAGCTCTGCGAGCGGCGCCCGCATGTGCGCCTCGTTGGCGGCTGCGTGCCGGCCCGAGGTGACCAGCTCGGCGAGCCAGTGCGGCATGACGACGTGCGGCACAAATGACGCCCATTGGCGCTGTTGCTGCAGCTGCTGCTGCTCTTGCTGCTGCTGCCGCTGCTGTTGCTGCTGCCGCGCCAGCTCCTCGTCGGACGCCTGCTGCGCGGCAGCGCGCTCGGCGCGCTTGTTGCGCTTCTCCTTCTTCCGAGACGGAGCACGACGAATCGAGGAGCCGCCCGTTGGCGGATCTTGCGCGAGAGCATTGCTGCTTCTGCTGGACGCAGTCACCAGCTCGGTTTGAGCGCTGAATTGCTCGGGTGTCGCACTCTCCGTCTGCTGTTGCTGCTGCGAAGAGGCGCTGCGCTGGGTGAAGAGGCTGATCATGGAGCCCATGCTCGGCCTCTGGCCTGCCGGAACGTGCTCGACGAAGGTTGCGTCGCCGACGACGTGCAGCCAGAGGCTCGGTCCCTCGCGCGTGCCTTGTGCCGCCGGTGCGGTGGGTGAGCTGCGTCTGGGCGCCGAGCGGCGCGATGCGCTGGCGGCAGCAGCGGCTCTCGCAGCGGCTTGTTGGTCTGCCGCTGCGCTGGAAGAGGCAGCTTCTGCGCCGGCAGCGCTGGACTGCGGCGCCGACGAGCTGGGCGGCGCCGGACGAGTCGGCTGGTTACTTCGTCGGAGACGCGCCGCCCTGTCGCCGACGGGAATCGTCATGGGCACCCGAGCGCGGCGGCGAGGTGAGGGTGCGTGGCGGAGCGAGAGCTGCCGCGAGGTGAAGAGGGGAGAGACGTCCGGCTCGCGAGCGCCGCTCGAGCGAGTCGCGAAGCTAGACTTGTCGTCTCGAGCCAGGCCGAAGCAGTGCGCTCAGCTCGTGAGCCGAGGTAGAGCTCACCGCAGGGCCGGCGTGTGCATGCGCTCGTTGCACACTCGCAGCGCTGCCGATGAGTAGAGAGCTTGCAACAGAGAGTGTGGCGGGCGAAAGAGCGAGACGAGGCGAGCAGGTGCACCGGCCGCGGGAGGATGAGACGGCGATCGGCGCCGCGGCGGAGAGGCGGCGAGGGCGTGCAGAGATGCAGACGACGTGGTGGTGAAGAGCGAGCGGATCCGAGAGCGTGTGCCAGAGACGGGCGTGCAAGGGACGTGAGCCGCAGCGGCAGAGGGGTGGAGAGGCAAGGAGCGGCGAGGGCGAGGGCGAGCGTCGTGTGTATGCGGCTCATGCGCACGTGGGCGCCCTCGCCGGCCGCCAGCGACTAAGCAAGCTCTTCGCTCGCTTGCTCGACTTGAGCCTTGGCTGTATCGGCGCCAGGAATAGCAGCCCGGCTGCCGCGGGTCCGATGTGGCCACTCAGGGCCGAGAGAGCAACACGAGCGGCGTCGGTGGCGCCGCTTTGCGCCAGAGTGCACAAGGCGAGCTGGCACGCCGACAGAGCAGGAGCCTTGTGCTTGCTGCGGCGGCTCGTTGTGCCCATCTTCGGCTGCTTGGCAGCGAGCCGGGCCGGGAAGGGAGCGCTCTGGCGGCCTGCCTTGCCTGTTTGGGACGCGCAAAGGAGGATCAACACCTCCTGAGGGCGCGCCAGGGGCACGGCCGCACGCGCCTCGTGCACGTGCAGCGCCCTGCCTCCTCGTCTGTATGCCGGCGCTCCTCCTTCTCGTCGATGTCTGTCGCTCGCTGGACGAGGCACAGGGCTGCCGTGTCTCTCTCTCGCGCAAGCTCATCAGGAACCGAAGTCATCTCTCGCCGCCGCGCTACGGCGCCAAGGGGCGGCCAGCTGCGCCTGACCGATGGGCACCTACATCCTGGCGGGCGGCTCCATTCGCCTCCTCTTGGCCTGCTCGTCCATCGCGGCCATCCTCGTTGCTCTTGCGCCCCTTGCGTGTGTGTGTCGCTTCAGGAAGGTCACCCCCTCAGCGCCGACGCCGCAAAGCGCAACGCGCAACGATGCGGCATCCCCGCACCCGCCGCCCGCACCGCGGCCTCCGCGGGCGCACGGGCGCCTCTCACCTCTCATGCTGGGCGTCACCGCGCCGCGCACCTCCGCTGCGCTCGGCTTCTCTTCATGCCATGATGCGGAGCGTGGAGAGAGAGGCCGCGGCTCGTCCAACACGCGTGGAGGACTCCTCCTTCGCCGCTCAGGAGGGGCGTTTCATGCTCTGTGGGGCCGCCGCCGCAGAGATGGAGCATCGGCGGAGACACTCGCGTGTCAAGCAGGAAGGAGGTGCGCCAGCAAGCTCCGATGCCGGCCTCGGGCACCGCTCCGAGATCGCAGCGCCTGCAGCTGCAGCGGTACGGCGAGCGGGCCAACCAGGCGCCGCAGCAGGAGCAAGAGGGCGTCACGTAAGACGGCCAAGCGGCCTGTGCGACGTCGACCTCACCCGGGCGACAGTGAGCAACAAGGCGATGCCTGCCATGCTCGCCGTGCACCTGGCGAGGCCCCAGCGGGCCGTGGGCAGCGCCACAGCGGCGGCTGCGAGAGCGGTGCATGATGATGAGGAGGAGCTGCGCCGTGGCTCGGCCACTTTCTCGACGCGTCGCGCGGCCGCGAGCTGGGCGCAGGGCAGGAGGCGCGCCGCGGCCGCCGGCGTAGCGTCTTTTGCCGCTTGCCTTGCATCTGCTCCCTTCTCGCGCTCGCCACGCTCGGACCGGCCGCTCGCACCTCGCATCTCGCACCCGCTCGCACTCCTTGTCCCGCCTCCCGCACACCCTGTGCCCATAGACTGCGCCGCACATCTGCACGTGCCTCTCGCACCCCGGCGATCGACGGCGCTGTTCCCTCATAAAGCAGCGCCGCGCTGGCCCCCGGATCCTTGCTCTATCTCCTCCACCCTCTCCGCACCATGGCAAACCGGCAGCGCTCCGGCTCGCGCCCGCGCAGCGAGGCCGTCGGCTTCACGGGCGACGGCGCCGGCACGCCCGCACACGCCGGCGGCGACGAGCACAACAGCCTCGCCATCAACCGCACGCAGTCCGCCGGCGGCCTCGGCCACAACTTCGGCGGCCTGCGCCCGCTGCACGCCGCTGCGCCGGCAGGCCGAGTGCAGGCGAGCGACTTTACGCCCATCAACGAGGCGCCCGGCCAGTCGGGCGCCGCCTTCCCGCAGACGGTCACCTTCTCGCCCGTCGTGCGTCCGCGCCGCGGCTCGGCCGGCAGCGTGGCGTCGCTCGAGGGCGGCGACGGCGGCACGGGCGACTGCAGCCTGGCCGACGACGACGAGCTGCGCGACACGTACGACCACGAGGGCACCGAGTGGGGCGGGCAGAGCTTCTTCGACGACGCGCGCAGCATCCTCAGCGACGCCGCCAGCATGCTGGCGCCCAACGCCTATCTGCGCTCGCGCGCCTTTGCCGACCTTGGCTCGCACCACGCCGAGGACGGCTACGGCGACCCGGGCATGAGCGGCATCAGCGGCCACAGCGGCGCGCCGTGGCGCAACCGCATGCACAACGACGACATCTCGGAGCGCTCCTCGCTCCTCTCGCGCGCGCACGGCCAGCGCACGTCTGCCTTTGGCGGGCGCCGCCGCGGCTCGCGCCTGGGCACGAGCTACCGCGGCGACTCGGACGCCGGCGGCAACTCCGGGCTGCCGCGCTTCGAGAGCATGCCGCGCTGGGACAGCATGGATCCCGGCGGCACGCAGATCACGATGCGCGAGGCTATGGTCTCGTCGAGCGAGCTGCCGGGCAGCAACCTCGGCCTCGTGCTGATTGCGGTGAGCCAGGTGTGCTACTCGTGCATGAACCTCGTCGTCGTGCTGCTCGACGAGCGCGAGGGCAAGAATGCGCCCGGTAAGGGCCCTGGAGGCGAGCCGGCGATGGGCGCACTGCAGATTGTCGCCGCCGAGTGCTTCGTCATCTGGCTGGCGTGCACGGCCCTGATGCTGTACGCGCGCACGGAGCACATGTGAGCGGCATCTGGCTTGCAAGACGTGTGTACGCGCTGACAGGTCTTCTTAGCATCATGGGTCCGCCCGGCGTGCGTGGCGTGCTGCTGGCGCGCGGCATCTGCGGCTGGCTCTCGACGCTGCTGCTCTACGTCTCGCTCGAGATGCTGCCCATTGCCGAGATGACGTCGATCTCCTTCCTTGCGCCGCTCGTCACTGGCGTGCTGGCGGCCATCACCATTGGCGAGCCGTTCACGCTGCGCGAGAAGATTGCGGGCGTGTCGAGTCTCTTTGGCGTGACGCTCATCGCGCGTCCTGCCTTCCTCTTCGGCCGCGGAGAGGAGAGTGACGTGCCGTCGGCGCCTGGCGACACGCCGCCCATTGACGGCATCCCCGAGCTGCCGCTGCCCGATGTCGGCGGCCTCGACGAGCACTCGCTCGGCGTCATCATCGCGCTGGTGGCTGTGCTGTTCATTGCTGGCGCCTGGGTGTCGCTGCGCGCTATCGGGCATCGTGCCTCAACGTACCACTCGATCGGTGAGCAGTGCAGCACGCTTCTGCTGCGCTGCGCACACCGCTGACTCTTTGCCCTCAGCGTACTTCTCCGGCGTCAGCTGGGTCGCCTCGCTGCTCACGATGGCCGCGCTGCGCGAGCCGCTCGTGGTGCCGCAGTCGCCGCTCTCGATCTTCCTGCTCTCGGGCATCGGCCTCTTCTCGCTCTGCGCGCAGGTGTTCCAGACGCTGGGCCTGCAGCGCGAAAAGGCCGGCCGTGCGGCGGTGATGAGCTACCTGGTGCGTGCCGCGTCTGACCTGCCCACTGAGCCTTCGCTGACACTGACTGCCGTACAGCAAATCCTCTTCGCCACCTTCTTCCAGGTGGTGCTGCTGGGCACGCCGCTCGAGGCGCTGAGCATCCTCGGCAGCGTGCTCATCCTCGCCAACGGCGCCTGGGTGGCCAGTGCCAAGGCCAACGACGACGACGCCGTCGCCGTGCACTGAGCGCGGCCCGCTCCCGGCTCCGGCTGTGTAGTGTGCGCATTCCGCATGTGACGACCCACCTAATGACACATATCTAGGCGGCGCCGGCTGTGAGGCGGTGGAGAGCATTGCGGGGTGCCGTGGGAACAGCTGCGAGGGCGAGTGGAGAAGCGGAGAAGGGCGCGCCTCGGAACTCGGGGCGTGCTCCGAGACATCTCCTGTTTCTCAGAAGAGGCGCTCTCGCTGCGCCAAGCTCCTTGCCTCCTACCGCCCTCGCCCACTTTGCGGCTGCTCCGCTCCTGGATCCGCACCCTGCTCTGCTGGCATCTGCACGCCGAGGCGCTTGCTTCCCTACCACCACTTCGCTGGACGAGCCTCACTGCCACCTGCACACCACCCGCGATTGCCCGACCGCCTCGCCGCACCGCCGCAACCCAGCACTCCTCTGCGCCTCCACGCGGCTCCAGGCTGCACACCATGGCGTGGCCGGCGATGCGGCGAGTCGTGCGACGCAAGTCGTCGCCGCCGCTGCCTGCGCTCGTGGGTCGTCCGCGCGTGCTCTTCTGTCTCTTCATCTGGCCCGTCGAGCCGTCGTACTGGCAGCCGCTGCTGAATGCGTGAGTGCAAAGCCATGGTCACGCGAGCCGTGCCGCAGCTCCAGCCTGACGTCAAGTGCAGCATCCGCACGCGGTCAGACCTCGACTTCCTCATCATCATCAACCCCAACTCGGGGCCGGGCGAGTGGGAGCCGCCGCACGAGCACCACCTGGCCGCCGTGCCGCTGCTGCGCGGCGCCGCCTCGGCGGGGCAGATCGTCGAGCTCGTCGGCTATGTGACGACGCGCTGGGGCGAGCGGGCGCCGCACCTCGTGCACCGCGATGTGGACCGCTATGCGGCGTGGCCCAGCAGCAGTGGGCGCGCCGACATGGCGCTCGACGGTATCTACTTCGACGAGAGCACGTGGCATGAGTTCGGTGCACGCTACTACCGCGAGATGGCCGAGTATGCGCGGTCCAAGCAGTGGGGCCAATGGCGCAGCGACGCCAGCGTGCCCAGCTCGCACCAGGCGCGCAGTGACCTCGTCGTGCTCAATCCCGGCTGCTGGGTGCACCAGGACTACTATGCCTTCAGCGACTTGATCATCGTGCACGAGCAGACGGTGCAGAAGTTCGAGTGAGTAGGCCAGATGTGCATGCCGTGCCCCTCAGGCTCACGTGTGGGTGCTGCAGCATCGGGCCGCTGCGCCATGTGCCCATGCCATTCCGACGAGTGCCGCGGCACAAGTTCGGCGTGCTGCTGCACGACGGACCGCCGCCAGCCGACGAGGAGCGGCCAGGGCACCGCAGTCCCGGCTTCACGCTCTCCAACCCCGCCTGCCACGCCTTCAGTCCCGACACGCCGCTCACCACGCGCGGCATCACCGAGCTCTGCCTGCAGCGCCTCGGCGTCGGCGCCTTCTTCCTCACCAACCTCTCGCTGGCGCAGACGGACATCTACGCCAGCTTCGGCTCCAACTTCGACGAGTGGATCGCATGCTGCTCCGATGCTGTGCGCTCGCTGCAGCACGCCGCCGACTGAGGCTGCACTGGGGCGCCTCGCTTGTTCTCGTCACCCGCGGCGCTGGAGCATCTGATCTCCGCTCGCATGCCTGAGGTAGCGCAGCTACGTTCCGTCACGCAATGTCACGTCACTTTTGCTCGCGCTGTGTGGCATTGTCATGGCCGGGCAGCACGCTCCTGCAGGCGCGCCTGCTTCTCCTGCAGATCCTTGAGCTCGCGCGCGACGTGGTAGGCTTCGCGCTCAAGACTGGCAACGGCAGGTCAGCGAAGTGGCGTCAACGACGCTACGATCGCACTCACGCAGCCTGCTGTTCCGCCTTGACTCGGGCAGAGAGCTCCGGCTGAGCAGCCGCTGGCGGTGCAGCAGCAGCAGGTGCAGTGGCCGGTGCCGCATCGACAGTCTCGTCCGGCTCGCCCTGGATCTCGGTGCGGTACTCGTGCAGCGCCACGCCGGCAAACCAGCCCGTGGGGATGATGACGAGGGCCAGCAGCGCCGGGATCCAGCCGCGGATCTTGCTCGGCGGCGGCACGAGTGGCTCGGGCTGAGGCTCGGCTTTCGCCTGAGGCGACGGACGCGGCGGCGCGGCGAGGCCTGGTCGCGGACGTGCGATGGGGCGTGGAGCTCGACTCTCGCTGGCTGCTCGCTGGCTCGGCGCAGGTGCACTGCCTGCAACGCCAGACTTGGCCTTTGCAGGAGCAGTCGCCGCACGAGGAGCTCGCGCTTGCCCGTCCCTGGCCGGCGGGCGCGGTGGACCGGTCGCGTAGCCACGCGAGCCTCTCGGCGGCGCACCTAACCTCGCTCTCTGCTCCATCGGCGGCAGGAAGCGCGGCGAGCGCAGTCTTGCGTCGGTGCCGAGGCGCACGCCCTCGCCGACCATGCTCCAGCCTTTGCTGAGCCAGCTGCCGAGCCAGAGTGCCGGGCGTGTGCTCGTGACGAAGAGCAGCGCACGCAGTGGCGGACGCGCCCAGCGTGGCAACGACGGCTGCGAGAGCAGCATGGCGAGCAGCCCGGCCTGCTGTGCACGCAGCGGCGGCAGAGACGCACGCACCTCGGACGTGCGAGCCGGCCGCAGCGCCAGCGCCATCCACTCGGCAGACGCTGCATTCTCCGCCGAGGGGCGCCAGCCTCCTCCTGGTGCCGTCTTCCGTCGCGCGAGCAGCCGCAGCGCCGTGTTCTCGGCGCCGCGCATCAGGCGCGTGCCTAGCCGCTCCGAGGCCCACAGATGTGTGGTGAGGACTGCGAACGCCCTCGGGCCGCCCGATGCGCCAGTCGTGTCTGCGCCAAGCAGGTCGACGACGCCAGCGCTGCTGCCTTGCGGCGCAGGCTCGATCGCAAGACCACTGCGCGCGTGCTGGCGCCGCAGCACGCGGTCCAGCCGGTGCGCCAGCACGACGTCCGTCGTGGGCCGGTCGCCGATGACGAGCACGTGGCCCTGCGGCCGCAGCACGTCTGCGATCTGCCGCGCACAGGCGCGCGCCGGCTTCTTGGCGGGGTGCGCCAGCACGGGCACCCACAGCTCGCGCGAGAGGTTCTCGGCCTGCTCGACAGTCAGTGGTGCGTACTTGCGGCTCCGCAGCGGCCACTCACGCCGAGGCCGTGCGGGTCGCTCGAGCTGCCGGCGCTGTTGGAGACGATGAGGATGTTGTCGCGGCCAAAGGTCTCGATGGCCTGGTGCCACGCCTCCTGTAGCCCAGAGGTCAGCTGGCCGTCACGCCTGCCCTGCCGCAAGCACGCACGCGGATCGCCGGCGCCAGCACGTCCTCATGCGGCTTCGTCTGCGCAGCCAGTCAGCGCACGCAGAGTGTGGGCTCACGGCGCACCACGCACCAGGCAGTTGTCCTTGTCGCACACGATGGCGCGCACGCCGGCAGCATGCAGGCGGCGCCAGTCGAGCGCCGCAATGTCGGCGACGACGAGGTGCGGCACGACGAGGCCGGGGCGCACGAGGGCATGCAGCAGGCCGCCGAGGGCCGGGATATTGGGCATGGCCGCAGCGGCAGGCCGCAGTCTCGGACACGAAGGGAAGGGAAAGGACGTGGAGGTGAGATGGGAAGCAGAACAGCGGCGCGCGAAGCATCATGCAAGACCCTCTACGCGCGCGACAAACGCAGCCGCCGCGGCGCTTCCTTGCGCGAGCAGGAAGAGGCAGCGGCACGCAGCAGGGTTGCAGCCAAGCTTGTGCGCTGCAAGTTGCCAAGTAGCCACATTCTGCTCCCAAAGCAGAGCTGGTGGTCAGAGGCTACATGTCCGAGAATCAGCTTCAAGCACCCTGCTCTGCAGACTGTTGCGTTTGAGCCCAGTGTCTCCTGCGCCGTGGCTGCGCGCCCCGGCGCCCTGCCAGACAGCGGGGATCGGGGGCCGTGCCGGCCGCGCACGGTCGTCGTCCGCCGCGCGAACGCCGCGCCATCCTTCCTCCCCATACCCACCTCCCTGTCTTCCGCGCCACCGTCCCCACCTGTGCTGCTCTTGCCTGCTCCATTCTCGCCTGCACCGTCGCAGCTGCGCCCGCACCTACCCAGCGCGCCGTCGCATCTGCCACTCGCACCTGCCCGCCCGCTCGAACCCCCTACCTCCACTGCGCGTCGCCCCGCATGGCCGACTCGGGGCGCGATGCCAAGCTCTTTGCGCGCGGCAAGGTGGCCGAGCTGCGTGCGGAGCTGCAGTCGGACAAGAAGGACAAGGGCTGGAACCGCAAGCGGGTGCGTTGGCTGGCGGTGTGGCAGATGGGGCAGGCGGGCCGGCGCGTGGCAGCGGCGCCGTGGCCCGCGGCTGCCTGCTGCGACGCCGTGTTGCTCGCCAGACCGGCGCAGGGCTGACGCTGTGCCTCCTGCAGGTGGTGCTGAAGAAGATCATCGCCAATGCCACGATGGGCAACGACATGGGCCCGCTCTTCGCAGACGTCGTCGGCTGCATGGGCATCCAGGTGCTCGAGATCAAGAAGATGGTCTGTGAGTCGCCTGGCGCGCCCAGCTGTGGCGACTCGGCGCCTTGTCCGCGCCGCCGCCGCATCACCCGCTGAGGCGCTGCGCACCTGCAGACCTGTACCTGATCAACTACGGGCGCTCACATCCGGACCTCGTGCCGAATGCCATTCCCGGCTTCCTCTCGGTGAGACGGGCGCTGCGCTATGGCCACACGCACCGCTGATGTGCCCGCTGCAGGACTGCAACGACCGCAACCCGCTCATCCGGGCGCTCGCGATCCGCACCATGTCCTACATCCACGTGCCCGCCGCGACGACTGCGCTGCTCGATCCGCTGCGCCACTCGCTCAAGGATGCAGACCCGTACGTGCGCAAGACGGCCGCCATCTGCGTCGCCAAGCTCTACATGCACGACCGGCGCATCGTCGACCGGCAAGGGTTCATCGGCATGCTGCGCGACCTCCTCGCCGACACGAATCCCACCGTCGTCGCCAACGCAGTCGCGGCGCTGACGGAGATCAGCGAGCGCTCGGACAACATCCAGCTCAAGCTGAATCTGACGATTGCGTCGAAGCTCGTGTCTGCGCTGCCAGACTGCTCAGAGTGCGTGGCGTGCGAGCGGAGTGCGTCGAGCTCGCTGACGTCGCCTGCGCAGATGGGGCCAGACCTACATCCTCGAGTCGCTCATGTTCTTTGTGCCCAACGACTACGCCGACGCCGAGATTCTCGCCGAGCGCATTGCCGTGCGCCTGCAGCACGCCAACTCGGCCGTGGTGCTGACGAGCGTCAAGGTGATCCTGTACCTCATGAACTACATCGCCAGCGCCGAGTTCAAGGAGGGCCTGTGCCGCAAGCTGAGCCCGCCGCTCGGTGCGTTTCGCCCCCACTGCCGGGCCCCTGCCAGCGCACCTGACACTCCGCTGCAGTCACGCTGCTCTCGTCGGGCCCCGAGGTGCAGTACGTGGCGCTGCGCAACATTCTGCTCGTGATCCAGCGACGGCCGCTCGTGCTGGCCAACGAGGTCAAGGTGTTCTTTTGCAAGTACAACGACCCCGTGTACGTCAAGATGGCCAAGCTGGAGATCATGTACCGCCTGGCGAACGAGCGCAACGTCGAGCAGGTCCTCGCCGAGCTGCGCGAGTGAGTGCTGGCTGTGTCTGCTGGTCCCCTGCCCCGCCCGATGCTGACGGTCTGGCTCAGGTACGCGGCCGAGGTCGACGTCGACTTCGTGCGCAAGGCCGTGCGCTCGATCGGCCGGCTGGCGATCAAGATCGAGTCGACGGCGGACCGCTGCATCAAGGTGCTGCTCTCGCTGATCCAGACCAAGGTCAACTACGTCGTGCAGGAGGCCGTCGTGGTGATCAAGGACATCTTCCGCAAGTATCCGAACCGCTACGAGAGCATCATTGCCACGCTGTGCGAGAACCTCGACTCGCTCGACGAGCCCGAGGCGCGCGCGGCCATGATCTGGATCATTGGACACTACGCTGAGCGCATCGAGAACAGCGACGAGCTTCTCGAGGACTTCTTGTACTCTTTCACAGAAGAACCGGTCGAGGTGCGTGCTGCGCGCTGCCGCTTTGGACACATCAGGCTGACCCTCGCCTCAGGTACAACTGGCCCTGCTGACCGCGACGGTCAAGCTCTTCCTCAAGCGGCCCACGGCCGGCGCCGAGCTCGTGCCCAAGGTGCTCAAGTGGGCGACGGAGGACGTGGACAACCCGGACTGCCGCGACCGCGGCTACATGTACTGGCGCCTGCTCTCGACGGACCCGGCGGCGGCGCGCGACATTGTGCTGGCCGAAAAGCCGCCGATCAGCACCGAGACGGACCGCATGGACCGCACACTGCTCGACCAGCTGCTGCTGCACGGCGCCTCGCTCTCCTCCATCTTCCACCGCCAGCCGCAGACGTTCATCCGCGGCGCAAAGGCGCGCTACATGCCCGACAGCCCGGTGCGTGCCCCTTCGCCTATGTTTCTGTTCACATGCTCACACCTCACTCAGGCACTCGACGAGGCAGCACGGCGGAACGCCAGCAACCACATCTACTCGAAGCCAGCGCCGCGGGCGTCGGCCGGCATCGTGGCCGTGCAGCCGGCGCCCGCACCGGCGCTGCCAGCACGCAGTGTGGGCGGAGCAGCGGCCGTGCCGTCCAGTCCCGTGGCCGACGCTTCGGCCGAGCTGCGCGCCGCCGACGACGACGACCTGCTCTCGTCTTCGCCGCCCGCCGCCGGCGCCGCGCGTCTGCAGCGCAGTGACGAGGCCGACGGCGACGACACGGCAGAGGAGCTGGCGCGCCGGCGACGCGCCCCCACCGACGACGACGGCGGCGCCGATCCGTACGCCATGCTCGGAGACGACTTTGGCTTTGCGGGCTCGTATGCCACCGACGCGCCGGCGCCCAAGAGCAGCGGCATCGACGAGCTGCTGGCGTGAGGCGCCTGCGTGCGTGCGTGGAATACCTTATTCACGGATATTTGCCACCGCATGCCTGGCCTGAGTGTATTGTGTGGGGCAGTAGAGCGAGTTCAAGACTGCAAGGCAGGCTGTTGAGGTCATGCGGATGGATTGGGGTGCGTTGCAGCGCCCGAGCCCCGACCGCCCCGTGCCGTGCCATCAGCCATCAGTCGAGCCCACCAGACAAGCAACCCCTGCAGAGCAGGCATCTGACCGGCGCACCGCGTGTCTGGTATTCAGTGCAAGATTGTGGCGCCATCTGCTGGCCTGCTCGGCCGGCTGCGAGGCCATGGTGTGCAGTCGACGGTGCCTGCATCAGGCCGCCCCCTTGCGGCCGTGGCGCGCGCGTCCCGGGCCGCTCCCACGCCGTCGCGCTTGGCACGGCACGCGCGTGCCTTCTGCTCCCGCGCCGCGCCGCGGGTGTCACTCTCGCGCCCTGGCCGCACTCTCTGTCTCTCCCCTCTCTCACCTCCGCTCCTTCTTCTCATCTCGCCTCCTTCCCTGCCGCCGCCGCGCCGCCTGCTTCCGTCTGACTCCCTTCTCCACTGCGCGGCGCCGCACTCTCCACACTCGGCACACGCCGTCTCTGCTCGCGGCTGCACGCACACGCTCCTCACGCCTCTTGCGCACGTCCCGCCGCGTCGTGCTCGCGGCCGCCGCCTGCCGCACGCGCCGCGCATCGCACACGCGCACCCCTCATCTCGCACAGCTCTTCCCCGACTGGCGCTCTCGCACCGGCGATGGCCGCCGTCGCGTCTCCCTCGGCCCTCGCGGCGGCGCCCTCGGCGTACCGGCGCTGGGAGCCGCTGGCCAAGATTCTGTATGGCTTCTGCATCTCGCCCTTTGCGCCCGAGCTCGAGCAGCTCGAGCTGCCCGCAGAGCTGCTCGACGAGGGCTCGCACGCGTCGCTGGCGGCCATCCAGGCGCACCTCATCGGCCTCGAGGTCGGCGACGAGGTGTACGTGTTCGAGCAGCTGGGCCACAGCGATGTCGCCTGGTTCCGCGGCTACGTCGTGTCCAGCACACGCGTGCCCATGCCGGCGACGAGCACGAGCAGCCGCAGCGAGTACTCGACCTTTCCCGGCTCGCAGGCGCGCGGCGGCGCCGCACTCGTCGAGGAGCCGCAGGTGTACGTGGGCATCTTCCCGGCCGTGCACGTGCACATCCGCGAGCACCTCGACGACGCCGAGCTGCGCCTGCAGGAGGTGCACGCGCGGGCCGTCGAGCAGGGCGTCGTAGGCGCCACTGCGCCGCCGCCCGGCTCGAAGCTCGCGGGCCAGAAGCACATGGAGACGCTGCACGAGGAGGACGAGGGCGCCGCGAGCGCGCCCAACAGCCCCATCGGCCCTGCACAGGCCCGCGCCCAGGCCAACAGGTCGCCCTTCCGGCTACAGGAGCCTCTCGACGCGCCGGGCGAGGCAGAGGTCGAGCGCCCGCCGCCGCCACTGCCGAGCCTCAAGTGCGGCGACGAGACGGCGAGCGGCTCAGACGAGCCGCTGGTGGACGAAATCGCGTGCGCACTGCGGGAGTGGAGCAGCCTCATGTACGTCTATCTCGGGCGGCGCGACTACGTGCTCTTCAACGCGGTCAAGGAGCACATCGAGGTGCTGCACGCTGCGCGGCGCCAGCTCCTGGCGCAGACGCTCAGCGTCGAGGAGGTCGCCAAGCTGCGCCGCGAGTGCGTTGCGCGCCTCGTCAAGGGCAACGTGGCGCAGGGCCTCGATGTCATTGTGCGGCATCCGGGCCGCGGCGGCCTCGTCGACGTCGACTTCACCGGCAAGGAGAGCGACCCCGAGAGCTGGGTGAGCGGCATCCGGCTCTTCGCGCTGCAGGCCAGCCTCGCGTACGTCGACCAGCTGGACGCCGCGTCGTCCGGCGGCAGCGCGCAGGGCGGCCTCGAGATCTCGGCCAGCAACGCATTTGGCATTACAGCGCCTTCGACGACGTCGGCTGGCGTGCTGGGCGCCCCGAGCAGCTTCGCAGGCGCGCTGAGCGTGACCGGCAAGCGAAGCGCCGGCAACCGGCAGAGCACCATGTCGGGGCCGCCGCGGGCGCGGGCGAGCCTGCTGGACCCCGGCAGGCTGGACGAGCAGGTCGAGAGCGGCGTCAAGGTGAGTGCACTGCTCCAGCTGGCCCGGCTCTAGCGCTGACGGGCGTGCCCAGTACTTTCACGTCTATCTCGACGTGCGCGCCTTCGTGGCCAGCCCGTGTGCGCCGGGCGAGACGGCCGAGCTGTACTTCTCGCTGTACAACAAGGCCGAGGCGCGCTTCCTGACCGAGGAGTTCTGCGTGGTGCTCAATCACCAGGGCGTGCCCGCACCCGAGTCCGAGGGGCGCATCGGCAAGATGCGCACGCTCTTCACGGACCTGAGTCCGAACGACATGCAGGACCTCAACGTCGTGTGCCGCATCGTGCGCAATGGCGCCATGCGGCTGGGCGCCGCTGCAGATGTGGGCCGAGAGACTGCCACTACTTCGCTGCCCGACATCGACACGGAGAGCGACGGGCTCCGTGGCGGCGCGCCGGGCTTCCGGCCCTCGCGCATGGCCGGCGACCGCACCTTCCGGCGGCCGTTTGGCTGCGCTGCGCTCGAGCTGGGCCAGGACCACAAGTTCCAGACGGACGTGGCGTCCAGCAGTCCGATGCGCGAGCATGTCATGCCCATCTTCTGCCCCTACAACGAGGCGGCCTTCAGCACGCTGCACCAGGACATCATCGCCTCGCGCATCAAGGAGTTTGAGAAGTCGTCGCGCGCCGAGCTGCTCGCCGTCAACGTCAAGGTGCTGCACGGCGAGACGGCCACGCTGCTGCGCGAGAACCCCAGCCTGCTGCAGGACGCGCCGCTCACTGCGCGCCTCGGCTTTCCCGACGTCGTCTTTCCCGGCGACACGCGCAACGAGGCGTACGTCAAGCTCTGGAGCGGCGAGTTCTTCCCCACGAGCACCAAGATTCCCGGCGGCTCGACGCAGAAGAACATTCAGGTCTCTGCCGAGATCCGCACGCGCGACGGCAGCGTGCTGGAGCGCGTCATCTCGCGCGGCGCCGGCGAGGCGCTCGTCACGCAGTTCGACTCGACGGTCTTCTACCACCAGAACGCGCCCACGTGGGGCGAGCTGCTGAAGCTCGAGCTGCCGCGTGAGGTCATGGAGAGCTGCCACATGTTCTTCACGTTCCGGCACCGCAGCTCGAAGGAGGAGAAGGGCCTGCCGACCGTGTCGTCGCCTACGCGCGAGTCGGCCAACGGTGGCACATCCTCCTTCGCCGGCTCGTCGAACAGCGGCCCGGCGGTGGTGAACGCGCCGTTTGCATACGCCTACCTGCCGCTCTTTGAGGCAAACGCCGCATTCATCCCCGACGGCAGCCACACGCTGCTGCTCTGGCGCAGCTCGCGGCCGGCGCAGCACCTGAGCCCGGAGCTGTACTTTACGCTGCCGCCGACGATCGCGCCGGGCCGCAGCCTCTCCGACCTCGTGCCGGCGAGTTTGGCGTCGGTGATCCAGCCGCTGCGCGACACGATGACGCTGCGCACCTTCCTCGTGTCTACACGCTACACGCAGAACGAGGTGCTGCTGAAGCTGCTGCACTGGGAGAAGGTGCTGACGCAGGACCTCGACGAGCTCAAGAGCGTGCTGGTCAAGTTCACCTTTGTCGGCGAGGTCGAGATCGTCAAGTTCCTGCGCGACATCTTCGACGCGCTCTTCGCAATCGTCGTGAGCCCCAAGAACGGCGACGGCGAGCTCGACGATCTCGTCTTCAACGCGCTCGTCACGGTGCTGGGCATTGTGCAAGACCGGCGGGTGAGTCACAGGCGCAGGCCATGCGAGCTGCTCCCTCTCTGACCATCCTTTCTAGTTCAACAACTTCCGCGCCACGCTCGACATCTACATCGAGCAGCACTTCCACTCGCAGACGGCCTACACGCGGCTCATGGCCTCCATGTCGCGCCTGCTCGCCGATCCCAGCCGCACCGACACGTCCAAGGATCTGCGCGCCGCCATCAAGGTCTGGCCGTACCTCTTCAAGTTCATCGTGCGCTCGCGCCAGAACCAGGAGCAGGGCAAGGACGACCGCGTCATCAGCACGCCGGGCGGCGCCGTGAGCGACCACTTCGAGACGAGCTTCAAGCGCGATTTGGAGAATCTACTGCGCTCCATCAACCGGCTCATGTCGGCGACCAAGCCGGCGTCCATCGTCGGCACGCAGACGCTGGCGCTGCAGCACTTTGCCGGCATCCTGCCGTTCCTGGCGCGCGTCTTCCCCGCCGACGAGCTCGTGCGCATCGAGACTGCCTTTGCCGACTCGCTCTTCATCACCAAGGGCCGCATGGTCGTCTGGAAGCTCCTGCACGTGCTGCACGTCATTGGCACGGAGATCTTCGATGACCTCAACTCGCGCTCGCAGCTGGTGCCGAGCATCATCCGCTGGGTGCGGCCGCACCTTGGGCGCTACGAGGAGGCAGGCGGCGCCGGAGACCACGAGGGCGCGCGCGACGCAGCCCGTGTGGCCTGGATCGAGGGCGCCCGTCTGGCCGTCACGATTATTGCCGTGGTGCTCGATCGCCTGCAGGTCAGTCTGGCAGAGGGCCGCAAGGCCGGCGCCAGCTCGGCGGCTGCTGTGCGCCAGGAGCAGGACAACGTCGACTACATCCTGTCGACGATGCCAGCGCTGCTTGAGACGTACCGCGAGCTGAGCAGCGCGGAAGTGGCAAGCACGTTGGAGCGCCACCGCTCTCCGTCTACGCTCGCTTCCGCCGTGCCAGTCATGTTCCCATCGAGCTACCCATTCCCGCTCATCGCCAAGCGGCCAGCTGGGATCCCAAGCTCCGCTGGTACGCGCTCCTCTCGCCGGCGGAACAAGCCTGCGAGCTATGGGTTCCTGAACTGCGGCCTCGGCGAGATCGCTGCTGTGCTCACTGTGCTCGTGATGCTGAGCCCGCGTCGGCATCTGGCAAGCTTCCTCGACGAGCAGCTCGACCTCGAAGGGCCCGAGACGCTGGCGGTCTTCCTTGGCAACTTCTTCTCGGTCGCCACGAGCATTCTGCTCAACGAGGCCTATCCGTCGACGTGGCTGAACGTCAACATCCTGGCGCACCAGATGGTGCTCAAGATCGCCGACCCGCTCGCCGCGCTGATGGTGCGCGACTTCATCCCGGCGGCGGACCAGTCGCACACGTTCAACACGGCGCTGTGGCGCGGCGGACTCAACATGCTCCTGACGCTGCTCTCGAGCGAGCAGCTCATCATCGAGCAGTTCAAGCCGCAGCGCCGGCGAGCCGTGTGGCGCCTCGCAGGCGACATCCGCGGCGAGGGCGCCCAGATCTTTGCCAAGCTGTGGAACTCCATTGGCTGGCCGGATAGCCCGGGCAACGCCGCAAGCTCAGAGTCTGCCAACGGCGAGGCGAGCACGCTCAACACCGGCGGCTTCCAGGTGCAATTCGTGCCCTCGCTCGTCGAGCCGGTGCTCGAGCTGTGTCTGAGCCACCATGACGAGCTGCGCACCTGCGCCGTGCGTGTGCTGGCGACCATGATTACGTCGGAGTGGCACCTCAACGGCGACTTCAGCGTCATCGAGGCCGAGATCATCGACAAGCTCGACGTGCTCTTCGTGACGGACACGCAAGGCGATGAGATCTCGCGCGCCTTCTTCATCGGCCAGCTGCGCTCGCTCTTCGAGAGCCCCCTGGTGGACGAGAAGCTGCGCGAGCAGGTGCTGGCATGCCTCGTGTCCGTCAACCGCTTCCTGGACCTGCTGCTGAGCGTGCGGAGCTTGCCGTCCGAGGAAGGCTTCGAGGACGACCGCGTGGCCGGCACCCTGAAGCTGCTGGGCTTCCTGCGGCAGGCCAACCGGGTCACTGCCTTCTCCACGCATGTGCTCCGCCTTGTCAACGTGAGTCTTATCGGGAGCCTGCGCTGAGCTGCTGCTGATCCTCGCCACAGCTGCACTTGGAGAACCACAACTACGTCGAGGCCGCTCTCACTCTCAAGTTGCACGCCGACCTGCACTCGTGGGACATGGACTCGTATGTGGAGCCGATTCCGGACCTGGACCTGCCGCGGCAGTCGCACTTCGCGCGCAAGGAGACGCTGTACATGCTCATCCTCGACTACCTCGGCAAGGGCAGCGCGTGGGAGATCTCAATCGACATCTGCCGCGAGCTCGTGCACCAGTACGAGTACCGGTCTGTGGACTACACGCGCCTCGCAGACGTGCTGCGCCTGCAGGCATCGCTCTACGAGTACATCGCCACCGTCGAGCGCACGTACCCGAGCTACTTCCGCGTGGCGTACTACGGCGAGCAGTGGCCCGCCAGCCTGCAGGGCAAGATGTTCGTCTACCGCGGCCAGGACTGGGAGAAGTTCGGCGCCTTCTGCGAGCGCCTGCACCAGAAGCACCCCAAGGCCACGCTCATCAAGAGCAACGTCACGCCCGACGACAGCGTGCGCTTCGGCGACGACATGTACCTGCAGATCACCGCCCTGCAGCCCGAGCCCGACCGCACCAAGGACGTCTTCACGAACGCCGAGGTGCCGCCGATCATCCGCGCGTACTTCGAGCACAACACCACGGACCTGTTCAGCTACGCGCGGCCGATGCGCAAGCTCGCCGACGGCAGCCTGGCGCCGCCGACGAGCACGAGCGCCGATCCGTCGCAGCTCTGGGTAGAGAAGACGTACCTGCGCTGCGAGGACCAGTTCCCAACCGTGCTGCGGCGGAGCCACGTGGCCGAGGCGTGGAGCGTCGAGCTGTCGCCGCTGCAGAACGCCATCGACGATGCAGTGAGCAAGACCAAGGAGCTCGAGACGCTCGAGAAGAAGTACGCGGCCATCTACCGCGTCGGCTCGTCCGGCAAGGGCGCCAACACGAACCGCCTGAGCATGGCACTCAACGGCGCCGTCGATGCGCCGGTGAACGGCGGCATTCCGATGTACAAGCGTGCATTCTTCAGCCCGTCATTCGTCAGCCAGAACAGCGACAAGGAGGAGCTGATCCACGGGCTGCGCGACGCCATCGACGCGCAGGCCGTGGTGATCCACCGCTGCATCCGCCTGCACGAGCGCATGTGTCCGGCCGAGATGCGGCCGTTCCACGAGACGCTCGAGCGCTGTGAGTCGTCGTGGTCAATCTGCCATCCCACTCGTGCGCTGACCGCCTTCCAGTCTTCACGCAGAACTTCAGCGAGGAGATTGCGCGCCTCGAGCTCGACATGTCGCGGACAAGCGACGACGCCTACCGTGCGTCCATCGGCAGCAAGAGCATGAGCGTGGATGGCCCGGCCACGTCGCTCGCTCCCGTAGGCATGCACGGCCTGCTGCTGGACCAGAACCCGTCGCACACGTATGCGCTCGACGCCAACAGCCGCTTGCAGCGGAGGCCGTATGAGCCCGAGGGCCACTCGTTGCAGAGCCCACTGCAGCGCCACATCTGTGCGTACACTCCTTCCACTGTCGCCGCACCCACGCTGACCCTTGCGTCTGCAGCATCTCTGTCCAAGCAGCCGCAGCCGATGCGGAAACAGCTCTCAGACGCTGCGCAGGCCAACGGCGTGGAGCAGAGCCGCACAGCCGCCGGCGAGTCCGGCATCGGCGGCGCCCCGATCCAGTCTCTCCCCAGCGGTGGACTCGACGCCGGCGCGTCCGACTCGCTGCTGGCGCCGCGCTCGGCCGCCGGTGCGCCATCCTCGGGCGCCTCGCGCTACGAGGCGTCGATTCTCACCGAGAACGGCACTGCGCAGCCGCAGCCGGCGCTGCAGCGGCAGCCGTCGCGCTTCAGCCGCCTCCTTGGAAAGAGCGCGAAGCGATGAGACGCCGCACCCTCCTTACCCTGCCTGCCTCTGCTCCTCTCTCTCTGCCCAAACCCCCCATACCCCGTGCCGCAATCAGACTTGCTTCATTGCGAGAAGTGCCCGTTGAGGTCCAGACGTACGAGCAGCTCGGCGACCGTGTCGACCTGTGCCTCCTCGCCCGCCAGCCGGCGCAGGTCCTCCTCGGCCTGGCGCTCCATGCGCTCCGCTTCGATGCGCGCCGCAGTGCCGCGCTCCCCGTCCGAGGCGTCGGCGCGGTCTCGTGGCCGATACGTCGGTCGCGCGGAGCCCTCGCCCTTGTCCCGCACGAGCTCGAGAGCACGCAAAAGTAGGTGCACGCGCGAGCGCCAGCGGCTGTACAGCGCATAGAGGCGCTCGGCATGGTCGGCCGCCGCCTGCGCACTGCTGTGCTCGTCGGCGGCGCTGCGCCGCTCGTCGCGGCACAGCATCGACAGCTTGAGCACGCCGTCGAGGATCTCGTCGATGATGGTGCGCAGGCCGCGCTGGCGTGCGCGCAGGAAGCACGTCTGCAGCATGCGCTCGAGCGTGCTCTCGTGGAAGCGCGCCAGGCTGAAGACGTCCTTGATCTCGAGCGACTGTGTCTCGCCTTGCCGAGCGGCCCACGCATTCTCGCCATCGTTGTCGAGCACTGCGCCGGCGTCCGTCATGGCATCGTCGTTGTCAGCCGCCAGTGCCACGTCGCTGTCCTGCACCTTGCCGAATGCCGAGTCATCGCGCGCCTCCGCATCGCGGCAGAGCGTCGAGAGACGCGTCTGGAAGTGCTGCCAGCCGTCGTCGATGGCAGAGTGCACGAAGCCATTGAGCGCGCTGACGACGTGGTTCGCCTCGGCGCGGAAGCGCAGCAGCGTCTCGCGGGCTTGCATGTCGTGCTGGAACGGCCAGGCCGTCTCGGACGGGTCATCCATGCGACTACCTGGTCGTGTGACCCGTGCGCCCTTGATCGCGTCACGGAAGAGCGAGCCGAGGACAGTCTGCACGCGCATCAGCCGCAGCAGGAAGTTGAAGAGACGCTGATAGCGGATGGAGGCATTGATCGGCAGCAGAGGCGCTATGAGAGGCGGCGGGTGGAAGCTGAGCGTGAGCCAGTCGAGCGCGTCGATCGAGTTGCGGTCGCGCCAGCGAGACTGAGCGCCGCTGCTCTTCTTGCCCTTGACCACGCTCTCGGGCTTGACGATGGCGAATGAAAGCCGGTCGTCGAGGTCGCGCAGCGCAAGCGTCTCAGGCCGGACGAGGCCGTAATCCTGGCCGCGACTTGCGTCGTCGGATCGCATCTCGGCGACCGTCTCCATCACCGCGTAGTTGAGGGCTGAAGCGATCTCCGAGTACTTCGGCGGCCACACGGAGCCCTCGTTGAGACGCGTCGATAGCCCCGCAGCCCAGGTCGGCGAGTCGGCGTCAGCCCCTCCGGGGCCCTCGAACAGCGTCTCGGCGACGCGCTCTCGGAACTGCGTGCTGCCGAGGAGCAGGAAGCGGCGGCAGGTCTCCAGATACGTTGCCAGGCCGAGATCGCGGTAGAAGCTAGAGATGAGCGAGGAGTTGAGAAGCTGCGCCCACTCCAGCATTGGGCTGATGAGTGTCGCCTGCGTGAGAGCTGCGATCGAGGCATGCCGCTGAGGGAGCAGAGGCGGCGCAGGTTGGCTCTCGGAGCTCTCCGTTGAGAGCTGTGCCTGTATGCGCTCGATGAGCACTGCCTTGCGGCGGCCATGGAGATACCGCTGTGACCGTGGCCTTTGCGGACTTGCGCCTGTCCCAGGCTCGCGGAGCTCGTCGGGCTCGAAGGCTTGCGGCAGGGCATTGAAGACCGCCAGCGTCTCGTCGAACGACTGTCCGTCTGAGCTCGCGAGAGGCGGCTGCTGCAGAATTGACGCCACCTCGTCGACGAGGTCCGAAGAGGGAAGGGCCGTCTGGTCGACCTCGCCGCGTTCGCGGCGCCAGCGAGCAACAGATCTGCGCAGCCTTGCGACGCGTGCCTTGACGAGGTGCAGCTGCTCGCTTGCCTCTTCCTCGTCCCACGTCCACGTCGGCAACGGCAGTGCCTCGCTCGCGCTGTGGTCGGCGAGTGCGGCGAGCACAGGATGCGAGGGCGGCGCTGCCTTGCGCAGCAATCGCAGAGATCGGCCTGCTTCGAGCAAGTCGCGAGCGCAAGAGAGCGGCAGGAATGCAGGCAGCCTTGCGGGCCGGAGCTGCACTGCATGTCAGCGTCCTGCCCAGAGGGACAGCACTCGGGACGAAAACTCACTACGTAGCCTACGTCAACCTCTCCTCGCACGTCCTTCTCCCACTCGACTTCAACGCCGGCCCAAGCCTGCCACTTGCCCTTTTCGCCGACGGTGCTTTCGTCCTTTGGCCTGACGCCAGGCCAGCCAATCCACGCCGCGACGTCGGTGCGCCACGCTGCGCTGATCTCCTCGAGCAGCAGGCTCAGCGCCGCGGCCGGCAGCGGCGAGGCGTACGAGGAGAGCTGCGCCGCTAGCTCGAGATAGACGCGCGTCTGCAGCAGGGCGCTGGCATTGCTTGGTACTGCGCCGTTTGCGTCTGGCGGCAGCAGAGGCGGGAACGGAGTGCGGCGATTGAGGCCCTGTAGAGAGCGTCAGAGGCGACGCGCAGCAAAGCACGAGCTGTCCACTCACACAGCCAAGCACATCCGCGACTGACTTGAGCACCGCCAGCGCATCCTCGAGGCCTCGCCCAGCCACGAAGAGCGACAGCGGCGGCGGTCTGGCATCGATGTCAGCGCCCAGCCAATCCATGACCGACTCGAGGGCGGCCGCGAGGGCGCATGCCTCTGGCACATCGCCGGCCGCAGCAGCATCCGTGAGCTCTCGGAGCTCGACGATGCGCTGCGCGACGCGCCGACGCAGCGTGCCGATCTGCAGAAACGGCGCCAGCAGACTTTTGGACACCTGCGCACTGAGCCCCTGCACATGCTCGCTGCCGCTCCATGACGGCGCTGAGCGGCTCTGGGCGCGCTGCAGCGTCAGGGCCCATACGAACGAGGCCTTGCGCGCGTCCCAGGCGAAGTGCGTCGAGGCGTGCGTCTGCATTGCCAGCGCGGCGGAGGCAAGCACAGCTGCGGCATCGTGCGCAGGTGCGGGCAGCAGCTGCAAGCCTGATGACTTCGTGCCCGCTGAGAGGCTACGCGGCTGGCGTGAGCAGCGGTGTGGAGACAGGCGATGCCAAGGATCACACTCACACAAGCAGCAGCTTTTGCTCCCTCTTGCCACACGCCAGATCGCTGAACCAGGGCATCGAGCTGTCGGTCGACTCATCCTCTGCCTCTACCTGCGCCGCAGCACGAGAGACATCCGGCATGGGCTGTGGCGCATCCATCGCAGTTGCCTCGACCTGCCCAAAGCGCGATGCGAACGAGCTCAGCACAGGGTCGTGCCCGCCGACAGGCGGCTGCAGTGCAAGTGCCGGCATGCGGAACGATGTTGCGAGCGGAACGAGTGCGGTGCCCGCCTCGCTGCCGAGTGGATCGAGCATTGTGGCATCCCAGCCAGTATGGCGCGGCAGCTGGGCCGTGCGGCGCGCCGAGAGTGCGGCGGGCGCATCGAGCGAGATGTGTGCGGGCCGCGCGGCGTCGAAGGGCGGCAGCTCGAAGAACGACGGCGGTGTGACGCCGGCGGCGGCACTCATGTTTGTGGAGGCCAGCACGTGCCGAGAACGGTGAAGCGCAGGGATGGGATGTGAGATGGTCGTGGTCGTCGTCGTCAGAGACCAACACCTCACGCGTCGCGTAGAGAGCGCGCTGGGCAAGCCGCGGCTTTGGCCCGTGGGAACACTGATTGGCAGCCGGCCGAGAAAAAGTCTCCCGCTGAGCACCTCCACATGCTGCCCTCCATCAGCCACCTTGCCTCCGCTCCACCACCATCTCACCCTCACTGCACGGTCTACGCACGCAGCATGCCGCCGCTGCAGGCCCGCCTGGCCAGTGGCACTGCTGGCCGCTCGCCAGCGCGCAGCAAGGGCGGCTCAAGCCACTCGGAGCGCGTGCTGCGTCTCGCCATCGACGTCGACTTCGAGGGCGCCGTGCAGGCCGCCTTTGCGCCGCGCATCGACCTCGACACGGCCGTGCGCGAGCCGAGCCTGGCCCGGCAGGCCGCTCGTGCGCGCTCCGATGGCGAGCCGTGGCAGCCGCCGTCGCTGAGCAGCATGTGCATCGAGCGGGCGGCGCGCTACTTCCCCTCGCACGTCCTGCCCGGCTCGTCAGACCCACCCAGCCGCACGGTGTCGCAGCTCGCCACGCCTCAGAAGCGCAAACGTGCCTTTGGAGCTTCTGCGTACAACGAAGAGGCGGATGCGTCCTTCGTGCCAGACAACCTGCCGAGCGGCAGCGCTCCGCCGCGGACTCTGCGACGGGGACGGGCGGCGGCTGCTGAGCCAGCTGCTCGCTCCGCCAAACCGGTCGCACAGGAGCCGCCGCTGCCCTCTCGCGCCGACGCTGCCTTCATCAACGCCGAGAACCGCGCCATACTGCTTAGTCTTCCGCCGCACCACCTCTCTGCGCTCCTGAAGCAGCTCACGCTGCACCATCCGACGCGCATCTCGGCCCAGCTGCTCAGCCTGTTCTTCTATCGCTGCTCCTCGCTCAGTCTCTCTTCTGCACTGCCCGCTATCTCCGATAGTGCCAGCTCGCTCTCGCGCGTCCTGTTGCCGCTCTGCTCGCGGGCAAAGTGGCTCACTCGTCTCGAGCTCGTCGGCTGCACGAAGCTCGAGGACATGGCGCTGAAACGTGCGCTCGCCTCATGCAAGGCGCTGACGGAGCTCTCGCTGGCTGGCTGTGTGCGCGTCGGCGCAGAGAGCATCGAGGCGCTCGTCACTGCCAGTCCCACGCTGCGTAGTGTGAACGTGAGCTTCACCGATGTTGGTGCAAACGGGCTGGAGCTGCTGCTCGGCCTCAAGGAGCTTGAGGTGCTGAAGGCGAGCGATGTGCTGGGCTTGGTGAGTTGAGCCATGTCGTGTGTCCATCGCATACTGACGCACGTACCAGACTGGACCTGCTGTGCAAGCCCTGACGCGCAGAGCCGGCGAGAAGGGGCTGGCGGCGAAGCCACCGTACATCCCGCTGCGCAAGCTGCGACAGCTTAAGCTGCGCTCTACGGCGCTGGACAACTTGGGCCTAGGCTGCTTCTTGAAGCTGTGCGGCCGGCACCTGCGCAGCCTCGACATCTCCAACACGGACGTCGGGCCGTCGCTCGAGACGCTGTTCGCCGGCATGAGTCTCGGCGACGCCGACAGTGCGCCGCTGCGCAAGCTCGGCCTGCGCGGACTGCGACTGACGCCGCACGATGTGGCGGACCTCATGGTGAAGCTCTTCTGCGCCAGTGCGCCGACGTTCACATCTCTGCACACCTTGCTGCTCGCGGACATGACGTGCGGCCTTGATTCCGCCGAGAAGCTCTTGGCGCTCGGGCTCTGGACGGCAGAAGAGACGCACACGGCGCCAGAGGAGGCAAGGGCACGCAACGACGGCCACTCCTCGATGGTGCTGAGGCCATACGACGGCAAGTCCAATCTCAATCTGCCGGGCGTGGGCCTGCGCAAGTACTCGCCGCCCGGCTTCTCCTCGGACGGCTGCCACTTCATGTCTGTCTCTGCCTTCAAGGAGCTCGATGTGCGTGCGCCCGGAGAGGCGACACATGCTGGCACTGCTGACTCTCCAACCCGCAGCACCTGCATCTGCCGCAGATGCGTGCGCCGTGGGTCGTTCTCGGCTTCGACACGCTGCGCTCCTTCTGGGGCGTCGACGTGGGGCCGGGACGTCTGGTCAGCAGGCTGCGCACCTTCCGTGCACCCGGCGTCCGCTGGGCCGAGGCCATCGACATCGGCGACCTGCTTTCGCACGGCCGGCTCACGCACGTCGATCTCTCCGGCGCACCGTTCGACTGTGAGTCTCTCTCTCCATCGTGGCCAGCTGGACGCAGCCGGCTGACATGCTGCGCAGGCGAGCAAATTGATCGGCTGCTCGATCTCAACCCGTTCATGGAGGTGCGTGCCGCCGAGCAAGCCGCCCCTGCCACGCTGATCTCTTCGCGCCAGTCGATCACCCTCACGGGCTGCCGTGCCGTGCCAGTGCAAGAGCGGCGCCGCTACTTTGAGGTGTGTGCCGTCTGCGTGCGCAGCGGTATGTGCCTGACACAACTGTTGCAGTTCTATGAGCAGCGCAAGAAGCATGAGTTGACGTACTGGTAGAGCGTGGCGGGCGGTGGGCGCAAGGGAGACGAGAGATGCCACGCGGCCGAGTTTTGGCCGGCTCGACACGGATCAGACGGAGCTTTGCACGCATATACAGCAATATACCCTCAGGATGTAGCCTGGAGAGAAGGCGAGTGTGATGGGGCTCTTCGTCGCCAGCGAAGAGGCAGGGTCGCCCGCCGCCCCGGGGCACGCTGCGGCGGGCTGGCGCGACGGAAGAACCCGACGCGCAGATTAGCCGGCTGGCCAAGCCTCGAGTCAGTGGCCCCTGCACCTTGCCTCCCAACCATCACGACCGCCACGACACCGCCACGCCCCACCTTCCTGCCACCGACGCCCGCGTCGTCCGGATGGCCGCCTCGCTCTCCTCACTGCCTCCGGAGCTGCTTCACCACATCGTCTCGCTCATCTACCTCGACTCGTGAGCGCGGGCGCACGGACGTCGGCGCCTCCACGCGTGCGCTGACCGCTTATCGTGTGCCCCAGGCTGCCGCGCGCCGTCTTTCGCTGTCTGGACCCGCACGTGAGCTGCGTTGCTGAGCCCCGGCACTGCGCATGCTCATAGTCGCTTGCAGGGCCTGCCGTCGACGTACCCCGACGGCCGTCTCATCTCCTCGACGCAGCGCGACACGCAGCGCACGCTCCACGCCCTCTCGCGCGTCACGCGCGCCTTCTACGCTGCCGCGCGTCCGCTGCTCTTCCGGCGCCTGCAGATCACGCTCCCGTTCTCCTTCCTGCTGCTGCTGCGCACGCTCGGCGCCGCACATTTGGCTGATGCCTACGAGGAACATGCACGGCTGCGCCGCCCCAGCCGCGCCGACACGGGCGAGCTAGAGGGCAGCAGCACGGAGGAGGAGACGGGCGACGAGAAGGAGCTGCCCGTCGCGCTGCCGAGCATCGTGCCGCCGGCTGCAGACGAGTTGGGCGATGTGCCGATGGCTAGCCCGGCGCCGCGCCGCAAGCGTGGCGCCGAGATGAGCTTCAGCGCCATGGTGGCCGCCGCTGGCTTTGCTCGGGCCACTGGCAGTCGACTGGTCGTCCCGCGCGGCGCTCGAGAGCGGCTGGGAGATATTCAGGCCGACGAGGACGAAGCAGGCATGCAGTTGATCTGGACCGGTGAGTTGGCCCCGAGAATGGCAACGCGGGAGCTGCCCTCTATCGGCCGGCTGCCCACTGACGCCTGCTCCTCGCAGAGCAAGTGGGCGGCTCGTACTCCCTCACGCTGGCGCGTGCGGCCCGTGGTGCGCACCACTACCCGCGCGTCCTGTCCTTTGAGTCGTACACGACACAAGGCATGCGCCGCACGCTGGCCGACGGCGAGACGCGCTTCGTGACGCCGGCCAAGCTGCTGGCGCTCATCACGGCCGCCGACGGGCTCATGGGCGTGGGCTTCACCGAGAGCATGGACAGTGCCATTTCGCGCGAGGTGCTTGAGGGCCTGCTCTTCCGCGACGGAAAGCTCATGGCGCCGTCGCGCCTGCGTGGCGTCTCCATGGAGCGGCCGCGAGCAGATCGCTCCCAGCGACGCCTGCAGTCACTGGACCTCTGCGGCTGCGTCTCGACACGCTTCCAAGAGGGCCTGCGTTCCTTTGTGGACCTGCATCTGCGCAAGTTCTCGAACCGCCACACGAGCACGCTGGTGGAGGAGAGCGAGGCGTCGAGCGAGACGGAGACCGATGGCGAGGACGAGCGGCGCGGCAGAGGCCGCGAGACGGCGCGCGACCGTACCATGAGCCGCAGCGATGCGGGCCGGTCGAGCGCCAGCCGCAGTCAGACACGAAGCCTCAGTCGCTATGGCCGCGACGACGACGAGGTGAGTCAGACGAACTAGCGCTGCAGCCTGCGTCATGCTGACCCGACTGCTTCAGGCGCCGTCTACGCACCCGGCGCGAGCCACGCGCTTCCCCTCCCTGCGACGGCTGGGCCTGGCAAACGTGACGTTCCCCGCCGACCTCATCACGCCATTTGTGCTCGCCTTCCCGAAGCTCACGCACCTAGACCTGACTGGAACACGCATCGGGCCTGGTGAGCAGGTCATGATAGGCCAGACATTGCTCATCCGCTGACGCAGACTGCAGAGCTTCTGACCGCCCTCGGCTCGCAGCCAAGCGTGCATCTGCATTCTCTGAGCCTCGCTCGCTGCCCTCTTCTTACCAGCGAGAGCATCACGGAGCTGATCGCCGACTCACCTGCGACCGCTGGTCTCGTCGAGCTCTCGCTCGCGGGCACTCTGCTGCATCCGACGCCGCTGACCGAGGCGGACCTGCGCGTCATCATCACGACGGCGCCGTGCTTCCGCAGCGGCGCGCTGCGCTACCTCGACCTCTCAAGCTGTCCGCTGGACGACGAGATGCTGGGCAGCCTGCACCCGCAGCCGTCTCTGCTCGAGCTGGGCTTCTCTGCGCTGCCGAACATCAGCCTCGACGCCATCGGTCGCGTGCTGCGGGAGCGCGCGCCCAACGTGCAGGTGCTCTCCATCGTCGAGACGGGCTATGCGCTCGGCACGGCGCTCAAGAACACGGCGCTCATCGACGCCATCATCGACCCGTGCGCCAAGACGCCGCCAATGACGATCAGCCAGCAGCTGGCTGCCATGGGCTTCACGCCGCCTGGCGGAGCCGGTGCTGCTGCCGATGTGCAGCCTCCGCGCGCGCCGACGAATCTGCGTGTCATCGAGCTCTCTCCGTCGGCGCTGCGAGCCTTTGGCGTGTATCACGCCTGGCGCGTCATCTTCGGCGCCGGCCGACGCGGCTGGCTCGTTGACTGCGCGGCCGGCCCGGACCCTGACGCCGTCGACGATGCGCTGGTGGAGCCACAAGAGGCCGACGCCGTCGACGAGAGCGCCAGCGACCGCGGCCGCGCACGCAGCACTTCGCGCCCGCCACGGCTGGCGCGCAGCTGGGAGCCCGAGACGCCGCCCGTGCGCCGCAGCCCGGCCGTGTCGCAGGTGCGGCGTGCCAGTCCGGGCGGCAGCAACCTGCGCAGCTCGCTCTCGCTCAAGCGCACTGCCAGCGGAGCGTCGCGCTCCCGCTCCCGCGCGCCGCCGGCGCGACGAGGTGCAGAGGCGGCCGACATGGCTCGTGCCTCCTCGATGGGCTCGAGCAGTGCAGTGGCAGCAGCAGAGGAAGCGAGCGAGGCGCCCGCGCCGCCGATGGTGCCGCGCGACGAGATCATCCGCGACCTGCCGCCCGAGCACCCGCGCCGCCGCGCGCTGGGCCAGCTGGCCGAGCTCAACGGCCACACGCAGGGCAACGTCGGCTGGTACGCGCGCAAGATGGAGGTGCTGCTCGGCTACGGCCTGCTGGGGCGCGAGCAGGGACACTATGCGTACGTGGCGTACCAGCAGTGAGGGGAGGGGAGAGAGCTGTCACCTGCATGCAATGAGAGATTGTCGCAATTCGGCGTGGGCGAGCGGCCCTGAGCAGTGTCGAGTGCCTCGCCCATGCTCGTTGCCATGTGCTCTCACGGCGCCAAGGGTCCATGCATGAGAGATGCCAGTGCACAGCCCGAGAAGAGGCCGACTTCGAGGTGCGAGCGCTGGCGCAGCCGCGGCTAATCCTGGCTCTCTCCGCAATCGCGGCGGCCGCGCGCACGTTCGCATGTCGTGCGAGCTTCGCACCTGCCTTAGCTCCACTCCACCCTGGCACAGCAGCGCTCGCCAGGCCGCTCCACCCTCGCCCATCACACCCACTCCGCCCGCAATGTCGGACGACGCCGGCACGCCGCCGCCGGCGCAGATCCTGCTCGGCGTCGCGGCGCGCGACCGCAAGGCACGCAGCAAGCCCATGGGCCAGATTCTCAACCGCATCCTCGCCAACAAGGAGCTCGACTGCCGCATCGTCAACTTTGGCGACAAGGTGTGTGCCGCGTGCTGCAGGCAGGTGGTGTGCTGCGCAGAGGCGACGTGCTGGGCGTGGGCGAACGCTGGGCATTGCGTCGTCGTGCGACATTCTCGACACTCGCTTGCTCGGCAGGCTGTGCCCGCAACGCGAGGGCTGATCTGCTGGGCGGCGGCTTGCCTGCACAGCTGCAAGCTTGCCAGTCGTGGCAGCCCTGTCATTCTCCATACTGACGCTCTGCCCAGGTGCTGCTGGACGAGCCGCCGGCGTCGTGGCCCGTCGTCGACGTGCTCATCTCCTTCTTCTCCGACGGCTTCCCGCTCGACAAGGCCATCGAGTATGCCGACCTGCGCCGCCCCGTGCTCGTCAACGACCTGCGCTTCCAGGCCGTGCTGTGGGACCGCCGCGCCGTGCTGGCCATTCTCGATGCCGTGGGCGTGCCGACGCCGCGGCGCCTCGAGGCACACCGCGACGGCGGCAGCATCCTGGACCCGAAGATTCTCGAGGACTGCAAGAAGCGCCTCGGCGTGGATCTGGGCGTCAAGCGCGCGCAGAGCAGCGTGGCGCTCAAGGAGGGCGACGACGATGTGCTCATTGTCGATGGACAGGAGATCCGCAAGCCCTTTGTGGAGAAGCCGGTCAGCGGCGAGGACCACAACATTCACATCTACTTCCCGAAGTCGCGAGGCGGCGGCGGCCGACGGCTATTCCGCAAGGTGAGTAGCACAGAGACGTGGGGCGGAGAGACATGCGGACGAGAAGGGAGAGTGGAGCGCGCTGGCGGGTGTGTAGGAGGAAAGCCAAGCATGAAGCCGCCGCTGCGTCTTGCCATTTGGCATGCCTGGCGCCGGAGAGAAGCTGGATGCCGCGCAGCGAGCTGCTGCTCATTGCTGTCTCCTTCAGGTCGGCAACAAGTCGTCCGAGTTTGACCAGAACCTCGTCGAGCCGCGGACGGAGGGCTCGTACATCTACGAGGAGTTCATGGATGTGATCAACGCGGAGGACGTCAAGGGTGAGCCGAGCTCTGGCTCCCTGCGCAGAATCTGTTCTGACCCCTCTCCACGGCGCAGTGTACACCATCGGGCCGTACTTTGTGCACGCCGAGACGCGCAAGTCGCCCGTCGTCGACGGCATGGTGAAGCGCAACCCCGAGGGCAAGGAGATCCGCTACATCACCAAGCTCAGCGAGGAGGAGGTGCGCATGGCCACCAACATTGCCAAGGCGTTCAAGCAGAACATCTGCGGCTTCGACCTGCTGCGCGTCGGCGACAAGAGCTACGTCATTGACGTCAACGGCTGGAGTTTCGTCAAGGGCAACGACTTCTACTATGGTGCGTGGGCGCCGAGGCATGTCGCAGCTGTGCACTGAGCTGACGCTGCTCGCCTGCAGACAAGGTGCGCTCGTGCGCCGGGCTCCAGTGCAGAGGCACCACGCTAACAGATGCGTTCGCAGTGCGCCTCGATTCTGTCGTCGTTCTGCAAGACGTCCGTGCCACGGCGCTCGCTCTCGCAGCCCGGCTCTTCCGGCTCGAGCGAGCGCGGCGGCACCGGCGATGCCTCGGAGCAGAGCAGCTGGACGCTGAAGGCCAACGTCACCGTCTTCCGGCACGGCGACCGCACGCCGAAGCAAAAGGTGCGGCGCAGCCAGAGTCTGTATTGCCGCCGTGGCTCTGACATAACACACTGCAGCTCAAGCGCTCGTTCAAGCCCAAGGACGCCTGGACGGCGCCGCTGATCGCCCTGCTGCAAGGCCGGCGCGAGGAGATGTGCGTGTCCCTGCGGCGTCCTGCCCGGTCGCGCCGCTGACAGTGTGCCGCAGCATCCTGCGGCAGAACCTCGACATGATCTCAAAGGCTGCGTCCGAGGCGGCCGCGCTGCCGGGCGCCAAGACGGAGGATCTCGAGCTCGTCATCTTCATCATCGAGCGCAAGAAGGACATGCCGGGCACCAAGGTCAGTGGCGCGTCCAGCCCGCGAACTGAGCAGGTGGCTGACCAGCACGGCGCCCATCAGGTGCAAATGAAGCCGAGCTACGGCGACGACGGCGAGCTGGAGAAGATGCAGCTCATCATCAAGTGGGGCGGCGAGGTGCGTGTTTGCGCCACTCGCTGCCAGTCTGCTTGCTCAAGCAGCCTCGCCTCAGTTCTCGCATGCTGCACGTCACCAGGCCAAGGACGCGAGTCACAGCGCGGCGGTGATCACGAAGCACAGGCTGACTTGCTCCTCTTTAGTTTGGGCAGAACATGCGGCGCGACCTCATCCTGCAGAACAACGAGGCGCTCAAGAACTGCACCGTGCGTGTCGTTCCTGCTGTGCGAGTGCGCGCCCGCTGACGCTGCTTGGCCAGATCTACACGTCCTCGGAGCGGCGCGTGACGGCATCGGCCGAGATCTTTGCCGCCTCGTTCCTCGACGAGCCCGAGGATCCGGCGCAGGAGCCGCTGCAGCTCGTCATCCGCAAGGATCTGCTCGACGACTCGAACCAGGCCAAGTCGGAGATGGATGCCGTCAAGAAGCAGCTCAAGGCCAGCCTGCGGCCCGAGAGCCCGCAGGCGGGCGTGCGGCCGCCGCACTGGCCCGAAGACCTGCCGCCGCCGGTGGAGCTGTGCCAGCGCGTGGCCGAGACGCTGCGCCAGCTCAACGCGACGATGAAGGACAACTACGAGCGCCTCAACGTCGACAAGATCCAGACGCGCTGGTGCACGCACGAGACGCCGGGCCTGTTCCGCGAGCGCTGGAACAAACTGTTTGCCGACTACGAGGAGGATCCGTACGACCCGAGCCGCGTGAGCGAGCTGTACGACATGCTGTCGCACGACGGCCTGCACAACCGCACGTTTGTCGAGACGGTCTTTTCGGCGCACGACGCCGCGCCGGAGCGCAAGCTGGACCCGCTGCACGAGCTGTACCGCATGAGTCTGGCGCTCTTTGCGTGGACGTGCCCCGCCGAGTACGGCATCGATGCGTCGCAGAAGGAGCGCATCGGCCTGCTCACCTCCATGCCGCTGCTCAACCACATCGTGGCCGACCTGCGTGCGTCGCAGGAGAAGCCGCTGTGCTCACTGTACTTTACCAAGGTGCGCTCCAGCCCATGCCCCCCCTCCCCCCACGCTCGAGATGCCCTTTGCTGATGCCTCTCACGCCGCAGGAATCGCACATGCACACGCTCCTCAACCTCGTGCTCGCCTCGGAGCTGCCCGTCATCATGGAGCAGATGCCGCCGCTCGACTACTTTTCCAGCATCACGTTTGGTCAGTGTGCCCGCCGCATGCCTGCCGCTGCTGATGTGCTGACACGCGCTGCGCAGAGGTGTTTGAGAAGACGTCTGCGCCGGGCACTACGAGCGCCGGGCACTCGCCGCGGCCCAGCTCCGTCAGCGGCAGCGGCGAGGAAGGCGACGGCACGTCACGCGAGTCCTCGTCGTCCGGCAGCACGCCCGAGCGCTCGCTGCTCATCTCCGTCAGCGAGGGCGCGCACTCGTCGTCGATCTTCTCGATGAACCTCGATGCGCGGCACGCACTGACGCCGCTGCCGCGCCGCCCGCTGACGCGGCACATGGGCTACGACGAGGCGCTGGCGAAGCTGTCGGCGCACGAGGCCATCGAGGCGAACCGCGGGCAGGTCGAGGGCGCCGCCGTCTTCTTTGGCGCCGAGGACAGCGAGCGCGGCGTGCTGGCGATCAAGAAGGAGCGCCGCACGAGCGGCGACACGGACCGCACGAGCATTGGCGCGGGAGCAAGATGAACAGTGGAGAGGGGATGGCAGTGGAGAGGGGGTGGCAGCGGAGAGGGGATGGCAGCGGAGAGGGGATGACAGAGGAGAGGAGATGTGCTGCATGTGCTGCGGAGCTGCAATCATAGATGCCGGATGTGTAGCTGCGGAGGGAGATGCTGTGTGCTGCGTGCTGTGTGCCGTTGCCCGTTGTTGCGTCGCGGCGTGCGGCGGTGCAAGCACGGCCGGAGGAAGCACCGTGCGCCTCGGCGACCGGCGCATGTGCCGAGCCGGCGGCCGGCGGGCGCGAGGGGCGATGCTGCTCTCCCCCGCACTGTGCGCGCTTCTCCACAACCTTGCTCCCCTCCGCCACCCGCCATGCTTCTCCTCCGTCCGCTGCGCGTCTCCGGCGCACGGCGTCTGCACACGAGCGTCGCGCGCCGCTCCGCGCCGCTCTCCGTGCCGTCGCTGCCGCCGTCGATTGCGCCGCCGCTCAAGGGCGTGCGCGTCGTCGACCTCACACGCGTGCTCGCCGGGCCGTACTGCACCATGCTGCTGGCAGACCTGGGCGCAGATGTCATCAAGGTGGAGCATCCGAAGGGTGCGTGCCAGACGAGGGGCAGAGCGAAGGAGGAGAGATGCGGCAGACCGCAGTGCCGAGGCCGAGGAGGGGCCAGCAACGCACTGACCCCGCCCCCCCTCTCCTCTCGCCCAGGCGGCGACGACACGCGCAGCTGGGCGCCGCCCTCTGCGCCGCTGCTGCCCGCCAAGGCACAGCGCATCCCGCCGGGCAAGGAGGCCGCCTGGGCCGCGCTGCCGCCCGAGAGTGCCTACTTTCTCGCGGTGAACCGCAACAAGCGCAGCATCACGGTCGACCTCAAGAAGCAGGAGGGCAGGGAGATCCTGCACCAGCTGGTCAAGGAGGCGGATGTGGTGGTTGAGGTGAGCCAAGCGCATGGCGAGAGAGAGGAGAACACGCTGACGTTGGGGGGCCGAGCAGAACTACTTGCCCGGGTCAGTGCTGCTCTCCGCAGCGAGGCCGACGCCTGGCTGAGCTGTGTGCTGCGCCGCCAGCAAGCTCTCGTCGATGCAGATGGGCTACGAGGACCTGAAGAAGATCAAGCCCGACATCATCTATGCCAGCATCACGGGCTGTGAGGCATGCTTGACGTGCTGCCGAGTGCCGCTCGCTCACTGCCTCTCTCTCTCTCTCTCTCTCTCTCTCTCTCTCTCTCTCTCTCTCTGTCCCGCACAGACGGACAGACGGGCCCCTTTGGCTCGTTTGCGGGCTGTGAGTTTCTGAGTTGCAGCCAGAGTGCTGGAGCGCAGCGCTGAGATGGAAGCCAGACGACGTCATTGTCGCTGCCGACGCCGGTCTCTTTCATATGTGAGCTCGCTGCGTGCCCCTCTGCGCTTTTCCTGCTCATCCGCGCTCCAGCACCGGCGAGGCAGACCGGCCGCCCGTCAAGGTGCGCTCTCCGTCGACCCAGACCTCTTCTCCCCGCGCAGCTGACGAGCGGGTGCCTAGGTCGGCGTGGCAGTGACGGACCTGACGACGGGGCTGTACGTGCACGGCGCCGTCATGGCGGCGCTGCTGGGACGCGCACAGACGGGCCAGGGCGTGCATATCGACGCCAGGTGAGCCTGCTGCCGCGTCAAGGGTGTTGCGGTCGACGGATGGCTGACTGTTGGAGCTGCGCTGTAGCCTCTTCGAGAGCCAGGTGAGTCGACCTGTGTTGGGCCGCGGGTGGAATCAGTGCTGACATCTTGCCTCCCCGCGGCAGATCGCGACGCTGGTGCGTGCTCTGCCTGCCGTGCAGTGTTCCTGCTCATCACTCACGCACACCTTGCCAGGCCAACGTGGCCTCCTCGTGAGTGGTGGCAGTGCAGCTTCTTCAACTCCAAGCTGACCGGCATCCTGCTTCGCCAGATATCTCATCAGCGGCAAGGAGGCGACGCGCTGGGGCACGGCGCACCCCAGCATCGTGCCGTACCAGGTCATGCCCGTCAGCGACGGCTTCATGATGGGTGAGTGTCCGCGTAGACTAGCGAAGGGGCCACGCATGCTGAGGCCTTCCATCCCCCCTTCTCCTTCTCCAGTCGGCGCGGGCAACGACGGGCAGTTCAAGATCCTCACCGCCGCCATCGGCGCGCCCGACCTCGCGGCCGACGCGCGCTTCTCCTCCAACGCGCAGCGCGTGGCGAACCGCGACGTGCTGATCCCTCTGCTCGAGGAGCTGCTGCGCAAGCAGACGGCACAGCACTGGATCGACGCGCTGGGCGGCCGCGTGCCCGCGGCGCCGATTCGCAACATCAAACAGACGTTTGAACACCCGCAGGCCGTGGCGCGCGGCGTGACGACCGAGGTGGACCACCCGCGCGCGGGCAGGATCACCATCTCGGCGCCGGCGGTGCGGTATGGCGAGGGCAAGATGCCGGTGAGCGCACGAGGGAGGAAGGAGCGCACGAGGGTGGAGTGCTCCGCCTCGGTGCGCTGACGTCTC